TTAGTGATACCCTGACAATTTTGCCCAGTGCTTGCCCCATAGGCGTTTTTCGGGTAATCCAGTATTTTTCTAGTAAGATTGGGTGTCTATATTTTCCATATATGCCAAATTTGACATACTTTTATTGGAAAGAACCACCCGATAAATACTTTTCTGGGAAAGTATCTTTAATAATATTGAAATGGGTGGAGGAGGTTATTGTGTGACTGGTTGAATTACATTTAACATTTAATTTAAATGACATGAATTATTTGTGAATACTTAATACAGGAAAAATAGGTCCGTCAAGCATTGAAATGCTTGGTCATAAAATCTGTTATGTAAAAATAGGAGATTAATTTAGTGGTATCTCTTCTCCACAATGCTTCCTTTCCCAGAATTATTTCCTTGTTTTGTCTGGTTTTAAGAAGTTCATTATAAGTACATACTTGTACATGTAGCAGGAAATAAATTGCTAGTTGCATATCAGTAATATGCAATAAAAGGTCTTGGTATGGTTAAAACCATATTCTTCTGTCACTGGTTAAAATGTGGATTGACGGATTACAAAGGAGAGCTACAGATAGAAATAGTGTATATTGGTGCAATGACCTAGGTTGGTTTTTTTTTTGGTTTTTTTTTTTTGGTTTTTATTATTTTTGGTTTATTTATTTGTTTCTAGCTTTTGAAGTCACATTTAGTGAACTATTGAAGTCCTATTATTTAGTTGTTTTGATGGGACAAAAAAACAAGGTCTCATGTACACATTGGCATGCACATAAATGGTCCCTTGGCAGTTGGAATTCGATATATGAGTAGGCTTTAGCACTAATTCCCCTCATAGTACACTGCATGGCGTATGCCCATCTTCATTAGCCCAGTCGGATCAGAACAGTAGGACGTTAAGCAGAGATGAGTAATTTGATTGGTTGATGCTTTGGGACACGATAACTTTAGTTCTAATTAAGTGAGAGTGATGAAACTTGGTGTATACTTTCATTACATCAATACCTTGACTAATTTCGATAATGAGCATTTTCTGCTCAAGGGAATCAGAGCAATAAGCAATTTGATTGGCCGAGACTGTGTAACACAATAACTCTCATAATTGAGCTAGAATGTTCAAACTTGGTGTAGATTTGTATTAGGTCAGTGCCTTTATGGAGTTTGAAAATGAGCATTTCTACTTAGGGTACCGGTAAGCAGAGATAAGAAATTTGATTGGTTGATGCTTTGGGACACGATAACTTTATGCAATTTGATTGGTCGAGTATTTGGAACACAAAAACTCTCCTTCTAATTGAGGTAGAATGTTCAAATTTAGTGTTCATTAGGTGAATGTCTTGATGGAGTTCGATGATAAACATTGTCTGCTTACTGTAAGCAGAGATAAGCAATCTGATTGGTTGGAGCGCGATAACTTTGGTTATAATCAAGTGAGAGTGATGAAACTCTGGGTATAGATTCATTATTACCTTGACTAAGTTCGATGATGAGAATTTTCTGCTGGAGCGATAAGCAATTTGATTGGTCATGACTTTGGAACGTAGCAACTCTGCTTTTAATTGAGGTAGAATGTTTAAACTTGATGTAGATGTTCATTAGGTGAATGTCTTGAATGAGATTGATGATTAACATTTCGAGCTAAAGCTAAGCTTTATTGGTCGATGCTTTTGGACAAAGCTAACTTTGATTCTATCTGATAGAGAGTGATGCAACTTGGTGGATTCTATCTTCTCCACAATGCTTCCTTTCCCAGAATTATTTCCTTGTTTTGTCTGGTTTTAAGAAGTTCATTATAAGTACATACTTGTACATGTAGCAGGAAATAAATTGCTAGTTGCATATCAGTAATATGCAATAAAAGGTCTTGGTATGGTTAAAACCATATTCTTCTGTCACTGGTTAAAATGTGGATTGACGGATTACAAAGGAGAGCTACAGATAGAAATAGTGTATATTGGTGCAATGACCTAGGTTGGTTTTTTTTTTGGTTTTTTTTTTTTGGTTTTTATTATTTTTGGTTTATTTATTTGTTTCTAGCTTTTGAAGTCACATTTAGTGAACTATTGAAGTCCTATTATTTAGTTGTTTTGATGGGACAAAAAAACAAGGTCTCATGTACACATTGGCATGCACATAAATGGTCCCTTGGCAGTTGGAATTCGATATATGAGTAGGCTTTAGCACTAATTCCCCTCATAGTACACTGCATGGCGTATGCCCATCTTCATTAGCCCAGTCGGATCAGAACAGTAGGACGTTAAGCAGAGATGAGTAATTTGATTGGTTGATGCTTTGGGACACGATAACTTTAGTTCTAATTAAGTGAGAGTGATGAAACTTGGTGTATACTTTCATTACATCAATACCTTGACTAATTTCGATAATGAGCATTTTCTGCTCAAGGGAATCAGAGCAATAAGCAATTTGATTGGCCGAGACTGTGTAACACAATAACTCTCATAATTGAGCTAGAATGTTCAAACTTGGTGTAGATTTGTATTAGGTCAGTGCCTTTATGGAGTTTGAAAATGAGCATTTCTACTTAGGGTACCGGTAAGCAGAGATAAGAAATTTGATTGGTTGATGCTTTGGGACACGATAACTTTATGCAATTTGATTGGTCGAGTATTTGGAACACAAAAACTCTCCTTCTAATTGAGGTAGAATGTTCAAATTTAGTGTTCATTAGGTGAATGTCTTGATGGAGTTCGATGATAAACATTGTCTGCTTACTGTAAGCAGAGATAAGCAATCTGATTGGTTGGAGCGCGATAACTTTGGTTATAATCAAGTGAGAGTGATGAAACTCTGGGTATAGATTCATTATTACCTTGACTAAGTTCGATGATGAGAATTTTCTGCTGGAGCGATAAGCAATTTGATTGGTCATGACTTTGGAACGTAGCAACTCTGCTTTTAATTGAGGTAGAATGTTTAAACTTGATGTAGATGTTCATTAGGTGAATGTCTTGAATGAGATTGATGATTAACATTTCGAGCTAAAGCTAAGCTTTATTGGTCGATGCTTTTGGACAAAGCTAACTTTGATTCTATCTGATAGAGAGTGATGCAACTTGGTGGATTCTATCTGATAGAGAGTTATGAAACTTAGTGTATAGTTGATAATCAGTTTAATTGTTTGATACTTTTGAAAAAAAAATTTTGAAAAAAAAAATGTGCGATTAATTAATATGTGTCGGGGAATTTTGGCAGGGGACATCAGCCTCACTGTTGGCTTGTTTGTTTTTTTGGGAGGGAGTGGGGGGTTGCAAGCTTTTTTTTAGGAAAAAGTACATACATGTACTCTATACAAATAGACTTTATATACCATCTGATAATTAATAATATATAGGGCTTAATAAATAACTTTAAAGATGTTATCAGGAAGTGAGTCATAGATGAAAATAGATCAATAGACATCAAAGGAAACTTTTTTATTTCCTAATTAATTTGAATGCGGTTTTACCAGCATTAACACAATCATACAACACTTTATTGTTGTGGTCTTGTATCCTTAATGTATCGCCTTATGCCTCTTTCTTCAAGACACAAAAACATATTTTTGCAAGCACTACAGTTGGGTTTATTACATAATGTACATGTAAGATTGTAAGGTGCAGAATAGATAAATAAAGAAGCTTGGACAATGTTGATTTATTTGTTTTCTCAAACTAATGAAACATTTTACGTTCAAGAGTAAATTATTTTAGGTAGTTTTCAAGTAATCTAGAATAGCAGTATTAAGATGAAAGTCAGTTAGCTATGTGAATTCCTCAATAAGAAGTTGTATCGGGAGTTTTTGAACCAATCGCCATACCCTGCCTCGTGGTTGAAAGATTGAAAATAGGCACAGTAGATGATTGAAAGTAGTCAGAATATTGCCAACAGCGATTGTGAACACCGTCTAAAAGTTCCATATGCTACAATGGCACGATTTAGTAAAATCAATAAAATGGGGTCAATGACACAAAAATCAAGCATGGCACTCGACACAAACTAGGTCATTTTGCAACTAACATATGGTTCAATTTTTTTTCAATAATTCGCATGCGAGTAGGGATTTTTAGCAGTGGGTGGAAACAGGTTACCCATCTCCTTGTCACGTGGAAGTGGGGAATAGAAACCACACCACTTGACTCAATGACAAACCTGATCCAATGTGCATGGGTTAACCATTCGGTCAACAAACTCCCAGAGTATTTACAAAAATTTTTTATATTGAATGTGTGCATGACACCTATCAACATTTTAGAATAATATCTAAAAGTTAAAATTCACCTGAAGTGCCACCATTTTGTAAACATAAGTCAATCTTTAAAATCTATCTCATCCTATGATCCTACAATTCTCATCCGATTTTCAATATCGTTATATTTTTGCAAATCAGTCACTATTGGCAATCAATTGCGTTGATTAGAATTTTGATATTTGAACTGTATTTCTTTTAAAAGTGACATCATAAAATTCAATATTTCAAAAAAGTGTAAAATTTGAAATCGGGTAAAACGTTGAAACTTTTTAAAAAAGACAGGAACTTTTGCCCAGCTGAAATATTTTTCTATCACCAACTGTTGTGACAGATTTTAATAATTCTTTTTTTTTTATGATTTTTGGAGAGAGAGAGAGAGAGAGAGAGATGGTTCAATTTTTATTTCCATAGGGGTCTTTAGCAGTGGGAGGACCCGGAGAAAACCCACGAAGTTGGACAGGCGACCCTACTCCTTGTCACATACAAAACCACGCCAGTTGACTCAATGACAGACTTTATGATACAGCACGCAGTGCTAACCATTCAGCCATCCAACCCCCCTTTTGAAAAGAAACCAAGAGAACAATACATATTGATCTACTAAATACATGTATTGTAATTAATGTATAAGGGTGTGATTGTATTGTATAAAAGCTAAAAAAGTTGTTTCAATGGAATCACATGGTCATAGTGTTCATACCCTGCCTTGCACATGACACCTCTCACTAGATAAATGTATACAAGTGTATTGTTTGTTTTATTTCAGATCAAGATGTGATTTTTCAAGCTGTTGTTTTTATAGAAGATGCATATAAGGTAATAATTGAACATAACTAATTAACATAAACTAAGTCATTCTGGGTCTAACATAGGTATATAGCTTTATTTCAATAATTTGCTTGTGCTCTGTGTTGGGGGAAACTTGAGTGTGCAGAGAATTCTGATGAAGTTAGGACTGTAATTGGTCAACTGAATACTGGTACTTTTGATAATTTTGAGCAGGAGTCTATAAAAATCCTAAGGTTCTTCTAGGTCTACACTGGTTTTTAAAACTGGGGCATTGTAGTTCAGAGGTCTGTCTTGCTGCTTTTAGATGCATTACGTAAAATTCAGATGAAGAGAGAGAGAGAAAAATGGGGTTTAACATCCACTTGACACAAACTAGGTCATGGTTCAATTTTATTTCTGTAATGTTATAGGGATTCTTCCACAATTCTGTCAACAATTATCAAATCAAGTGGATAGATTAAGGAGCCAGCGATTAGCATCCACTGTACTGTACAGCCCTGGTCCAGAATGAAAAACAAAACAATGATTTTCAAAAAAATGGATCCAGGTGCCAGTTGTAAGCATCCGCTGCGATGATCTGTCATGATCCAGAATAAAAAAACAAGACAATGATTTACAAGATTTTAATGATTTGATTTATTTTTTTTCAGTATCGTTCTATTTGTCATCGTGTTGATCCGAAGATTTTACATTTTTATAGGAGTTATCTTTCCACATGGGTTAATATGTAAGTAGTTGATATTAAAGTCCTGATGCAACATTTGCTTTTTTACTAAAATATCTAATTCTCACGGCTTAATCCACGCCAAACAGGTACTCAGATTGATTATTGAACATTTAATTAAGAAAACAAAATCGAAATACCAACGCTAGATAACCTCTCTGCTTTGACTCAATCGGATTTTAAAAAAAGGCCGTCAGGGCTCCTTACTACCGAGAAAAGATGGTGGTGTCTTGTTGCGTTTGAGCAGCGTAGATCGATGAAATTTCAATTTAGCATAACTTTGTAAATACTGAACGGATCTGAACTATTTTTGGGCTGATATTCCTATTGGCTTAACGTATGTGTCAAATAATGCTAAACTAGTTTGTACAATCTCCCTGGTTAGATTCAGTTGTCTTGGCAGCGTCTTGTTATGTTCAAGCAGCGTAGATGATGAAATTTCAATTCAACATAACTTTGTAAATACTGAATGGAATTGAACCATGGGCTGATATTCCTATTGGGGGATAACGGTGGCTAAGTGGGTAAGACGCTGGCTCGCTAGTCTGGAGGTCCCTGCAATGGCCGAGAAAGTTCATCCAGATTTTCCGACGTGGTTTCCCCTTGTCAGTAGTGCAGAACGGAGGGTCTGACAAGGACAGATGTCTAGTTTTTCGAATGATATGAAAAACCGAGGTCCTGTGTATACATTGGAATGCACGTAAAAGATCCCTTGACAGTTGGAATTCGATATAAGAGAAGGCGATAGTGCCGCTGCCCGGGCAAAATTTCCCTCATAGCACACTGTATGGCGTATGCCCGTCTTCATTAGCCCAGTATAGGAGCAGAACAGTAAAACCCCATTTCATTTCATTTCAACTTAAGTCTTGAGAATGCTTTGTGAACTTGGGGCCGGACCTTTAACTAATTTTACAAGTTAATTAAAACCAGATGTCATTTTATTCTGTTTATGGGAGCTACGGTGGCTCAGCGGGTAACACGTTGGCTCACTAACCTGTAGGTTGCGTGTTCAATCCCTGCATTGGCAGAGAAAGTTCATCAGGATTTTCCGGCGTGGTTCCCCCCTTGTCAGTGGTGCGAGACATTGTTTAGTCGTTTGGATGGGACAAAAAACAGAGGTCCTGTGTACTCTTGGCGAGCATGTAAAAGATCCTTTCAATATAAGACTAAGAGTAGGCCATACTGGCGTATACCCGTCTTCATTAGCCCAGTCGGAGCAGAACAGTAGGACGTTAAACCTCATTTCATTTCATTCTGTTTACTCCATTTCAAAAGAAAGTAGCATTTGTTATTTTTCATCTTAGTATATGAATTTCAAAGAGATAAATGTTTGCTAGAAGAAGACAATATATACTCTTCAAAAAAAGTAGGGGATATCCAAATGCAGGTTGTGATATGATAAATAGTCATGGACACAGAGAGTATGTTCACAGATGAAGAACTTATCGCCCAAACAGAACCACTGAGCTGCACATGGGAGGGGTTCATTGTCAAATTTGACACTTCAAGGCAGTGTTGATGAAAACTGCCACTTGCTGGTTTATCCTATCCATGTTTGCTTTCCATTTCCGTTCTTGCATAAGATTTACTGTTTAGCATATCTTTGCTTTAGTGTGTTACGTTTAATTTGATCGGGAGACGTGTTCGTCAACGTCAACGTCAACCGACAACACTGCAAGAGGAGTGGGTCAGATTGCCCCAAATCGTGATTGGACGGTTGATAAGGAGCATGCCACGACAAATTGCTGAATGTCTGAGGATTGGTGGAGCAATTACTCATTATAAAGACAAAAATCAAAAACTTTCATTTTCACTTTTGACAGGGTATCTCTTTGCGAGTTTATGGGGCCGTCAGATAAGCCGCCCATATGAACTGTTTATGTTGATGTGTAGGCAATTGGCTTGTTCTTAACATACACTTTTTATCTCTAATAAAAACAGCAGTGCATTTCTGCAGTTTTGCATTGTTTCTGAATATCCCCTACTTTTTTGAAAAGTATATAATTTAAGGTATTTTTAATTATTTTTTTTCAGAATCCATGTTACAGTGATAGCAGTTCTCCATTTATTAGCATTCTTGGAATATCCTTCATCTTTAACCTGGACGTCAGATATTCGTGATCGTGGGGAGAGGATAACTCTACCATGTGGTGTAACAGAGACTATTGAACTCATCTGTTTATTATTGTTACTAGCAGACACAATTATACGGGTAAATTCTCTATATTTTATTGATTATCTGTATTGAAATCTTTTCAAGGATTTTCAAACCAACATTTTATCATAAGGTCTGTTATTGAGTTAAGTGGCGTGGTTTCGATTCCTCACTTGTCAATGAGTAGGGTCACCTGTCCAGCCTTGTGGGTTTTCTATGGGTCCTCTGGTTTCATCCCACATCTAAAGATGCTTACACACAAACAAAGTATTAAAATAAAATTGAAGCATATATTAGACCTGGACCATATGGACCACAAACGAAAATGCCATATCACCTAGTACTGGGTATTGCCACTGCAGTCACGATACGATACGCATTACTATTTCTATCAGGATTCTTAAACAGGTCAGTATTTACCTAGAAAACAACTGGACAAATGAATAATTGATATTTTTTGTCCTGCTGATATTGAAGAAATAAAACTGTTTTATATCACGTTATTGATGTGGATCGACAGATCTTTAATCGTTTGGATGCGACGAAAAACTGAGGTTCCGTGTATACATGGGTGTGCACGTTACAGATCCCTTGACAGATGGAATTCGATATAAGAGTAGGTCATAGTGCCGCTGTCCGGGCAAAGTTTCCCTCATAGCAGTTAGCTGTAGCACCATGAGCCTTCTGTCTGACGTGGAGAGCGGGCATATGTCGGAAACCGGTCGCCACATCCTACGTACGACCCATGCATCTTTTCTTACTACATATTTCTGTAGCCTTGTGATCGTCTAGAATTTGTCTCTAGCTGTCTTTACTTCTGCTTCACGTTGTGTATTTACTTCTTCCAGTTTCTTAAGACGTTTGTCTTACCAGGAATAATAATGCATAGTTCGCTTCTACTTCTACATTTTATATAGCATATAACTGAATACAGGTATACAAGCATAGCACAAATTACAATACTATATAGCTAAAACCACTTCTCCACCCTATCCAGCCTCTCGGCTGTCTAGGAACTCAGATGTACCCTCGATCTCTGGAATCTAATGCAAGTCTGTCTTACAAAGTTCCCCGGTTTCTCTTATAACCATATGAATATCACGCACAATCAAGTGTGATCATGGCCCTGAACCTGTGCAATTAACGATATGATTGGTTACTTTAAGCTAAATGATGCAATTAGAATAATTCCACTCACGTGTAATTCTGGTGGTAAATCAGTGACATATGTTTTCGATAAATAACTCTTTTATGTGTCAACTGCCAATTACAGACTAAGTTGATTTAGTGCCCACTATATATGTGAATATGTTTGAAATTACTAACTTGCCAAAGATATTAATTAATGAAATATAAAGCCATCTTATTTCAAGAGCAAAAATTCTAGCCATATTATTACATAGCACACTGTATCTCGTATGCGCGTCTTCATTAGCCCAGTCGGAGCAGAACAGTAGGACGTTAAAACCAATTTCATTTCATTTCTCCCCTAAGAAGAAGAACAAAAACAATATTATTAAAATTTAATACTAGGAGATTAATCTAAAATATGAAAGAAATGTAGAATTTTTCATTTGACTGTGGTAGGCTCAACTTTTATCAGAGCTTAAATTTGGATGTCTGTAACATCCCTGGTTCCCCCTTGTCGGTGATGCAGGACGGAGGGCCTGACAAGGACAGCTGTCTAGTCCTTCGGATGAAACGAAAAACCGAGGTCCTGTATATACATATAAAAGATCCCCTGGCAGTTCGAATTCGATATAAGAGTAGGCGATAGTGCCGCTGCCCGGGCAAAATTTCCCTCATAGCACACTGTATGGTGTATGCCCGTCTTCATTAGCCCAGTATAGGAGCAGAACAGTAGGACGTTAAACCCCATTTCATTTCTGTAACATCTCAGTAATCATGAAAATCCACATTAGTATTAAACAGTCTTTAAACGATATTTCATCTGATTTTTTTGTTGTCCGCAATGTGACCCTTAGTGGAAGCAGCCATTAAACCCCAACAATGAACAAATGAAATATATTTTTACATGATATTTTATGTCATATTTTTATTTTTCAGAGTTATTTTATGGGTTGGTCATATTTTAAAGGTCATCGTTGGTTAGTTGTTTCTATTTTTATTCTCTCCATGTCATTAGTTGATTGGATGGTTTCTGTCTCATTGGGGTGCCAAGAGGTAATTATACTGTATTAAAGCGATAATTTCATATTTTCTAAGAAAGTCAAAACATAATTATTTCTATGTCTTTTGCTCAATAGGTTGTCAACTCACTATTATACAATCATAGGTATTATTCTCCCACTTAAAAATCCTTTGACCCCGGAAATAATAACACAATTACCTCCCTTGTTTTTCTATTCCCCCCCATGGAATAGCTATCTTCAAATGTTTGAATTTGAAGTTGAAAATGATATTTTTGCCAATTTCTCAACTAGCAATAGTGAATGATAGGATTAATAGGATTATTCTTTAACAAGGTAGAACTGTTTATAGATACCATCTATTTTAAGGCTTTATTTTAATAAATTCTAAAAATATAACTTAAAAATATGAAATTGCAACTTTAATGTATCATTTTGATCTCAGAGGATTGGGCAACTGAATTGTGGTTTAAAGGAGTTAAATCTCTATTCTTTGGAAATGGATAAAAAAAATTAGGTTGCTATGCTTATAATAATGTAATATGAATGTATATAAACTGATTTACATTCAATCGTTTCTGTTTTTACTGTGTGTCGAGTGGACGTTAAACCCCATTTCTCTCTCTCTCTCTCTGTTTTTACTGTAATCTTTAATCAGTTCTGTTCAGCGAAATATGCGAAATTCTATGGCAGTCTTTGGCATCTGGTTATTCCAGTCTACACCGGTAGAGTGGATGTTAAACCTCATTTCTCTCTCTCACTTTGAAAAAATATCCCGGCTTATCCGATGTCAACAAAATATGTGTAAAATTGATGGGGATTCTGTTTGGTTCTTCTTTCCAGTATATTAGATTCCGAAGAATCTTGAGACCATTTTTTATTTTGCAAAATTCATCTTTAATGAAGAAAACAATAAATTGTTTACGAAGAACTTTACCTGAAGTAGCCAGGTGAGTTGATCATTTGTACAATTTGAATTTTGGTAGCCACGGTGACTCAGTGTGTAATGACATTGGCTCAATAACCTGGAGATCCTGTGTTCAGTCGTTATTTTCAGGCATTGTACCCCCTTGTCATTGATGCAGGACATAGGGCCTGGCAAGGAACAATGTATAGTTGTTCGGATTGGATGAAAAACCGAGGTCATGTGTTCACATTGGAGTGCACGTAAGAGAACCCTTCTTGGCAGTGGGAATTTGAAATAAGAATAGGCCTTAGAATTGCTGTCTGCGCAAAAAATTTCCCTCATAGCACACTGCAGAAAAGTAGGACCCCATCTAGTTTACAATTTGAATTTTAGTAATAATGTCACAGGTAATAATGCCAGGGTAAAAATTGCACAGGTAAAATTGTCACAAGCAGTATACTAGGCACAAATATTTTATTATGATGAAATAAAACATAGTATACATATACAAATTGTTATAAATACATGATTTATCAAATTCACCTTTACAAATCTTTACAAATAGAAGCATTATTTTAAAATATGATAGTGTTACTGTTTAATATTAACACAAGTAGTCAAGTACATAAATGAAGCACAAATTAAAAAAAAGATGTTTATTATTGTTGCAGTTTTTTTTATTATTATTACATGTAGCCCCCCCCCCCCTTTCACATACATGTACATGGGTGCTTTACAGTGTTACAAGTAAAAATGAAATATACAGTAATAAAAAGATTCTAAGAAGAAAAAGCTCTGAAAAATGCATCAAATACTGAAATAAAACGATTAAAATAAGATCTAATGTTGTGATAATATTAATAACAATTCTTTTTGCTGAACTACAACTTCTACTAATAACTAAGATAATATTTTTATGCATATTTCAGCATTTTGTCTTCCTTTTACCATGCCACTATAACCTTTGCCATGTTGTTATTGTTATTTTTACAGTGTTATTATTTATTTTATTTTCAGTGTGTTACTGTTGTTATTTTTACAGTATGATTATTTATTTTATTTCAGTGTGTTATTTTTGTTATTTGTTTATTTTACAGTATACTTATTTATATATTTTATTTCAGTGTGTTATTTTTGTTATTTGTTTATTTTACGCTATAATTATTCATATATTTTATTTCAGTGTGTTATTGTTGTTGTTTTTGCACCTGTTTATGTTCACACTGTTTGGTATGCTGCTCTTCCCAAAAGCAACAGTAAGTTTGATATTTCTCCTTGGCATGCACTTAGAAGAACCCTTGACCGTTGCCTGGGCACTATTTCCCTCATAGCACACTATGACGTATGTTCATCTTCATTAGTCCAGTCGGTACAGAACAGTAGGATGTTAAACCACATTTCATTTCATTTGTAAATGTACTTTTCAATCTAATTCATATTTTGTTCTGGCTTCGAATGGGACATAAATTTGAGGTCCCCAATTATACCACTGGCAGCATGTTAAACATCCCCTGACAGTTGGAAATCGAAGCAAGAATGTAGCGCCACTGTTTTGGCCAAATGTCCTGCATAGCACACTGCATAATATGCATCTCTTCATTAGCTTGGTACAGAATAGTAGAACATTGAACCACATTTTATTTCATTTCTATAGTGTTCAGGGAGAAGAGCCCCAGTGGGCTGTAATATTCATACCACCTGATAACACCTCTCTCATATTTGTTACAGGATACAGACACAGCTGATGAGATAATGAAAAATAATACCAACCCAAACCAAACATCAGATACATCTATTGTAAGTATACTGTTTGCTCCACTGCGGGGGGGGTGGGGGGGTGGATGGCCGAATTGTTAGCATGCGCACGCTGTATCATACGGTCTGTCATTGAGTCAACTGGCGGGGTTTCGATTCTCCGGTTGTTCTTGACAAGGAGTAGGGTCGCCTGTCCAACCTTGTGGGTTTTCTCTGGGTCCTCCGGTTACCTCCCACTGCTAAAGATCCCTACGTGCAAGCGAATGATTGAAATAAAATTGAACCATGTGTTAGTCCCGAAATGACCTAGTTTGTGTCGAGTGGACGTTAAACCCCATTTATCTCTCTCTCTCTGCTCCACAGCTTTCTATTAGTAAGTGCAGGAGGACCACACTAAACGCAAATCAAAACCTACAAGATGAACCTGCGGACAAGACAGAATACAAAGACATTGCAAGAAACAAACAACAAATATCAAATTAAGTGAAAGGATCTGGGCCTGTAATGATACAAACTTCACTCAAAATTAAAAAAAAAATAAAGATTTACAAGAATGACGTACCAGAAATAATGCGACCTATCTTGACGATGGTGGCCTCTAAAATTGCATTATTCCTCAAATTGAAAAGATTCAACACAAATAAAGAAGTTCTCAGATTCATTAATTTTTGTGTTTCTTTGTTATATGATTTAAACAGTGCAGTTCAAATTAAAAAAAGAACCCAAATAAAAAAAGAACCCTATCATAGAAGATGCATTTTTCTAAATTTTTCAGGCGTCTACAGAGGGTCAGGAGTATTTTAAAACTTTACTACAGGCCTTTATGAGTTTATTGGTTTTATTAACAACAGCCAACAATCCTGATGGTAATAAAATATTTTATTTTATAACGAGTGGGTAGAACTCAGCTGTGATATCTTCATCACGGAAGCTCATGGTCGACTGAGAAAGTGAAAGGGGTTTAATGTCTTAATTTTCTGCACCATTTTGTCTAATGAAGACTTGTGTACGCCATACAGTGTGCCATGATTGTTCTTATATCAAAGTCATGCGAACATGTGCAGAGGACCTAGGTTTTATGTCCCATCCGTGCTTCACTACTGACAAAGGAAGCATGCTGCAAAATAACGAGGAACGTTCTGTACCAACACCGGGATCGAACCTCTATCTCCTAGTTAGTGAGCCAGCGCCTTATGCACTGAGTCAAGCGCCTTATGCACTGAGTCATTGCGGCTCCCTAACTGGGGAAAACATGACTTGCTTAACATTAGAATTAATAAACAAAGCTGATGTAGGTGTATGTTTCGTTGCCTGGAAACTAACCTATCTTTAATTTTATTATGATGTTTCTCTTTACAGTGATGATGCCAGCATATCGTCAGAATAGATTCTTTGCCATGTTCTTCATTATATTTCTAGGAATAGGTAAGTTTAAAGGTCACCGAAAAAGCTTCATAATTTTTTTAAATAATGCAAGGAATTATGTTAACATATCTTTCAATAAGTTTAACCCAATCCCCAATATCAATATTACCTGCCACAGGTAAATTTCAACAGGTAGATTTCTGCCGTTCTCCGTGAGTAGTTGTAACTTTCTGCCAATAGAAAAGACGTAACATAATTTTAGTCCTTCTGCTCACATTCTAGTCTATATTTCTATGATAATATGCGACCTGGATAATTAAGAGTGACATATTAGTTACAGAAGCAACAAATACACATAAAAAAGAATCATAAATAATCGATTCGAAGCCATGCGATTCAATGCACGAATCGTGAGAAGATGAATTGCGATACATCGACTCAACGATATATGTGACCCGCCGCATCTAAATGAGTCGGAATGCGGGAGAATCAATAATGAGATAAAGACAAAATAAGTGAAAATAATGATTTTGAACGAAATTGAGATTTTCACAAAAATGAGTCTATAAATATACTATCTATCGACACAGAAGATCAAAATAGCAATAAAACATTTTAAAACACCTGTATTTGAACGTTTTGTAAGAGTACCGTATTCTTAAATCTGTCCTATTTCTTAAAATTCTCGGCGAAATTGGTTATTTTTCTTCGCTCGCAGTGGGACGACCGGTCATTCCTCTTGCATAACAATTGGCATCATTGTAAAGCGGAGCATCTCTAGTTTATAACTATGATCAAAATATTGTCGATGAATTGATTTTAAACGGATACAATCGAGTTTTAAAACCCTCCAAAAATATAAATAAACTCCGCCTGTTGTCATGCTGTCCACACAACTCCTTTGGTGATTGGCCCAGACACCGCGTGCAAGACATTATCGATAAATATTTGGTTTTGGCAATATTTTTGGGTACCTACATGCGATTCACTCTGATAAGTGGCAGAAAAAAAAAAAATTCTGATCGTATAGATTGCCGTTGAGTGTTAATCGAAACCATGTGGCTGATGATGTAAATTAATCGACAAGCGGGTGTGTGTCACTGTCATTGAGTAATACTATTACTAATCAACTGTCACGGGTCAATGATAAAGCCGTCGACAACTCATTTACTCCGAATAATTAATCCAAGTGGTGATTGTTTGATATCTCATATCATCTTTAAAAAAATAATCTATAGGCCTTAAATGGAAATAAACAAAGTGGCCAATAATGTTCTTTTCGAAGAGAATTTTATTGATAGCTGAATTCCGTTTACCGTCGCTTCTTCATACGGCATGCAAAGTAAGGAATGCATTTGGGATATTATTGTTTAAAATTCTATTATCACAATGGGTCGAAAAAATGAGAACGACCAACGAGCCGAAATGCGACGATTCTCGAGTCTGCCATTGAGTATCCTCTGAATAATGTTGATATTTACATCAAAGCCAAAATGCACGAAAGTGAACGTAAGCATTGGCTATGAAATTGACATTTCTATAGGGACTCATATTTTGATAACGTCACGGTACCTGAAAATAATAATAGACCTATCGTACACGCAAAATCTTGTTTTAATTCACGTGTTAAATGAACACGAGTACAGCTGTTGCGGCTTCTTTGATGATAATCCAATCAACAATCTTAATCTCCTGTCTGCGATATCACTTATGTGGAAGCAGACGTTAAACACCAAGAACTACTACTACTACTTAATCTCCTGACCACTAGCTGGCACTAAGGTGCTAATTAATTGATGAGATTAACTGAGTGGTTAATCTCACTAAAGTTATATTATACACAACAGACTACTAATGTATAGATTGTTCTTCAGTATAACACTATCATGTGAATATTATGCCGTTTGTGTTGTGGATGTTATTACGATTTTCGTCGTCAGCACCCTTGAAATCCTAAATAAAAAAACATATTAAACGACAAAATATAGCAAATAAATTGCGGAAATAGTCGGATAAAATTTTTACTACGATTTTCGTCTTCAGCACCCCTGAAAACCCATGGAAAGAAATATTCAACGACAAAACAGCAAATAAATGGCCTGGTTGCTATGGGATTTTGTTTTAGAACATACCAAATCTTTGACTTGCTTTTTCTCAAAACTTACTTTTGTGAGTTGGGTAGCGTCTAATGGACACAGCTCAGTCAATTTTTGCCCAATTCAAACAAACTATACATCAAATTGAAGTTAATGAGTTGGAGAATGTGAAAATAACAATAACTCAATTTTCAAAATTTCCTCATTGTGACTCAGTATGCTGTGGGGAGTCACATGTCGTATCATCATCAGTACAAAGTCTTATTATGTGTGCTTTTGACTAGCGGGAAATATTTTGAATTAAAATAACTGGTATTTATGCATCATGAAACCAACCCATGGTGTTCTAAATCTTATTTGGTTTCAGTTTTGAAAGTCAAATTTATATTAGATATTTTATTTTGTTGCGATTTGAAAGACAGATTTATATATTTTGTTGAGATTTTAAAATGATATATTTTGTATATTTTAGGTTTATATTGTTTTATGAATATGTTAACAGCTGTAATATATAACAGATTTAGAGGATATTTTCTGGTAAGTAAAACAAAATGAAATGGGGTTTATTATCCAACTGTTCTGCACCGACTAGGATAATGAAGAAGGGCATACGTCATATAGTGTGCTATGAGGAAAATTATATCCGAACAGCGGCACTACGACTGACTCTTGATTAGAATTTCTACTGTTAAGGGTTCTTTTACGTGCACGCCATTATGTACACAGGACCTCAGTATTTCGAATAATGTGTTAAATGTAATTTCACATTATACCGTAAAGCTAGAAATGGTTGTGAGCTATAAACCACATGTAATGTATTAATTGTATCTTGTCACCAGTTGGCCAAGAAAAATTTGTCTGGATTATCCAGTGTTAAAAAACCTGTAACTCTTTACTCAAGGTAATCCATGTTTTAAAAAGAGAGACAGAGAAATATTTGATTTTAAAATGAAATATCAGACTATGTTACCGTGACTTCAGGAAGATACTAGCCTATGAACCTGTATTGTTTTTATTGTCTTTTATTTAGAATTCTATGCAGAGTAGTCATTTCCGTCGTAAACTGGGTGTACGGGCTGCTTTTGAAATATTAAGAAGACGAAAGTCTGCTTTCAGACATCAGTCTTCAATTTCCACCATTAGGTAAGTTAACATTTATCATCATGTTTTTCCTTTTTATTGTTTATAAGTTTGTCTGGCTTGTTTTTCCTTGGATTCTGGTGGGGATGGGTGGCCGAATGGTTAGCACATGCGCGCTGTAACATAAGGTCTGTCATTGAATCAACTGGTGTGGTTTCGATTCCCCGGTTGTACGTGACAAGGAGTAGGGTCGTCTGTTCAACTTCGTGGTTTTTCTCAGGTTTCCTCCCACTGCTAAAGAACCATATGTTAGTCCCAAAAGATCTAATTTGTGTCGAGTGGACGTTAAACCCCATTTTTTTCTCTCTCCCCCCCCCCCTTTGATTCAGGTGATTTCAATAAGGCTAGGTTTATAAAATACCTTTGAATTGGAATCTTAAGACCAGTCCCCTTTTCAGTGATGCAGTACGGATGGTCTGCCATGGAAAAGATGTTTAGTTCTTCGGATTGGTAAGAATAAATGGGATCCTCCCAGCATGTACTCTAACTCGACATGCTTGTATGTTAATGGAAATGTTAACCTAATAATGATATTAATATATTGTAGTGTTGGTGTAGGACATTCCGTTGTTAGGTCTATAGTCGATCAAATTAATGTTTCTAAAAACGTCAAAAAAGCTCTTCAACAGGTAAGATAGATTTATGTAATAAAGGGGGGATAACTTTTGTAAAAAAAATTACATGTGGATGCTTGATTGTCATTCAATTCCCCTTTTCCTGTTTATGAGAAATATCTTTGATCCAGAAAAACAAAAAAATGGATATAGATCTTATTGATGTATTTGATACATTAAAACAACACAAGTTTTATAAAGGGCTATCGTTTAGTTAAAATAAGGCAGATGATTTTGAGTAAATTCATAACTTAAGTCTGAGAATGTTTTGTGAGACCAGGGCCAGGCCTGATTTGATATTATATTAAGAATTTGTTTACGACTCATACTATACTGTACTTTGTACTGCACTGTACTATGTATATGGCGGGGGTTGTGTGTGGGTGGGGGGGGCAGCTGCGGCCTAGGGAGTATGGTGCTGGCTAATTATAATTACCCAGGATATCCTGGATTCGATCCCGGTGGTTTCCTCCCACTGCTAAAGACCCCTACGCACAAGCGAATTATTGAAATAAAATTAAAACCATATGTTAGTCCCGAAATGTCCTAGTCTGTGTCGAGTGGACGTTAAACCCCATCTCTCTCTCTCTCTCTCTCTCTCTCTCTCTCTCCCTCCCGTGTTTGAAGAGAAAGTTCCTCAAGATTGTCCATCCTGGTTTCCCTTTACCGTATGTACAAGATGGAGAGCACGGAAAGGTACAGTGTCTAGTCTTTTGAATGGGACAAAAAACCCTGCATGTAAAAGAACCATTGACGGGTAGAATTCTAAATAAGAGTAGGCTAACATATAGCCGTCTTATCTAATTAACAAGGGGGTGGATGGTCTAGTGGTTTAACATGTGTGCACGAAATCACAAGGTCTGCCATGGAGTCAAGTGGCATGGTTTCACCTGTTCAACCTCTTGGTTTTTCTCTGTGTTCTCCGGTTTCCTCCCACAAAGTCTGTCATTGAGTCAAGTTGTATCCGGTTTCATCTGTTTAACCTCGTGGTATTTCTCTGTGTCCATCAGGTTTCCCCCCCACTGCTAAAGACCCCTACGCGCAAGCGAATTATTGAAACAAATTGAACCATGTGTTAGTCCTGAAATAATGACCTTGTTTGTTTCGAGTGGACGTAAATTAGCAGCATGTATACTGAAACACGTCTTGGTTTTTTGTAGGCTTTAAAAAGACGTCAACCAGCCATTTATTCAGCGACAGATTTTCAAATGTTATTTGAAGAATTAAATCAGGAAGAGGCTGTTCGTGAGGTTTGTATGAATGGATATAACTTTAACCCTTTAGCACATGGTATTTGTAAATATTGACTACCCTTGAAACTGGAACCCAAGTGCTGCTCACATTGTTGTCGCTCTTTGAAATAAAACCTAAGGCCCTACCAATTCCAGTAACTTGGCAGCCATTACCTTGATATGGTGTTACTATTCCAAGATGGCTGCAATGATGTCATACTCAGTTCCTAGACATTGAGTTTTGTATCTAGACTGCTTTCTAGACTGCCTCAAACTGCCTGTGTCACAGGACTAGTCTAGTGTATTGTCTTAAAGTACTTCAATCACAGCTATTTGTGTGATGCAAGCAGTTTGATGCACTATAGAGGGAGCAGTAGTTTCGGGAAGACCGGGGGCAAGAGGTTTAAAGATACATTATGGGAGATTCGATAACGAGTTGGCAGTTCTCACTATAATAATTAAAAACTAGATAACGTAAAGGCAATTTGCTGAAAATTTCATTCAAATTGATCCACTATGAACTGAGAACTAAGCGAGTGAAATTTCTGCCTAGCCTCGGTTATCATTACTAAAGTCAGTACGATAAACAGCTTAGTCTCGATTATCCGTTTAATCGAGAAGGAAAGTTATGCAGTAAATCGGCTCACAATTCACTTAAGATCGCAGGCTAGCGATGCCATCTAGAGTTGATTATGGTCTGGATAAGTTAATTAATGTCTAATTAATAATTTAGATAACATTTCAGGCCTAAAGAAAGACCTGCAATAGACAGATTTAGCTCTTGCATAATGTATGTTTAACATGTTTCACTATGGAATACCCATCAAGTTTTTCCACACTGGGATAATTGTGTTTTGCTGTTGATGTACCTAGGGTTTGTATCTAAATAAGATAAGGTTTTAACAATTTTGACACCAAAATAAAGTTTGATGCTATCACAACATGTCTTTTTTTTTTTTTTACAGAGACCTGAAATCCGTTGGTTTTCTGATTATCCTAAGGTTGTAGCCATACAGAAAATACTAGTACATCGATATTTTTTCTATTTTGAATGTAGCATGGCTTTTATCAATGTTATTCTAATATCGGTAAGTTTGGTTTTTACCACAAGTATCTGACATTTTCAGCTTAGTGCCTGACATGTGTTAATAATATCAATAAAAAAGACAAATTAGTGCCGGACAAAATGACAGGCACCAATAGTTTAGTGCCTGACAAAACCTGATCTGTACCTGACATTGTCTGTGACAGGTGCCTTATTTCCAGGCTGTCTATAGATAACGTGTCATTAATGTGGTATACGGGGGCCATAGTGGCTCGCTATTCTGGAGGGCCCATGTTCGAATCAGAGTTAGCAGAGAAAGTTTATCAGGATTTTCCGACATGGTTCCCGCAGGGCCTGTTAAGGGACAATGCATAGTTGTTCAGATAGGATGATAAACCGAGGTTCTGTGTACACATTGGTGTGCATGTAAAGTAGCCTTGACAGTTGGAATTCGAAATAACAGTAAACTGTTCATAGCACACATTCTTTTATTTTTACATCAATGTGTACACAAAACTTCAGTTTTCTTTTTGTCCAATCCATATGAGTAGGGTTGATGTTTTAAATTCCAAACTTTATATGAGTTTAGGTTTGATGTTAAAGATTTTGATGAAATTAAATTCCGAATTAATGATTTTTTCATTTTTTGATGTTTTTGAAATACACTGTACATGTTTGTTATTGAATTGTAGGTTCAACTTCAGTTACAATATGATAGATCTTTGACATCAAGTCATTCCACATTACGGGTAAGTTATTTATTTCTAAAAGAATTGCCAGTAGAAAGATGATGAATAAACAGCATGTGATCACTTTCATATTATGTCATTAGCCCTGTCAGTCCATCTGGTGTGACACATTGGGTATTTAACCCAGTCGGTGTAGAAAAGATGGACATAAAACACCATTTCTTTTCATTTCGCTAAAACTTTTTATCTGCAATTGTATAACTTTATGTAAGGCATTCAAAACAGACAATCCCAAGCAAAAAATCAGGATTTGATAAGCAGAATCCATCTGTTGTCGGGGAGACTGGGTGCTTTAACGTGTGCATGTGAAACAATGAGGTCTGTCATTGAGACAAGTGGCGTGGTTTCAATTCCCAGCTTGTACGGGACAAAGAGTAGAATCATCTCCCTAACCTTATGGGTTTTCTCTGGGTCCTGCGGTTTCCTCCCAATGCTAAGTAAATTATTGAAATAAAATTGAACCATATGTTAGTCCTGAAATGACCTAGTTTGTGTCCAGTGGAGCTAAATCCCATTTCTCTCTCTCCCTTCTGTTGTCTGTCATTTTGTCTGACACAGATTCAGCTTTGTGTTATTATTGATATATTTAAAATGATCATAATTAATGCCTGACATTTTGTCAGATACAACTAAAATAGGGTCCTGACATTTTGTCAGATACAACTAAAATAGGGTCCTGAGTTAACAAATCATTCTCAGACTTAAGTTAAGAATTTACTCAACTTTCAATCACTGTTTATGAGAAAGATCTTTGTTCCTTGTTCCAGAAACACAAAACTTTGCACATAGTTTCTTATTGATGTATTTGATACATTAAAACAACAAAAGTTTTATAAATGGCTATATTTTAGTTAAAATAAGGTGAACAATTTTGAGTAAATTCTTAACTTAAGTCTGAGAATGCTTTGTGAATTCAGGGGCCAGTATTTCAACGCCATATTATGAATTAATATATTATATTTTAGGTGATAAACTTCTGTTTTATAATATATTATGTGATAGAGCAATGTTTAAAATTGTGGGCGATGGGATGGAGGAGGTATGTGTCGGAACGAGAACATATATTTGAAGCTGTGATTACCATAGCTCTAGCTGTAAGTTTCATTCTATTAATGACATTAAAAAGAAGTCTCGATCTGAATGTGTAAACTGGGTTGGGAGGTCTAGTGGTTTAACCCTTGTGCTTTAGATCATAAGGTCTGTCATTGAGTCAAGTGGCATGGTTTCGATTCCCAGCTTGTACGTGACAAGGAGTAGGGTCGCCTGTCAAACCTCATAGGATTTTTTGGGGGAGTCCTCCAACTTCCTCCCATAGATATAGATCCCTACGCACAAGCAAATTAGGGGGTTGGATGGCTGAATGGTTAGCGTGTGCGCGCTGTATCATAAAGTCTGTCATTGAGTCGACTGGCGTTGTTTCGAATCCCCGGTTGTACGTGACAAGGAGTAGGGTCGCCTGTCCAACCTCGTGGGTTTTCTCCGGGTACTCCGGTTTCTTCCCACTGCTAAAGACCCCTACCCGCAAGCGATTTATTGAAATAAAATTAAAACCATATGTTAGTCCCGAAATGACCTAGTTTGTGTCGAGTGGACGTTAAACACCATTTCTCTCTCTCTCTCTCACAACCAAATTCTTGAAATAGAATTGAACCAGATGTTTGTCCCGTAATGAACTAGATTGTGTCGACTGGATGTTAAACCCCATTTCTCTATCTGAATGTGTAAAATCTTCAGTGATTAAATAAAGTACTTGAAATATATGAAATTATGTTGGAAAAGATTGCAATTTGATACAGCATGTTGTGGACCTAGGTTTTTGCCCCATCTGGATGACTAGGTGCTATTTTTTTTTTTGCCAGGCCCTCTATCTTGTAGCAAGGACAAGGGGGGACAACACAGAAAATTCTGAGGAACGTTCTTGACCAACACCAGTATGCAACCCTGAATCTCCTGGATAGTGAGTCAGCATTTTACTCACTGAGCCTCTGTGGCTACTTGTACATACATTAGTATATAACATTATTATTCAGAAGACGTGAATATTTATTTTGAACTTTGTTTATTTTATCAGATTGGAGAAACTGTTAATGCTATAGAATATGGAATTCCAGTGTATGGGTAAGATATCAATTTATACAACATCTTCATGAAAATAAGTTTAAGGTTTTGTTGTTGTGTAAATTTAAGATCAAAATATATTAGCCTACTTTGGATTTCATTTCCCGTAACCCACTTCAATAAAACAGTTAACACTGTACCCCAGATATCATTTAATCTTGTGTATCTAGCACTAATTTCTTTCACATTCGTTTAATATCAAATCCTTGTTCAAAAATTTGTAAAAATCGTTTAAAATCGCCAAAAATCATGTAATTTGTACTTGTGTCCAGTTTAAAGCTGACCATTCAATTCTGATAATGAGAGTCCAATTTACAAGCATTTAATTTTTCGATCACAGATAAAAAATAAACAACCCAATTGATTATTGTTGTATAATGTAGGGTGGCCCATGTACTCACAGAAATACAGTCCACCGCTGATAGTTCGAGACTACCACTGAAGCGTGCACATTCGCCGTGCCGAGACCAACTTTCTGACAATATGATACTATAAATAGCCATGGCACGTGCAATTCTCTACAAATCTATCAACTATTACAGCCGTAAAAAATTTATTGTTGACGATTTTGAATAGCAGTAAAATTAAGCTTCTTGGTTATTACAGCAGATTTAGAAATTACGTTCGTTTCATTTTTTAAATCGCTTTATCATTAACTGTACCGTTAAGAGCGGCATCTTTTGGTTTAGTACAAATAATATCTCTGAAACACTCAGGTTAGGCAAGAACATGATACTAGCAGTAGTTTCATTTTACTTTTACAAGCTTCTTAAAACGATTGTTGAGCTACCTAACGTGCTTATTTCTAAATTCAATTTCTTGTTCTAGCTTTCTGTTATGTTTCGTAAAAAAGTAGTCTTGATTATCCCGACCTGTCAATCAGAAGTAGAATGGTCGATAGACTGGTTAAGCGAGACTAATTTCAAAACAAGGGCACGTAACCTATCTTTTACTCAAAAGTGTCTGGATGTTATGGACGACTCTTGGAACCAGTTTTCAGTCTATTATTTATACGTGATTAATGGCCATAGCTTATTAAGTACAACATGATCGTTTATTTAGTGACTATAATTGTGTGGAACTGATTTGAGGCTTGGCATATATATAAGTATTGTGGCGTAATTGTCGAGATATATGGAGATATTTATTTATGGTGGGTCACCCTATATAATGATTAATTTTTGAACAGTGGTCAGAAAATTAAATACTTGTAAATTAGACACTCCTAATCACTCAGCTTTAAACTGGACACAAGTATAAATTAGATGGCTTTGGGTGATTTTAAATGATTTTTACGAATATTTAAACAACAAAGATTTGATATTAAACAAATGTGAAAGAAATTAGTGCTTGATACACAAGATTATATGATACCCGGATTACAGTGTAATTTTATTGGCCAATTTTAAGAAAATTGGATTCCTTCGATACTTCTTTTATTTTTATAAATTGATATGAATAATAATTTTTGTGTATTTTTTCTCTAGAAATAATATTCATGGTAAATTGATGTTATGGAATATTATACGTATTATAAATATATTGATAATGATTCGTTTGTTGCGAGTTATACCTCATATACAGGTAAAGTCATTTTATTTTCTGGTACCTTATTCACAAGATCTTACACTAAGGCAACACAAAAACAATATTCTGACTCTCAGACAGTCCTTCCCAAACGTATATTGTCATCGCCCCTGTCCGGACATCCGTCCGTCCACAATTGTTTGTGAACAGTCTACAGGTCACAATTTTTATCCGATTTCAATGAAAATTGAAATATAGGTTTATCACCCTAAGATCTCGGTTCCTTTCGATATTGGCATGTATCGGACTGTAACTTCATGGATTATGGCCCCTTTTTATGGCCTCACGTTTTTAGCTTGTGAACACTGTAGAGGTCACAATTTTTATCCTATTTGGTTTAAACTTGAAATGTATGCTTATAACCCAAAGATCTTGGTTCCTTTCGATATATGCGCATATTGAATTGTAATTTCTTGAATTATGGCCCTTGATAGTAGGAAAAATCACTTTCTTTTTAGCTTGTTCTCTATCCATCTCTCGAAAATGTGGGCATATCCTGCCTGGCAGCCGCTGGTTGTTTTATTTTATCAAAATCTGGCTATTTTTTCATTTCTAAGAAAAACACAAAATTGTTATAAGTTTAATGTTTATTTAATGCTTAAATAAGAAAAACAAAAAAAAATAAATAAGATTTTGAAATAACGGCCAAATTATTCTGTGACTTCCATCAAGATGAACTTTTAAGAATGCAGTCTGAGAGCACAAATTTCCTTAGTATTTTCTGTCATGGTTTCCCATTGTCAGTGGTGTAGGATGGAGAGCCTAACAGGGACAGTTGTCTATTCGTGTGGATGCAAAGAAAAATGGAGGTCCTGTGTATATTTTGGCGTGCACATAAAAGAACCCTTGGCAGTTGGAATAAGCTGTAATGCCATTGTCCAGGTAAACTTTCCCTCATAGCACACTACATGGTGTATGCCCGTCTTCATTAACCCAGTTGGTTCAGAAATGTAGGACATTATATTAAACCCCATTTATTTTATAACATGTTGTATTTATTTCAGGCTATGTCTATTATAGCCAGTACAATCATTGATCTGGTTAAAAATATGAAAGCTTTCGCTGGTATTTTAATTGTAAGTTTTTTATTCTGATGGTCATATGTCGGGGAAGTGATAGTTATATGTTAGGAAAGTGATAGTCATATGTCGGGGAAGCAATATTTATATGTTGGGGAAGCGATGGTAATATGTTGGGAAAGCGATGGTAATATGCTGGGAAAGCGATGGTAATATGTTGGGAAAGCGATGGTCATATACTGGGGAACCTATGGTCATATGTCGGGGAAGCGATGGTAATATGTTAGGGAAGCGATGGTAATATGTTGGGAAAGCGATGGTCATATGTTGGGGAAGCGATGGTCATATGTTGGGGAAGCAATAGTTGTATTCAGGGGAGCAATGGTCATGTGTCGGGGAAGCAGTGGTCATATATCAGACAAGTAATATGGATGAGTGGCTCAGTGACCAGTAGGTCTCGGTTTAGACCAAGTCTGGTTTGCCCTTGTCAGTGGTGCATTACAGGGAGACTGGCAAAGATAAGCAACTAATTGGGATGGAAAGGAAAAACAATGTTCAACTGTGCATATGAGAAATAACCAGTGACAGTTGGAATTGGAAGGGTTTCCCTCATAGCGTGGGGAGTTGAGGGGTTGGATGGCCGAATGGTTAGCATTTGTGCGTTGTATAATAAGGTCTGTCATTGAGTCAACTGGCGTGGTTTCGTTTCCCCGGTTGTACATGACAAGGGGTAGAGTTGCCTGTCCAACCTGGTGGGTTTTCTCCGGGTCCTCCTTTTTTCTCCCACTGCTAAAGACCCCCGCACAAACAAATTATTGAAATAAAATTGAACCATATGTTAGTCCCGAAATGACTGAATTTGTGTCGAGTGGATGTTAAACCCCATTTCTCTCTCCCTCATATTGTAGCGTATTGTATATCATTGTGGTCTGAAACCTTATGTTTAAGTAAACACAAGTTGTCTCCCTTATATTGTTGTATATTATGGTACTTTTGGTGCAGAAAAGTAGGATGTTTAATCTCTAGTGTTATGGTTAATTTTATATTCTATATTTCTAATAAAACGTATCTACTTCCAGGTTTTTTATTATTCATTTGCTATTATGGGAATGGAATTATTTCACGATGCCATCAAATATAATGGAAATTCTACACACAATGGGTAAGAATATAAATTTCCTCTAGCTCATATTACTGGTTGTATTTCTGGAGGGAGGGGGGGCAGTCAGTATCATTGTGGACCAAGCAGAACTGTCAGGATTTTTCAAGTTCGTTTGTAAAGGGTGATGATTGAGGGTCTGATGAGGAAAGTGTGCCTAGTCCTTCAGTTGGGACAAAAAAACTGAGATCCATGTATGCACAAATTTATGTTCAAGGGAAACAGATGGAGAAACACCAGTGTGTGTAGCATTGCACACATACCTATAGAAACTAAAATTACCATCTGTTAAACATGCATTATGCAAGAGCTAAATCTTCCTATTGCAGGTCTTTCTTTAGGTGTTAAATGTTATTTAAATTATTAATTAGACATTAATTAACTTATCCAGACCATAATCAACTATCGATGGCATCGATTCTAAGTAGATTAGAACAGTTCAGCCATTTAATGATTTAATTTAAAAATGGAAAATCGAGGCTAAGCTTTGATTAACCAGCACCGTGGTTACAATAATAATCAATCAATGGACACATCTTGTCAAAACTACAAACATTGATAATTTCACTTAGAATGAAGTAATGTGAATGAAATTTTCAATATATTCACTTTGCATTATGTATTTTCGACCTATTGTAGCAAGAACGTCCAGTTCTTTATCTAAATCTTACATAATGTATCTTTAACTAGACAAGATTGATGAATAAATTAGAAACACAGACGTATAGTCTGGTGGCGGAGAAGGAATTGCCACTCGAGCGGAAAATTAATAAGTTTTTCTAGAGCAGTTTTTTTGCATAGATTTCGATAATTGGTGTTGATCAGGTGTTTGAGAAGACTTTTCCAAGAAAATGAGTTGTAGTCGGTCCAATTTCTAAAGTTTTTTGGAAATGTTGATGATCATTTTATTGCACTTTGTATTTGTGATGATATATTTAATTCAGGAGTGTTCTTCAGTACGAATGTGGATCGTATCAACAGTTGGATTACTGGGCCAATAATTTTGATGATTTCGCAGTAAGTAAATATTTATTGATTAAAAGTCTCAATGTTTGACCGGGTATCCGTATTGGCTTGGTATCATTATTTATGGGCATGTTGTATATTGTATCGATATTAACGACTGATAAGGTTTTCTCGGATATTGTCAAGTTTATGTAAAACTTTCTCTCTCTCACTCTCTATCTTTGGAGCCACGGTGGCTCAGTGGGTAGGACAGTGGCTCACTAACTTGGAGGTCCCGTGTCCGATCCCTGCATTGGTCGAGAAAGTTCATCAGGATTTTCCAGTGTGGTTCCCCTTGTCAGTGGTGTAGGACAGAGGGACTGGCTAGGAACAATGTATAGTCATTCGGATGGTACAAAAAAACGAGGTCCTGTATACACATTGGCAAAACGTAAAAGAACCATTGACAGTTGCAAATCGAAATAAGAGTAGGCCATAGCAGAGCTATCGGGGCAAAATTTACCTCATAGCACACTGCATGGGAGACACCTACACGCAAGCGAATTATTGAAATAAAATTGAACCATATGTTAGTCCAGAAATGACCTAGTTTTTGTTGAGTGGAGGTTAAACCCTCTCTCTCTCTCTCTCTCTCTCCCATGTCTCTCTCTCTCTCCCATGGCATATGCCAGTCTTCATTAGCCCAGTTTGAGCAGGACAGTAGGACGTTAACCACATCTCATTTCATTATATTTATTTTCTCTCTATCTTTATAGTGCTAATGCTTCTTCAAGTCCGAGGGAAGATTGGGTGGTTGTGTCTTTAGATCATAAGATCTGTCATTGAGTTAAGTAGTATGGTTTCAATCCCAAGCTTGTACATGACTAGGAGTATAGTATCCTGCCAATTTTGAGTATATGTAATTTATTAGTAGATGTAATTTGAGGTTAATAATTTATTACTGTAATTTCAGGCATCTGTGGTAGTATTATGGGATATAATGGTTGTCAATAACTGGCATGTTTTTCTTGCTGCTTATGCAAAAGCTACATCTTAGTAAGTTAATTTGAAATGTCTCCCTCTATATAATCATAGATATGTTGCTCAAATGATAAACAGTAAATGGGGAGGCAGCCAGTAAATTGTTTTTTTACATCAGCATAGCAAGTATTTGTGCCCTGGCACATACAAATTCTATGTAAACATTCTGGGATGGAGCAATCCAGACAATTATGGTGGTTATTATATATAATATGTTATATTTCAGTTGGTGGTATATATATTTTATACTATATGTTATATATTACAGTTGGTCATATATGTATTTTATAATATGCTGGGGGATCACGTAGCTAAGTGGGTAAGACGCTGGCTCGCTGGCCTGGAGGTCGGGTGTTCGATCCCTGCATTGGGCGAGAAAGTTCATCCAGATTTTCCGGCGTGGTTCCCCCTTGTCAGTGATGCAGGACGAAGGGCCTGACAAGGACAGCTGTCTAGTCCTTCGTATGAGATGAAAAACCGAGGTCCCGTGTATACATTGGAATGCACGTAAAAGATCCCTTGGCAGTTGGAATTCGATATAAGAGTAGGCGATAGTGCCGCTGCCCGGGCAAAATTCCCCTCATAGCACACTGCATGGCGTATGCCCGTCTTCATTAGCCCAGCATAGGAGCAGAACAGTAGGACATTAAACCCCATTTCATTTCATTTTATAATATGCTGATTATTATGTATGTTAATTATATTACAGTTGGTCATATATATATATGCTATATTACAGTTGGTGGTATATATATATTTAATAATATGATGGTTATTATGTATGATATGTTATATTACAGCTGGTGGTATATATATTTTATAATATGGTGGTTAAAATGTATGATATCTTATATTACAGTTGGTCGTATATATATTTTATAATATGGTGGTTGTTGTCGGTGGTTATAGTTTTGAATCTTTTTACAGCCTTAATTTTAGAGGTAAATAATTGTATAATAAAAACAGAAATTTTTTAACGTATGGTTTTGTTATGATAGAAATATTACACTACAACCTGGCTATCATGTAGTTTTAGCAGGAGTTTCTGTATTTAATGTTTAGTTTCATACCATTGTTGGCAAATTGTTCAAATCCATTGTGAATTATATAAAAAAACTATTGTTTTTCTACAGTCGCTTAGTTTGAGAAAGTAAACAGTTAAAAACCTAATGCTGATTATCTAATCTAGACAGACCATTTTAAAATATGCGACAATAGAGAGAGAGAGAAATGGGTTTTAACGTCCACTCGACACAACTAGGTCATTTCGGGACTAACATATGGTTTAATTTTATTTCAATAATTCGCTTGCGCGTAGAGGTCTTTAGCAGTGGGAGGAAACCGGAGTGCCCGGAGGAAACCCACGAGATTGAGAAGGCGCCCCTATCTCCATGCCACATACGCTCACACCAGGGCTCGAAACCACAGCCGCAAGCCAGAGGTGACCGGCCAGCCAGAGGTCGAAGCGCGGCACTCTAGACCACTAGGCCATCCCAACCCCCATGCGACAATAGAAACCCAATAGTTTTCTATATGATTCTCAACGAATTTGAACAGTTTTCCAACAATGGTTTGAAACTAAACATTAAATACAGCACAACTACATGATACCTGAGTTGTAGTGTTAATATCTTTATACTAGTGATGATTAGTTTAGAGTTGGGTGTTCTAGATGAGAAGGGGGGTTGGATGGCTGAATGGTTAGCGTGCGCGCGCTGTATCATAAAGTCTGTCATTGAGTCGACTGGCGTGGTTTCGAATCCCCGGTTGTACGTGGCAAGGAGTAGGGTCGCCTGTCCAACCTCGTGGGTTTTCTCCGGGTCCTCCGGTTTCCTCCCACTGCTAAAGACCCCTACGCACAAGCGAAATATTGAAATAAAATTAAACCATATGTTAGTCCCGAAATGACCTAGTTTGTGTCGAGTGGACGTTAAACCCCATTTCTCTCTCTCTCTCCATTAAAGCGTTAAAAACCATTTTATTTCATTTCTCTCTCTCTCTCTCTAGATGAGAAACTCAGTTTGAATCTCGTTGGGAAAGAAGAAGAACCATGGAATATTTTAAGTCTGGTCACCATATGCCAGCAAGGCAAAAAGAAAATAATATTGCCCAGTGATTCGAATGGGATGATAAAACAGGGTCCACCCCATGTAAAGGAGAAAGAAAAATGACTATGGGTTAATTTAAGAAAGACAAAAGTGTTGTGTTGATGAAACATTAAACTCCATTCTTAATCTATCCTTAGATGGAAGGCATACAAAACTGTGAATTTTTTTTGCTCTCAGTAAAAAAACTATTATTTCCAATAACCCTACACATGCATATGGATAACAATTACTCCTGGTCACGTACAAGCAGGAAATCAAAACCATGTCACTTCACTCAATGACAGACCTTATGAGCTAAAACGCCTGTGTTAAACCATTCATGCTCCCCACCCTCATCCCACCCCACCCCTAAAGATCCAATAATTATATGATGGTAATAATAAGATGGAGATATAAACTATATATGATCTGTTCTGCTGTTTCAGAATTTTATAATTAAATGGGATAAGAATGTTTTAGCATCTCGAGAAAGAAGTGGAACAGTCGAGCTAGAAGAAGCCAATAACCTCATTTCGCTCCATCAAATGTTCAGGTAAGACTGTCATCATTATTATGTAGGACCGACGAGCAGTTTCTTGAGCTAAATCTGCCCATTGAAGGTCTTTCTTTAGGCCTGAAATGTTATCTAACTTATTAATTAGGTATAAGTAATCAACTTACCAAGATCAAAATCAACTCTCAACGTCATCGGATGCCTGCGATATTTAGTGGATTCAAATATGTTTTGGTCGTTTTCTGGTGAATGCAGTTACCGTAAAAATGGATAATCAAGACTTTGTTTTTATATCGTAACAATAGTAGTAATGACAATCAAGGCTAGATTATAATTGTATCGCCGATAACTTGGCTCAGAGTGAAGTAATTTGACTGAAATTTTTAGCGTATTCTCTTTTCATTAACCATTTTTTAACTATTATAGCGAAAACTATCAGCACTTTATCTAATCTTACCTAATGCCGCCTTAAAGGCTCAATACCACTCTTGTTGTAACTGAATAATATGTCCCAATCTTTATTCTGGTCAACAAATTGTACTATTTTACAATATTCCAATTAATTGATGATACAAATTTCATCTTAACACACCTAATTTAAAAAATTGGAAAAATTCAACTAAATGGTTTGAATAGCCTGACGTAAAGCTTTTCAAATGTTACTTGGATTTAAAAATATTTTTGAACCCTCTGGACAAGTAAAATAGGATTTAATGGATAATTTACACAACAGGTAGGTCACTAACACATCTAATACTTAGAATAAGGCAATTTTTTCTTTTCTGGAGCTGTCAAACCAGCAAGAGTGTTATTGTCCCTTTAATGTATTGGCTGACATAATGGGAGCCCTACTAAATCATCTTATCTGAAAAACATGGTTTAAACAGTATTTATTTTGAAGATATTGAACAATTTAAATACATTAAAGTCATTTGCATTGATAAATTAAACAAAGTCAAAATATCAATGGTAGATAAGACTGTAACACGGGTATCATTTAATCTTGCATTTAATTTCCTGATTACTGTTCAAAAATTAATCTATAAATAGTTATGTTGCTTATTTTTGAACAGTGATTTAGAAATTAAACACTTGTAAATTGGACGCTCTTTATCAAAATTGAATGGTCAGCTGTAAACTGTTGACTGTACCCTGTATATATTGTTCGCAATGAACCTTGAACTTTGGAACTCGATTATCACAGGTAGACAATTTAGCTTGAAAGCGCGCGACTTGGTATTCGCGACGATCGAGGAATCTGCTAGATTCACAAGCTGGGCTTGTACTCAATCGAAATTAGTGCCGAATATGCAGGGTATTACGTGAAGGCCTTGATAAGATGTACGTGGTTAAAGCGAGATCAAGCCTTCTATTGAAGATGGCCCGACCATTACATTGAGAATAAACATAATTATACATGAGGAACTTGTGGTATCTGAAATACATCAGAAGTATTATATTTTTGTATATATTTCAGGGATAGTTTAAAAGAACCAGCAGAGAATGAACTATTGGTGGAGTTAACAAATCATAATTACTTGATGTTAGATAGATGAATAGTAGATTCAACCATAGGTCTCATAATAACAAACCCGTCACAGGAAGTAATTCAATCACAGGTCTCATAATAGCAAACCTGACACCAGAAGTAATTCAATCACAGGCTTCATAATAACAAACCTGTCACAGGAAGTAATTCAATCACAGGCCTTATAATAACAAATCTGTCATAGGAAATAATTCAATCACAGGCCTCATAATAACAAACCTGTCACAGGAAGTAATTCAATCACAGGCCTCATAATAACAAACTTGTCACAGGAACTAATTCAATCACAGGCCTCATAATAACAAACCTGTCACAGAAAGTAATTCAACCACAGGTCTCATAATAACAAACCTGTCACAGGAACAAATTAAACCTTTCTCAATCAGAATTTCTCTGGGGCTTATCATCAGAAGTTATTTTGACAATGGTCTACTCTTGGGTGATTTGTGATTGACAAGGAATATAACTAGCTGACAATACCACCCACAAAGTGCCTCTGACACAGGTTTCTTAATTTTTCAGTGTTTTAGTGGAAGTGTCCATCTCCCTGGTTTTAATCTGATTATATTTAATTCATGTTTCATAGAAAATGAATTATGTCTGACATCTTTATTTCTATGCCTGTTAACATAACCGAGGATATAACCAATTGATTCCATATAAAAATATCATGGGAGTGGGGGTGAACTCCACATGTTGTAGACCCCTTTAGATCATATGGTCTGACATTGAGTCAAATGTCTGCATGTTGTATGTGTTGAGTGGATGGTATGCCCTATTTCTATCTAATGCTATTAATAACATCATATTGAAAAGAAATTCAATTGGGATTTAAAATCCTACTTTTCTGCACCAGCCGGGCTAATGAAGACCTTGTTTTTTTTGTCACATCAAATTAACTACACACGGTTCCTTGTCAGGCCTTCCATCCTCCACCACTGACAAGAAGAACCAGATTGACAAATCCTGTGGGAATCTATAATGCTACACATAATATCAATTAATGCATTACCTAACATTTCTTAATGTTGCCAAATATATTGTCAGTCTTTGAAATGCTTAAACATATACATAGATGTTTAAAATGTTAATCTGGAATGCTTAAAGGAGCCAAGTCTTTAACTCAGTATCATCCACAGTCTTCGACATTGGTCACTTTAAATCAACCTTGATATTGTTATCTTGCCGTTAAAAGATGGGGTTCTGATATCCAATATGTAAGAAAAAAATAAACATTTTAAAATTAGCACACGAATCAGGGGCCAGAATGCGCACCAAAGACCTCAATTCAATTCGAACTCTTTGCATATTTCACCGAAATTACAGTAAAAACGGAAACGATTGAATGTAAATCAGTTTATATGTATATACATTCATATTACATTATTATTTCCTTTGCAACCCATTTATGTCCATATCTAGGTGCCAAAAAATAGCGATTTAGCTCCTTTAACCATGAATTTTCAGATATTTACGTTGCATAACCATATACATTCTTTGAAATGCTTAATCATACATTAAAATTATTATTCATACAATGCCAAATAATTGCAATGCTTGTCCAGTCATTGTTAGTTTCTTTGAAAAACTTAATAATAGGTTGCCAAATTATATATTTGAAATGCTTATCCATATATGGCCAGTTGTTTAAAATGCTTAGTCATTTATAACCAAGCATTTTAAAACAATGCCTGTAGAATATATTTTCATAATTTTCATTCATAAATTTTAATCATTTTATTACGTACTGGATATTGTCATCTATATTCTGAATTAAATGTAGACCATAAAAGTAACAACTACATTCAGACACTCTCCTATACTTGTTTCAATATAATTAAATGTATTCATTGTCTCGTTTTACTGATTTAGTATTTAACTAAACTCCTTCTGCACCAATATCCATTGCCTTTATAAATCTAGCGTTATTTACCATTTTAATTAACTGTTTAGTTCAAGTCACTAGTGGCAACATTTTAATAATATTTTATTGGGTAACTAACTATACTTAAACTACTGGAGACTAGTGTTTTAACAACCAAGTCATATAGATTAAACCCAAGTTTCATACAAATGTCTAATTCTTTAATCCTTTATTTCACTAATCACATTGTAAATTATTGCACCATGTATACATAACATGTTATTGTCTGCAATATCATCTCGGTGGAAGCAGACGTAAAATACAACTAACTCACGTACACACACATACATATAGATTTCACCTCAGTGGAAGCGGACGTTAAATAAAGCTATTTCACACACATATATAGGAGATATATTTAAATTATTATAAAGAATGCACATCGTATTGTTCATTCCATTTTAGTTGTTAGTCGATTTTAATGTTGTTGCTGTTTGAATAAATTCATATTCAGATTACACAGTTGTCCCTGTTTTATGGATGTAACCCACTAGGTTACACATAGCCAGATTCTTTGAAATGCTTACTCTTATATATTGTAGGATATTTGAAATGTTTAACCATACATTGTCAGATTCAGTGAAGTGCTTAATCATATACATGTATTTCCAAATATTTTAAGATGCTTATCCATGCATTGTCAGATGTTTTAATACTTAATTAACTATATATTTTTAAATAATTCAAGTGCTTTATCATACATTATCTGAATGAAAAATGCTTTACCATAGATAGTAAATGGTGCCTTTACTTTGTTGATAAAATGTTTATATTAGTAGAGTTACTGAATAACCTGGTGATTATTGTCCCCCGCCTTTCGAAGAAAGCAGGGGACTATTAAAATGGGTTCGTCCGTCTGTCCGTCCGTCTGTCTGTCCGTCTGTCTGTCCGTCTGTCTGTCCGTCTGTCCGTCCGTCTGTCTGTCCGTCACCTTTTTTGGGACACAATAACTCTCTTCCTAATTGAGCTAGAATGTTCAAACTTGGTGTATGTGTTTATTAGGTCAATGCCTTGATGGAGTTCGAAGATGAGCATTTTCCGCTTAGGGTAAGCAGAGATAAGCAATTTGATTGGTTGATGCTTTGGGACACGATAACTCTCTTCCTAATTGGGCTAGAATGTTCAAACTTGGTGTATGTGTTGATTAGGTCAATGCCTTGATGGAGTTCGAAGATGAGCATTTTCCGCTTAGGGTAAGCAGAGATAAGCAATTTGATTGGTTGATGCTTTGGGACACGATAACTTTTAATTGAGCTAGAATGTTCAAACTTGGTGTATGTGTTTATTAGGTCAATGCCTTGATGGAGTTCGAAGATGAGCATTTTCCGCTTAGGGTAAGCAGAGATAAGCAATTTGATTGGTTAAAACTTTGGGGCACGATAACTCTCTTCCTAATTGAGCTAGAATGTTCAAACTTGGTGTATGTGTTGATTAGGTCAATGCCTTGATGGAGTTCGAAGATGAGCATTTTCCGCTTAGGGTAAGCAGAGATAAGCAATTTGATTGGTTGATGCTTTGGGACACGATAACTTTAGTTCTAATTAAGTGAGATTGATGAAACTTGGTGTATAGTTTCATTACAGTAATACCTTGACTAAGTTTGATAATGAGCATTTTCTGCTCAGGGTAAGCAGAGCGATACGCAATTTGATTTTTATATGTGTCCTCTAATTATTTTCCTATTTCGGCGGGGGACATCAGCCTCACTGTTGGCTTGTTATATTAGTAGAATTACTGAATAGCCAGATAATATTAGTAGAATTACTTTTATATTAGTAGAATTACTGTAATATTTGTGGAATTGATGAATGACTGGTATATTTTAGTAAAATTGCTGAATAACTGCTATATATTAATAGAATTGCTGAATAACCTGGTTAATATTAGTAGAGTTGCTGAATAACTGGTTAATATTAGTAGAATTGCTTAATAACTGCTATATATTAGAATTCCTCAATAACTGCTATAATATATTAATAGAATTGGTGAATAACCAGTTAATATTAGTAGAACTAGAATTGCTGAATAACCGGTATATATAGGTAGAATTGTTGAATAACTGGTATATATATTAATAGAATTGCTAAATAACCTGGTTAATATTAGCAGAATTACTAAATAACCTGATGTATATATTAGTAGAATTAATGAATAGTAATTTGAGTCATACATTCCTCTTGTATATATGTAAAAGTATCTAGAAATTGTCTTTCATAACAAACATATTATATCTGATTTCTTGTTTTCCAATTCACCGCATCAGCTTATGTCTTGATTATTAGTCTTCCTTTTACACAATGATTTTTTATCCTGGGAGAAAGGTACATTATGAAATGAAATGGGTTTTAACGTCCTACTGTTCTGCTCCAACTGGGCTAATGAAGCCATACAGTGTGCTGTGAGGGGAAATTTTACTCTGACTGCAGCGATACAACCTACTTTAATGTCGAACTGTCAAGGGATCTTTCACATACATGGCAATGTGTACATGGAACATCAAAATGACTATACATTGAACCACAAAATCCTGATACATTATGACTAAATTCTGAAACCAGTTTGAAGGAAAATATACCCACCTTAAATTGGATAGGTACATTTCTGGACTGTTAACCCATAAAACTAATGGTATTTATTTCTGGACTGTTAACCTATAAAGCTAATAGTATTTATTTTCTTCCACCCTACACCTCTTCCACGGGACACCTATTTATTTCTGGACTGTTAACCCATAAAACTAATGGTAGCGTGGAATACTTGCGCAGGGATAGACTCTCTTGCACCATTGAATAACCCGAGCAGTATTCAATGGTCATTGAGTTCTATCTATTTATTTCTGGACTGTTAACCTATAAAACTAATAGTATTTATTTTCTTCCAATCTACGCCTATTTATTTTTGTACCCATGGAGGTGGCCAACCTTTTACATTCCATGTGCTAAGAATTAACTGTAGGACTTCACATGTCTCATATAACTTGATAGAATTAAGAAAAAAAAAAAACATAAAAAAAATATTTTATTGAGACATTAGATTCCTGTTTTGTTCTCAATCTGGTTAAAACACAGATCTGATTTCGTTTTTTATAGTTCAAAATTTTGTTTTACTTGTCTTTCCTACAATAGGATCTGGAAGAGTTTTTATATTAATTTAGCCAATTAAACGGTCTGTTACCACAAGTTGTTTGCATTTGATGCAAGGAACTATGGCTAAACCACTAGAAACGCCGATTGATTAATCAATGCCTGATGTCATACGGTCAAAAGCTGCTCGTACGACCCCTGATGCAACCTTCCAGTACAACTGGTCAGATCTTCATGTGGTGTAGGCGATCGAAAGTATAAAAAAACGAAACGAAATATAGATCTGTATTTTAATCAGATTGGTTTTGTCCTTACCCAGCTGTTGATATTATTTTGTAGTTAAATTAGTTATTTTTTATATTAAATCATTATTACAATGAGGTGCTATGTGGCACCACTTGAAATGGTCTATTGTTTGACCATCCCTGATTGAAACTCTGCAGATTCAATTATGTTTATTGAACATTTAAAATAATAATTTTTTAATATATCTTTTAAATAACTATATTTTTATTTTAAAAATAACTATATTTTTATTTTAAAAATAACTATATTTTTATTTATAAAAATTTAATAACTATATTTTTATTTTTAAAATAACTGTATTTTTATTTTTAAAATAACTGTATTTTTATTTTTAAAATAACTATATTTTTATTTTTAAAATAACTATATTTTTATTTTTAAAATAACTATATTTTTATTTATAAAAATTTAATAACTATATTTTTATTTTTAAAATAACTATATTTTATTTTTAAAATAACTATATTTTTATTTTTTAAATAACTATATTTTTATTTTTTAAATAACTACATTTTTATTTTTTAAATAACTACATTTTTATTTTCTCTCCATTTTGATGAACAATTGGCCAGTCATCAGTGTTCATTTGTCAGTAATCTTGTGCTTAATGTTTACATACCTGACTTCAAGAACTTGCCAAAATAGTTGGTCTATTAGATATATTTGTTTTTAGTTTGGGTTGGAGGCCTTTCATTTACCCTGGCAAACTCATTTTTTCCCATTTAAGCATGTGAAATTTACGTTTTACAACAGAATAATACTGTATTAAACTTAACACTTGACAAGAACTATAAAACTATTTCAAATAAAGTCCATTAGCTAAGTCAACTTGCAAATTTTTGGATCACACATACCTTTGTGACAATGTCTAATCTTTCAAGGAACAAAACCGGTTTGGACTGATATTCCTTTCAGGTGTTCAACTTTTTCAATATTGTAGTTTGCAAAGCTTTTAAAGGCTAATAAAAGATCAGTGTAAAACAATGAAGCTCTTTAAGTTTGAACCAATTTTAGTTTTTTAGGGATGAAGATATAGACTCTGTACGTCAACTTTTTATTTTTTTCTTTATTTTACTACAGTGATAGAAATAGATGTTTTAAACAAATATGAATTGTGCAATATGTAAAAAGAACAAAAATAGAAAGGTCATGAACTCTTTGATTTAGGTAAAAACAAGGGAAGTAAAAGTTGGATTAGACTTTCATTTGATATGGTTTTCATTTGTTGTCATGAAATTGTTATCATGTTAATATAATATGCTCCCCAAACTCCAGATAGTTGGTTTGTTGATGCTATCAGATTGGCTGAAATATTTCAAATAAATTCAAATTTCAACGATGATTAACAATGTGTCCTGTGTACGTCTATCAGGGCCGATCAGAGACTTCCTAGGCATAATTGAAAGTTTATAATGTAGTCATGTTTACCCTGTCACTAATATATCAGCCCTTCCCTTCAGTTTAATTAACAACCGTTTTATCATCACAAAACAAAGTTCCGTCAAGTATTGTATCATTACAAACCACACTATGCTTAACCTAGCTTGTGATGACAAAATTAACATATCTACTGATCATTTTTAGTATTATTCCAATTTCTTTATATACATTTAACAGTATTTATTGTAATCTTTAAATGACTTTTAGTAACTGGATAGAGTTATGGAAAACAGCTTATGGAAAACAGCTGCTAGTCCAGTGATTCTCAACCAGTGTCCACGGCACACTATCTTCCTAAATGTGCCACAAAATTTTGAACGGCACACTAAGAAAATGGGTAAAACCCTGTAACTCCAGTTGAGTATTCACTGGTGGCTATTGGTAAGTTCATAGCTGTGTTTTTCTTTATTTAGTTTGAGTCATTTTATGTATGTGTCTATGACTAGTATGTGTCTATGACTAGTCTGTGTCTACGGTTGTATGCCGTCTGACTTACCATGTTTATATTTTGCAAAATTCAAATATTTTTCATACATATTTAGCCAGGTGTGCCGCTGTTTTTTCATGTGTTCCAAGGTGTGCCCTCGGCAAAAAAAGGTTGAGAATCACTGTGCTAGTGTATTTTAAGGGGACGTTTGGAAGAGTATTCTCTCATTGTTATCAAGCTAATCTGTATGTGTATAAGTGTGGTTTTATTTGTGGTGGGGGGGGGGGGGTATCTATTGGTTTTTAAAGGTAAATTTTATTTATGACATGTAAATTGACTGAATCTATTGTGTATTAAAGGTCAATTCTAATTTTATGGTAGTTAAATTGACTGAAAGGTAAATTCATAAATCGGTCAATTTTGGTGCTATTGAGTCATTTCTGGTGAATATGGCTGAATAGAGAGCCTTGAGATGGATCAATTTCATCATTTTTGACCTGAATCAAAGAGTTTGATCTCCTTTTAACTATTAATAGTTTGTTGTATAATGCTCAGTATATAATTGTGTAAATATATATAGCTGTTGTATAAAATATAATTATGTATATGCGGGTATGTAGTTAGATTGTTATTTTAGTAGAAATAAAAACATTTACTTTAGTTATTAATGTCTATTCATTTCACTGGTCAAGTCCAGGACAAGATGGAGCCACGATGGCTAAGTAAAACGTTGACTCTCTAGCCTGGAGGTCACGGGTTCGATCTTGGTGTTGGCCAAGAAAATACATCAGGATTTTCGGTGTGGTTTCCCTTCGTCAGTAGTGCAGGACGGAGGGCCTGTCTAGTCGTTTGGATGGGACAAAAAAATGAGGTCTCATGTGCACATAAAAGATCCCTTGGCAGTTGAAATTTGATACGAGGAGGCCGTAGCGCTGCTGTCCGGGCAAAATTTCCCTTAGGGCGCATGCCTGTCTTCATTAGCAGAGTCGGAGCAGAACAGTAGGGCGTTAAAACCCATTTCATTTCCAGGACAATCTACTCCCAGCAATGCACGGTCCAGGGCAGAGTTCTCCCATCAATAACGAGGATGTCTTGGGTTCATTCCCAGTGTTGGCCCAGAAAATTCTTCTGGTGTGGTTTCCCTTGCTCAGTGGTGCAGGACGAAAAACTGAGGTCCTGTGTACTAATTGGTGTACATGTAAAAGATCCCTTTGCAGTTGGAGGATGCTACCAACATATTAAATTATCTCTGCCTATAAGAGGGAGTGGGAAATGGGGTTTAACGTCCACTCAACACAACTAACACATGGTTCAATTTTATTTTAATAATTCGCTTGGCATAGGAGTCTTTAGCAGTGGGAGGAAACCGGAGGAGCCGGAGAAAAACCAACAAGGCTGGACATCAACCCTATTCCTTGTCCCTTGTCACATACAACCGGGGAATCAAAACCACACCAGTTGACTCAATGACAGACCTTGTGATACAGCGTGCACATGCTTACCATTTGGCCATCCTTCTCCCCCCCTTGGTCATTCCGGGACTAACATATGGAACACGTTTGTTTCAACAGGGGTCTTTAATAATGGCAGGAAACCGGATAAAACACACAAAGTTCAATAGCCGGTCCTACTTTTTGTCAGATACAAGCTTACGATTAAAAATGTGTCGTCTGAACACAATGACATACGTTTTGATCTGCAACTCACATGTGTAACCACTTGACACTCCATACACCCCCCCCCCCCCCCCCCGGACCACCATTCAAAAGAAACAATTGGTAATATGATGAATATTAATAATAAATTTATAACTATAGTTAATATAAAAATATTTAATGTACGACAAATAATAAATCATACAAGTATAAAAATATTAGATTCTTGATCATGAAAATTTAATATTAGAAAATTTATAAGCAAGCCCTAATGGTAATCTTCAAGTATATTAATTATTTTAATTAAATTTATAAACATAATTAAATTGATAAGCAATGTCTAATCATAATCTTCAACTACATGTATTTTTTTAAAATCATAATTAAATTTATAAACAGGATTAATTTATAGGTCATATCATTAATCTGAGAATCTTATATTAAATAATTCTACATTCAGTAGATTCTATTCATTGGGGGCACGAGAATTTTCAAAAATCCCTTGCAAAGGTGCTTTGAAGCATGCCCTGGATACAAAGAAACAAAATCAACAGCAATAATTGATAAGAACGTGGGATTTGGTTAGTTAAGAAGAAAAACCAACATATAATAATTTTTTGAATTGTTTAGATACGATAATATAAGATTTTATTGTATCATTGCATCCACCAAGGACAGCATACACAGTTTAAACAAAAGTTGATCGTACAATTATAACATAACATCTGGGGTTTATGTCTTAAGGATGGAAAAGGGTGTATGCCGTCGCTGCCCCTGAGTTGGTGCCACCCCCCTCCTTTATTTATACATGTATACTGATATGATAAATGATTGTCATTTACAAGAACAATACAAAATCTCAACAACAGTTGTAAAACATTTATTTAAATAAAAATAATTTAACAATGCTTAAAGAAACAATGCCCCCTTGTTACAACCTTATTCTGAGCAAAGCCTATTCCCGAAGAGCATCAGGCTATATGTATCAGATTATAAGAGATAACTTACTATTTGTGTGTAACCTGGGCTGGATTAATTTTAATAGGGGTGGGGGTGTCTGAATTAACACTATTTGAGTATAATCACTAACCAGGGCTAGATTAATTTTAATAGAGGTGGGGGGTGTCTGAATTAAAACTATTTGAGTTTAACCTGGGTTGGATTAATTTTAATAGGGATGGGAGTGTCTGAATTACAACAGAAAGCATAGGGGTGGGGGGTGTCTGAATTAAAACTATTTGAGTTTAACCTGGGTTGGATTAATTTTAATAGGGATGGGAGTGTCTGAATTACAACAGAAAGCATAGGGTCTGCGACATTTGTCGCACTTTGCCCCCCCCCCCCACTCCCACCATAAATCCAGCACTGAGTTTAACACTGATTATACAGGCTACATATAATTTCAATAATTTTTGAATGAAGCAAAATATTAAAACGTAATTATGATTATACTGTACCGCCTAATATCAATAAAAGTTAATAGTCCTTTAAAATAATACCCTGTATTTTTGGTGAAATATAAATCATGTAAAGGCTAATTTAATTTATATAATTTATCTTGTAAGAATTTAAAAGAATTGTTGTCCAGATTCTCAGAATAGTTCATTTTCAATTTGAAATTCACAAAACATGGTGTATTCAGATTAAATTAATAGGGTTTAATTAATGTGGATTTATCGGTTAAAAATTTGATTTATATTTGTCCAATTCACTCAAAAGGGCACTTTTGGACATGGCCTTGCATGGATATTGCACAATATATAGAGACTATTACTATTATTATGTTTTAAATTTAAAGGTTCATTTTAATGTTAATTTAAGAATTTTTGTCTACTTTATTCGAAATTCAGTCAAAATAAGAGTATCACCAGATTAAATTGTTATATAACTAAATAAAGAAATACAAAGATAATATAAACATTGGACATGATAAGAGACTTGAGAGTTAAAAATAGGCTAATTCTTCTTCCAGCTTTAAATCTGCTTTATAGTTATTAAGAGTTAACTCCCCTTGACCAGGTAATGGTTGGTAAATTCTAGCGTGAATTGCTTGTCCATTTCCTACATCAATCTGAAAATATACATGTACATGTATGTTGTATTTAAGACGTTTTTACAAGAAACCGATTATGGCTAATCGCTTTATATTTCCATTCCAAACACATTTACGTCAAAAATTAGCCTAATCGGTTTCACCAAATTGTCATATTTACCACGGCGATTTGCCAAATCGATTATGCAAATCTTCAACTTTCTCGCCTGCCGGATTGACGATTCGATTTCCAAGATGGCGTCCCCAACAAGGGACACGACCTGCCCGACTTTAGTTCATTTTCTTTTGAATTTCACATTAAAATGTGAATATCATGGACATTCCTAATAAGAATACAGGGCATTTGTGGACAGTCAACGGTACAACTTCTCGTTTTTATTTTTGGGCGGTGTTGCCAAGAAAAGAATAAAGAAAAATGAATTTTTTTAACATTTTTCCTCAATTCTTCAGTCATCTTGCGAGGCAACTCGTCGCGTTTACGAGAACCGATTCAAATACCAACTCGAGACTTATGTCATGTACAATACGAGATAGGTAATCGAAATCTTAATCTATAATTGTTTTTTGAGGATTTTTTTTAACTGGGGTTGGGTGGCATAGAATTTGGTCTATGTGTTAACTTAAAAAAAATTGCAAATTTAAATCAAGAAGGTGTTACAAACCTTTACAAAGTAATTTGTACCAGCAACAACTTGAGACTTATATTCTTTAGCAGTATAATCTGTAAATTTACGGCCTGCTTTCTTCTCCAAATCATCTCGAATCTAGAAAGTAAATAGTTTTTATTAATGCATAATCAGGGGCAGATCCAGCATGATCAACTCCCAATTACAGGGCAGATATAAATACAAGTCGATATATTGGGCCCAAATTTGTAAAAGCTATAATATAAGCAGTCTGCGAGGTGGAAAGAATTCCCTGACTGGGTCATCAATTATTTACTGCATGTACATTAGGGGGTCACAGTGGCTTAATGGGTAAGCTATACTGGCTCGCTAGCCTGGAGGTCGGGTGTTCGATCACTGCATTGGCCAAGAAAGCTAGTTCATCCAGATTTTCTGGCATGGTTCCCCCTTGTTAGTGATGCAAGACAGAGGGCCTGACAAGGACAGCTGCCTAGTCATTCGGACGGCACAAAAAAACGATGTCCCGTGTGCACATAACAGTTGGAATTCGATAAAAAGGATAGGCCGTAGTGCTGCACACTGTATGGTATGCCTGTCTTCATTAACCCAGTTCGAAGCGGAGCAGTAGGACATTAAACCCCATTTCATTTCATTTCATTTGCATATATACATTAGAACTAGAAGCTCATGTAAATTGAAAAAGTGGGCGTTCCTGCATTCAGCCGTATCCAAAAAATATAATACTGAATCCTTACTGCGTCACACAGTTTCTGTATTTCCTCGTCCGCAGCTTTAGTTCCAGAGGCTCCACCAGGCATTGACATTCTGATAGGTATGTGTTTACAGTATTGTAAACAGCTTCAATTGTGCGAAAACTGGATTATGGTAATCTGTTTGTCTGAGCTTTTTGTGGTTATGGTGTGGTCATGTGACAATGCAAGTCATGTGATATTTACGTAGACTTTATCTTCCAGTCCTAATTTGCTCATTCGCAACTGCTGTGCCACAGAGTTTTACTCTGTGTGCTGTGCGGTGTACTTCGAACATGCGCATTATAAACTTTCCGGAGATTTAAAGTGATAGATACACTTCATAAAAATGCTGCCCCCCACCCCCACACACACATTCGTTATCAAGAGAGAAATGGGGTTTAACATCCACTCGACACAAACTAGGTCATTTCGGGACTCGTTATCAAGTGCCAGTGCAGTGTGCATGGCCGTTAGATAACAGACCTTATCTCTCAACCCTCCGTATTTCGAGATAAGAGATGGTGCTATATAGTTCCATTTAGCAAAGACCAACGCAAATCACACCGGGACTCAGTAAGCAAAATTGACAATATTTTTCATCAAAACAACGATTGATTATTGTTATTTATAATATTTCTGTCACATCCAACTACAATTAAGCATATAATCCTATAAATCATCGTATTTAAAATCGAGGCTTTATAGGCCGTTACTAGGAACGCCATTTTTAAACGAGAGATGTATGACGGTGTATGTCGGATAAAAACAAAAAGGCGATAGTTGTGCCACTAGGCCCTATATTGGTCTCTGTAAGTTTAATTAGTCATAATAGTATGAAATTAACTTATTTTTAAGACGTTACATGCATTAATAAAGAAATTGAGTTTGCCACTTGGAACTAAAGGCACCCAATCGTAGCTATAAAAACAAGCAAATCAGTATCTCTCAACGTTTTTAGCTACTTCTCGTAGCTATGCGGTGATAGGCTATTAAGGTATGCGTCCCCATCCATTAGCAAATTCCTGACTACGTCACTATACAACAAGTATATCTTTTGAAAAATATTAGCAAATGTTTTTCCTGAATTTTAATAAGCTTTTGCTACAAATTCTATAGACTAGGTAGGAGATCCTCTAACCTGTGGTACGTGACAAGGAGTAGGGTCGCCTGCCCAACCTCGTGGGTTTTCTCCGGGTCCTCCGGTTTCCTCCCACTGCTAAAGACCCCTACGCGCAAGCGAATTATTGAAATAAAATTAAACCTTATGTTAGTCCCGAAATGACCTAGTTTGTGTCGAGTGGACGTTAAACCCCATTTCTCTCTCTCTCTCTAACCTGTGGGGAAGAAATCCGAAACAAATGATTATTGCTTTCTTGTAAGAAGGTATGTACGAAGTACTCCAAGAAAAAAAACAGGGTCGTTTTTTATACGCCCACATTTTCATGTGGACGTATATAGTACTGTCCGTTCGCCAGTCCACATAAATTTGTTTGTGGACGCTCTACAGACGAAACTTGTATTATGGGTTTATCTCCTAAAAAACCCGTTTCTTTTCGAAATTAAAAAGTAGGCCTATCGGTCCGTAACTTCGTGGATTATGGCTCATGATTCTACAAAAATCACGTTTTTAGATTGTATGGACTCTCTAAAGGTCACAAATTATATCCGATTTTGATGAAACTTGAAATGTAGGCTATGTTTATAGCCCAAAGATCTCGATATTCGCTCAAGTGGCAATCAATTGAATCCATGCCAGTGGGGGTGGGGGTGGGGTTTCTACCGTTAATTAAATCTTTAAATAATCAATCTGTGTACATGTTAGCGTGGATTAAACCGTGGGAAATTTGATATTTTAGCGAAAAATGCAAATAACGTATCGTATTTACTTTAACTGTCTCTTGGGGGCAAGAAATGCGCCACGTTGATTGTTTATTACAGCAAATATAACCGTCGTTTATTGCATGTCAACTTGATATCGACCAAATATGTCAATATTACTTTTATAGTCAATCGCAGGGGTAATCATCATACATCATAGCGATATTATCATTTATCGATATGTGCCTGCTATAAGAGATACGTTGATTGATATCATTGAATGATAACTCATCAAATGGTCGATAAATCATGCAAAATCAGAACAGCTTCTGCACAAGGCCGAGTAATAAAATATTAAAAAAATACTTTAAAGCACGAGACTGGTGTCACGGTTAAACTCGGTGCCAAGTCAAGTCGTGTGGTTTTCATTCCAAGCTTGTAGGTTATTAGGGATCGTTTTCTCGCCAGACTTTGTGGGTTTCTCTGGATATTCCTGTTTCTTCCCGCTGCTAACGATACACAGGCGTGAGCGAATTATTGAAATAAAATTTTGTACTATGCATTAGTGCAGAAATGACCTAGTTTGAGTTGGATGGTAGTCGCGGTGGCTCGGAGAGTAAGACACTGTGGCTCGCTCCCTTTGTCTGTGGTCAAGGAGGGCCTGGCAAGGGGATAACTTGTAGCCGTTCATTTGGGACGAAAGAGTAGGCCGCGGTGAAGCTGTTCGTTCAAAATTTACCTCATAGCACACTGTTTGGCGCAGGCATTATGATTATGATCATAGGGTTGAAACCCGCATTAAGACCATGACATTTTTTTTCAATTTAAGACGGGGTGCAAAAACTCAAAACTAAAGGGGGCGTAAAAACTCCTGGCGCCCATTTCGCTTAGCCCCCACTTCTGTTGGAGGAGTGTACCAGCCGGATCAGAGTTCCTAAGAGCCATTGTCTCTTAAAATTACATATTCCACTCTGAGCGTTAGCTATACACCCGACTGAGACTGTGATTAGAGTACAGTAAAACTTGAATTGCGAAAAAATAAAGTTTTATGACTGCAATTTATCGCTTTACGAACCACCAAGCGTTATCATCAAAGATTCAAGTATAACACACGACTTGTAAATTACCACTTTTTGAACTTCAGTATTCAGATTAATAAATCCTTTTTATCAGGGACGAAGTAGTAGAAAAACTGTGCTTGCTTTGAAATGTAAATCGCAAAAACTTTCAGGGTAATTATCTATGCTCACTTTGTAGCATCGTGTGAATGCTCCAACGACAAATCAACTGATCTGCTTGAAATTTATATTCAAATATTCAAATTATAGCGACAAGGTAGCCACAGTCCTTTAATTACTCCCTTTGCTGTGCGCGTGCCGACACTTGTTTCGATTATCGGGATGAATAACAATAAATGCAATTTCCGATACTGATTTCTAGAGCTATTACCCTTCAGAACATTTCCGCTGATCGTTACATCATAGGTACGGATGGCTAGTGTACTATAGCTATAGGTATCTTGGTAATACCAGGACTTAAGAATTACGTTCTTATTGAATTGGACGAGTGAAGGACTTTTATAATTTTCGGTTATATAGACCAACCTCATTGAACAAGATAACAGTATACCCAGATAGCGTTGCTGGTTGCGAAGGGCTCCGATAACAGTTCAAATTGGAAATAGAAGTCCACCTCTGCGATTGCTTGCTTAATGTAACTGATCGAATATCGTGTGTTACATGGTAATACTAACTGGATATTGACCACAAGAGTTTACATGTTAATATTGGGTGGGTTAGCGGGACAACATCAAAATCATTAACAGTACTGATAACAAGTTCGGCTTTGTTAAGTTGCAACATGAACGTCCAATTCCGGTCATGAACGGTTGCTACCGGTGATAAAACTTTGCACAATAAGAGATGGTATGAAAAGAAGAGATAGCGAACGGGAGAAATGAAATGGGGTTTAACGTCCTGCTGTTCTACGACGATTGGGCTAATGAAGACGGCCATGCGCCATGCAGTGTGCATTAAAGAGAAAGTTTGCCCGGACAGCGACACTACGACCTTCTCTTAGATCGAATTCCAACTGCCAAGAGATATTTTACTTGCATGCCAATGTGTACATGAAACCTCGGTTTTTCGTCCCAACCAAACGGCTAGACAGCAGTCTTTGTCAGGTCCTCAGTCCTGCACCACTGACAAGGGGAGACCACACAGGGAAATCTTGATGAACTTTCTCAGCCAACACTAGGAGCGAACCTACGACCTCCAGACTAGCGAGCCAGCGTCTTACTCACTTAGTCACTGTGGCTCACGGAGCAGAACAGTTGAACGTTAAACCTCATTTCATTTTCCTATTTTTCCGAACCAATCGGACTATTGAAGATATGCATATGCTATGCAGAGTGATATGACGCTCCAGAGAGCTGGCGAGTACACCACGTATGTTGCTAGCTTGATTCCCGACACAACGGTATAAAACATCGAGAGTGTTAACTGACACCGTACAGCATAATACACTTCCAGTGTAAAGTCAACTACGCCATCAAGATCATCCATAAAACACAGCCAGTTAACATAATAGCTTACGCCATCGTGATCAACGCAAAACGTATCTTTTTTAATGTCTTACAAATAATCGCTATTTATTATATCACAGTTAGCATTTCACAGCTCAAATAAATGTTTTATTGTCAGTCCAGTTCATGCGATTTCGCTGATTTAATGGTAACTTTGATAACATCTTCGGTACAAACTTCATATCTTGAGGTCGGCTGCGTTGAGGCATTGGCATGACCAGGTGATTTAGGCACATATGGGGAGATAATTCTGTTATTCTTTTCAAGTTTTGCTACAAAATCTACTAAAAAATTAGATATATTAGAATTAGTTTCTACTATATTAAGATTATACGAACGAAAATTGTCCTAGATACTTTATCTAAAATCAGGTGGTTGGAGGGAGGGGAGGGGGCAGAAGGCCCGTAAAGGTTATCACCCCCTGGGTGCCAGAAATTTTGTAAATTTCGGCATACACTAGAGGAGTTTTTGGGACGTGGGTGCCATGTGCTTGGTTGTTATAGGTATGATGTTTACCGCAATATCCCTCTTTCTATCTCTATAATAGTATTTAAAATTTTTCTTAATTGACAAATCAGTGGAACAATTTTTTCAGCAGTGGGGCATTCGCCCTGTCCTGTCTAAAATAGTCCTCGATTTTAAATCTCTATACGTATAACTATATCCTCTTTACCGTCGTCATATCCGGTTATCCAATCTCTATAGCATCGATTGTATTAGAGCAAACCGTGTTATAATCATCATATCGTTTCTTAAAACACAAAATTGTGCTTTTTAATGCGGTTCAAGCTGTGGTCATAAAGTGTATAGTGGAATGAATCCAATGTTATTTTGGTGTCTCTTATCGGCTTTGTGAGTTAACCTACGGACTAAATGTGAGCCTTCGGCTAAGAGTGTTACATATTAAGATTATTGTTGACATTTGTTATCTTAACGATTGGTTATACAATAATATACATGCTACTGTTATACAGGTTATCCTACGGGCGTTATACTTACTAAATAGACCATCAGTGGCCCAAATTTGAAGGAATCATCTTGCGGGATAATGTTAATTGTTACCGGTAGATCTATCTATACTTACTACTATTGTTACTGTTGTTACCAAGGTTACTACACGCCATTTTACGCAAGATGGCGATGGAGGTGTTATTTGGTGAAGTTCTTCTGCTAGTTAAAGGTTTTCTATAAGAAAGAGGAGCGTTAAATGATATAGGTACACGTGGTGATATATTGATAGGTGCGTTGATTTTGTTGGTTCTAGGATACATTGCTATCCAAATTTCTTCAGCATAGGGGTCGCGCAACCCTTCAGCATTTGGTGCATCACTGGTCTCATCCGAAGCTCGATTTCCGGATTCCTGTTCTTCTGGTGGTCCTTCTGTGGGTTTCAAGTCACCCGTTGGAAATCGAAGGGTCAGCTCCGGGGAATTATAGTGGATAACCTCGGTTGGAGCTGTTGAGAGAGGCATAGGATTTGCATCTGGTACAACACCATCGGCTTTTTTAGCAACATCAGTACCGGTTTCTTTTCCTGAAGAGTCTTTTTCGTGTTTCTCTTGAGCAAGATCACGCGACACTTCATTTAATGCAGCAGTAACGATTTCCTGTGCAAGCTGTTTAGCCATGAGATATATTGGAATTTCAGATGCCTGTTGTCTTTTGAGTATTTCTTCGTTGTCATTAACTAGTATTTTGACTGAACTGTTCTCTATGCGTTCCTCACGCGGCTCGTTCGTTACCATTATATCGCCACGTCCAATTTCATGCGAAGGCCTACTTAAAGTATCTCTAAAATTAACGTCCACTGTATCAGTAACACGATAAGCTTCATTTGCGTTTGAACGTGTCTTGATGCGTCTCGAATAAGATTGATTAGACCGAGGTTGTGCAGCAGTAGAACGATTTGAGCTATCTTGCTTTATTTCTGGAAGAGTAACACTCGATTCAGCGTGGCACTTATTAGAAGGACCACCGCTGGCGTTATGTTGACTCTGGGGTTCATCCTTATGTATTTCCGGAAGTCTGAAATTATCACCACCCTGAAACATTTCTGGGTGAATTTCCTTTAAATCATTAATGTTTTCTATTTCCGAATTAATCAGGTAATTCTTAACATACTCTGGAATTGGGTCAAAAGTATGATGTTGCTCACTGATGTTATTTTGATCATGGTGGTTACTATGCTTCCTCCGAGGTCCGATCGGTGTATGATTGACATCATCCGGCCCATGAACATTACACCGCGTCTGTGCTAGGCACGTAATACACGATTTAAACAGTGGTAGGCTGTGCGTTGGAGATAAAACCACGTCATCAATTCGTGGTGACTCGGCTTCCGCCAAAAGGTTTTCAATATACTCATAAACAATCTGTGTTTGGGTAGAATGCAAAAACTCTTCCGATGTATCATGGCGCGATAGCAAGAGTTCTGAAACTTCGGGGATATGAAATCCATTGTGAATGCTCTTAATATATAAAAGATATGCGGCGCTGATTTGGTTGACTTGTCGTTCATGAATAGAGTGTGAAATATCGGCTGGTTTATAGCCGTGCATGTACGACATATAGTTCACCAGACGAGAATCTATAACTGTTGGCGCCAATTTAGATATCTGTGGTTGTTGTGGAACATGCTGCTCGTGACTCTTTACCAACCATTTATGACGTAATATTTCCGCCATGGTAATTCGTTCACTTTGCAACGGTTTCATCATTCTGGTTATTAGATCATAACAATCTGAAAATACAGAAAATACGTATAAATCAACCTAATTTAAGCAACCTAGTCATAACCTGTTGACTATTTTATTTATCTAACACTCATCAGGGATCAGTCACATTGAGTAAGGTGGTTGCTCATTAACAAAGTCTTCCCGAATTCCATCCCAGTGTAACTCAGAATTTTCCAGCACAGGGCCTGGCGAAGAAACGCCTCCAGATGTTTCCCTTGTCAAATTAAATCGAAATCCGGATAGGCCGTAGCCTCTAGCACTACAACTTATTCATTATGCTTGTGCCGTCCATTTGGATTTCATATCGATCGAGGAGCTATGGTGGCTAAGCGAGTAAAGCTCGGGTTCGCTCCGGTGATGGCAGAAAAGTTCATTGTGATTTTCTGGTGTTGTTTCCCTTTCCAATGGTGCAGGATAGAGGGTCTGACAAGGACAGCTGTTTAGTCTGGCGTGCATGTAAAAGATTCATTGGCAGTTGGAATTCAACATATAAGAGTATTCCGTAGCGCCTCTGTCCGAGTACAATTTTCGGCATAGCATACTGTGTGGCGTATGCCTGTCTTCATTAGCCCAGTCGGATGCAGAACAGTAGGACGTTAAACCCCATTTCATTTCACATAGACCGATAAACAGATCAGCCTAAGTTGCCAAGAAAATAATGACATACAGAACCACGGGTATCTCAATTTGGCCCATGATAGTGTATCAACATATAAGAGTATGGTTACTCGTATCAATATCTATGCTGGCCTACTTTTCTTTTATAAGAACAAATGGAACAGTGTAAATATAGATATGAAATATTTAGAACGTCTAACCTTTTGACAAGAATGTGGGTACGACGACGCCTTTAAGCACGAGACTGTGCATTTCTGGGATACGTGCAATTCTGGCGGGAAGAAACGGCAGGTGGCCAATCAACATGGCGAAAAGGCACACACCACTGAAAAAAAAATTATTTGACAAGTTTGCTTGTTTTTACATTTTTGATATGATGATTGTTATAAAACAACGTGTAAACTGTGTCTTGCTAGTGGCTTTGAACTAATTTCAAACAGTATTTTTTATTATTGCGTAGCCTTCTAGTATGTTTGTTAATTCGTTATACCCGTCTTTTAAAGGCCTAATTATGACATATTTAAAAGTGGATTAAAGAAGACTCTTGGGTAAAACGGATCCCTGACCCGACCATATTTAATATTTTTATTTTTAAAAAATTATACTTTTAATTTATTCAATATGTAATTGGGGCGGGGGCGGGCGTCAGAGGTAAATAAATTAATGGGTTACGTCTTACACGCTCCATATATCAACTCCTGGACCGTATTTCCGGTTACTAAACACTTCCGGTGCGGCATAGGCGGGTGATCCACATCGGTTGTTAGGAGACGGCATTTCATTCTCTAATACGGCTATTCCAAATCCTGCATGTAAAAGGTTACAAAAGGACTTTAATTATAAGCGATTTATGAAAATCAGAATTTACCAGAACATCCGTTTGACGTTGACAGTTCGCGTAAGTTTTTTAAAGCGCATCAGAGAAAAACGGTGGGAATTTTCAAAGCTGGGTGCATACTGAGCAGTTCACGCGTTGTCACCTTAGCAAACAGATCCGCAGGCGGTTGTAAAGTAGAAAATCCCTAAGAATAATAGCATTGAACTGAGAATCTGTGACGTTTATATTTTGTATTTGGCATCCATAATATAATATAATATAATTTACCTGCTGCCCGAAAAGGGTATTTTATGTAATAAAATATTCAGCTATTGATAAGGGAGGTAATCAGGGCAATATATTCGAATGAAACTTTTTGTGAACCGTTCCGTAAATATTAGACTTAAGGCAAAATCATGCCCAAGTCTTCGCAAAGAGAGTCTTAGGACTTCGCATCCACTACACAATTACTAGATAATATCGGGACTGGTCTGTAAGTGAACTAACTATACAGTTACCCACCTGTGATTTTAATCCGGCCATTAGCATCCAACAACAAATTCTCCAATCTTAAATCTCTAACAAAAATATAATAATAAATGTGTATACCTTATTTAATATAAATAGGCTACATTTACTTAACGTCTAAACAGAAACCGATACATGTTATTATGCTCCCATAGTCGAGTAATGGCTGTCAAGGAAATGAAATGGGGTTTAACGGCCTACTGTTCTGCACCGACTGGGCTAATGAAGACGTGGATAAGAAATCTTATCTCTCCCGAAATTCAATAAGCAAAACTGTCAATTGTTTCTTCAAAACCACGACTGACTATTGTTATTTATTACATTTCTCCACACCCAACTACAATTAAAGGGGCTATGCCTTATTTGAACAGAGTCTCAAAAATAAAAGTCTGAGTATGTATGAAATTTAAACGCTAAAATATAGAGGAATGGTGTATTGACCGTATCTCAAAATTTCAGCTCAAAATATTGAGTCGTTTGGACGTGACCGTCAAAACTGCTTATCCGGACACGTAACCCTTTTAAGATTTCGGGTCAATTTTTCCGTTGGAGACCTGATAATTGATTCCCGTTCATTGAGAGGTCTATACAGTGAATGACCCAAATGCTGTACTTAATACCGAAAGGCAAATTTCACCTACACATTATTTTTATACAAAAAATGTCAGGTTTTATCTAGACACCGCATAATACAGCTTGGGACACTGGTCTGCATTACCAGATGAAGACTGACGGGTTTCAGTTATTTGAAAACTTATCACAAATATTGAGTTAGTTGCTCGGACCTTAGGTAGAGGATTTTAAGGGATTTTAAAACAAAATTAAACAGTTTTATTCTCCAAAAAATTATCGGGATTAGCCCTTTAAAGATGCGTTATGTAAGAATTAAATCTGCCTATTACAAGTTTTTATTTTGGCTTTAAATGTTATATAAATTATTATTTAGGCATTTCTTAACATGACAAGCTTATAATCAACTCTCTAGAGCATAGGATGAAACAGATGTAAATTGGATTAAAATAGATCGCTATTTAATGATTCAATTAACAAATAACGTTGCTACAATAATCAACAATCTATGTCAAAATTTCAATAGTGATAGCGTCGTTGAGAATAAAGTAATTTGAATGAAATTTTCAATATATTAATTTTGAATTATCTATTTTGGAACTATATAGCAAGGGCGGTCAGCTTTTTGTCTAAATCTTACAAAATGTATCTTTTAGCATATAATCCTACTTGACGCGGGTAAAAATGATCTTTTAATCGAAGCGTTAAAAGCGACTATGCTCGACATTTTAAAAGTGGGAGGTTTGACGTCTGAACGTCATGAAGGCGGGGCTACATATGACGGTCAAACAACACTCGGCAAACTCTCGACAGATTCTACACATCAATTAGCATTCGGCAAACCTCGACAGATTCTACGCATCTAATCTCGGCTGTATGACCATTTCCGACATATTTGAACTATTTTAAAGGTTCCGATTGAAAAATGGCTGCCCCCATGGAGATTTCTGTGGAGAGTGTATTATATCAACAAACGTCACGTTTGGCATTGGGTTTGGGGAATTACCAGGGAATTTTATCAAACCAGCAGCCTTGAGACAATATCTCTGCTCATTTAGGTATATACACTCTACAAAAGAGGCAATTTGGGACTTTTTTGTAAAAGCGACACGTTTTCCTGTTTAAAGTAAACCGGCAGCCGCATCGCAAATGTATGGACGTAGGTACATATCACCTACTGTCATACAGCCGAGATTAGATGTAGGGTAACGGAATCTGTCGAGATTTGCCGAGTGATCAATTAGATGTAGGGTACCGGAATCTGCCGAGGTTTGCCGAGTGGGTCAAACAAAAGACGCGACGTAAACAAAAGGAAAATCGCAAGTAGAGTACCTCTTCGGGTCGCGCCTGAGTAATGCACAGTAATTTTGAATGGCGATTCCAAGTCGGTTAAAACCTCGCTTGATTAAAGATACATTATGGGAGATTCGATAAAGAGATGGCAGTTCTCGCTATAATAGTTAAAAACTAAATAGTGTAAAGGTAATTTGCTGAAAATTTCAGTCAAATTGATCCTCTATGAGCCGAGAAAGAAGCGGGTGAAATTTTTGCAAAGTCTCGGAAATCATTACTAAAATCATTAATATAAACAGCATAGTCTCGATTATCCAATTTAATTATCAACGGCCGTTAGCGGCATATAGGAATCTAATCCAGCCAACATCGAAGGCTAGCCTTGACATCGAGAGTTTATTATGGTCTGAATAAGTTAATTAATGCCTAATTGATAATTTAGATAACATTTCAGGCCTAAAGAAAGACTTGTAATAGGCAGATTTTGCTCTTGCATAATGCATGTTTAACTTAACTGACAATATTTGCAGATAATCGAAAGCTGTGTCACAAGATTGGCCCGGTATGTTTAAATAGTCCTAATAATATAAAATAATCTTATTTTTAAGATTTTGCATGCATTAATACAGAAATGCATTAATAAATCGCTAACATTTGGGATCTAGAAACTGACACAAATGGGTCGCAATGCATATAATAAGGTAATATGAAAGTATATAAACTGATTTACATTCAATTGTTTCCGTTTTACTCCAATTTGAAATCAGTTACGTTCGGCGAAATACGCCAGAAGTCTCAATCGAATGGCAATCTCTAGCGTCTGGCTATTATTGCGCATGCTCTCCAGATAAAGAATATGGCATCACCGTTTTACATGACTCGTGAAATATGTCTATAGCTTCGTTCTTTAAGCCCCTTGTTACAAACGGTGCTGAAACGCATTGTGGTAAACGATTCCTGCACCAATGGCAAAATGTTTATTTTGTTTTTAATATTGGATATCAGAAGCCTATTTTTCCCCGGTAAGATCACCACATCAGTGTTGTTTTAAATTGGCAAATAATTCGTGTTTTCAAGATTGCTCGGTGACACAGAAGACATCCAATCGTAGCTGAAAACAAACACATCATTATATCTCAACGTTTTTAGCTATACGTTCCTGTAGCTAATGACGCCGGTTCTCAAGAATCCAGACGTGTGACGTAATATCCTGTTCTAGTAAAGATTTATTACGTACCTGTGTATTATACCTGATACATGTATATGATCAACTGCTGAAACAATCTCACGTGTAAACATTCTAGCCTCATTTTCTAACAAACATCGTCTGCAAGTCAATGAAACAGATTGTGAAGATACAACAGTATGTGACCTATTAGTTTATAAGAGTTTCCAAGAGGAACCTACTTCTGTACTGGAAGGAATATCGCTGGCTCGATGAGGCCAAGGAATTTCCTGGGGATTTTCCAGCCTAATTTCCTTGTCTGTGGCGCAGAAAGGAGGGCATGTCAAGTGAAAGTGTGTAATCCTTTGGGAATTACAAAAAAAAACGAAGTATAGAACCATTGGCAGTTCGGTCGACCCGTATATACATAGGCGTGCACGTAAAAGAACCCTCGGCGACTTGAAAATTATCATTACTAAAGGAATGAAAGTCCCTACATGTTGAAAAATAACTTAAAAGAAAGAAAACCAAATACGCACTTTTTGATGAGAAAATCTAGAAATGATCTTCCGTCTGCGAGTTCGAAAACTAAATAATAACAGTTTCTGGTTTCCATAGCTTCATAAAGTTTGATGATATTTGGGTGGTCCAATCTTTGTAAAACATGGCCTTCTCTTCGTAAAGATCGTCTGGCTATTTCAGTTTTCACTAAAGTTCGTTTAGTTAATATCTTTACTGCTACCTTTATAAAAAAAATTATAAAAAACATTTAGTCAATTTCTGGCAAAAGACAACGTATAGTCGTTCGGATGATATGAAAAAAAAACCCGTTAGCATGGATACACACAAAAGAACCCTTGGCAAATGGAATTCAATATAAGAGTAGGCCATAGTGTCGCTGTAAGGGCAAAATGTCCCTCATCTGTATATCTGCCTTCATTTGCCCAATCGGTTCAGAACAGTAAGATGTTAAATCTCATTTCATTTGAATTTCATCCAGTCATTGATAACACGAATCCCGGCCATCACAGGTCGCAGTGCCCATACATGTAGTATAAGGAAATCAATGTACTGTATTCCTCGGATGTCACGTTAGCGTGCACTTGAAAGAACCCTTGGCAGTTGAAATTTGAATAAGAGTAAGCGGTGACACACTGTCGGTCTTTATTAGCCCGTTTAGTGCACAGAAGTAGCTCCGCTGTCTGGGCAAAATTCAATCATACAAAACGACGAGCGTCCATTTTTATTAGGCCGGTTAGGTGCTGAAAATTTGGACGTTAAACCTCATTTCCTGATAAAATTAGTGTAAATATGTAATACAATATAACTGTTGACATGGTGTTAAATGATATGTATTTTTATGTTGGCATGGTGTTAAATGATGTTTATATGACTTATAAAACGATTAACAAATATTATAACTTTCACCTATAGACACATATCAAAATACCTGCATAGTGTGAATTCCTCCTATCAACGTATATATTTTATTTATCAACATAAAAACATGTTATAATTTATAACGCTAAGAAATGGCGAAATTTTCATCTCAATGTGTTTCATTTTTATATTGTTCTATTTATAGTTATTCATATTGTTTAATTTCGTATATTATTTAGCTTTCTCAATTCAAATTGTGTGTCTTTATTAAAATTAATGCATAAAGATAGTATAAGGGAAAACGAAAATACCGTCTTTGTGATATTTTTTTTTCACAAGATATGGGAATCAGTCTTAACGTCTCGACAACGTGAGAATTATAACTTACATATCGTCGGTGGAGAATTGACTAGTTATATCCAAAAAATGTTCTAGCTCTGAGTAACAAAAATGTATTTGAAGTTTCTGGGTTCCATATTTCTGCCAGTTAGTATGGATAATTGTATCGACCCATGTTAGTTACATAATGGCCTGACCAATATCTCTAAATGTAACAAGAGTGCCGCAGATAGGGAAACACCACCTTCACATTTTATTTTATATAAGAGTGATAGGGTGGAGGGTGGAGGGTGGAGATAGTACAGCGGGTGGGGTTACACATATGACTGTTAGAATGACAGGGTGGGTGGGTGGGTAGGGGGGCGCGTGGTGAAGGAAGTAAAAGGGACAGCGGTACACAACCTACCTTCTGATTTGTGAAAATATGAGTAGCATATCGAACACGACCAAACGCTCCCTCGGCTAAAGGATCTTCTAAAATATAATTTCCCACTTTCTTCTTTTTCTCGTAATAAAATGGACGATACGTATGTTGACTTTCATCCGCCATGTCGAATCTATCCACAGTGCAGTCTTTATCCCTCGGCTATATCTGATTTTGCATTCACTTTTACACGCGATATTTTATCTAATGTATTCATAGTATCGTTTTACTTCCCAGTAAAATATTTATAATATTTTAGAGGCATTTAGTAACGTGCATATACATGTAGTAATAAACTATATGGAAAACAACTACTAATATATTTATGTTCTTCTCCTCACGTATTTATCTGAAGGGTATTTTATAGTGCTGTATAGAAACACGGCATAATTTTCGCTCACTTAGGATTTTTTTAAAAAAAATCCAATATTACTTCTGGAAAGATTTTACTTATGAGTAAATGCAATTTTACTGTTGTCCACTTATTTAAGACTATTAACGGTTTTTATATTTTATAGTTGGCATAAATATCACAGTAAGAGAGCCACAGTTTACTTTTAATTCCCTTGCGCGTAAAACATTTCATTCTTGTCCACTGATTTCAGAATATTAACATGTTTTAATTGACATCCAAATCGGCATAAAGAATCGAGCCACGGCCTCTTGTCTGCGATATCACCTTAGGTGGAAGTGGGCGTAAAACCCCCGGAACGAACGAACGAGCCACGGCCTATTTTTCATTCACATTTCTTTTCTTGGTTGCTGAAATATAACTATTAACGGTTTTTATATCCAACTTTGGATAAATATCACAGGGATCCGCAGCCCACTTTTTTCACCCACATTATTGTGGTTACAACAATTTTCTCTCGACCACAGACTTCAGACTATTAACGTATTTATTTTTATATCAAATTGTTGGAATCAATATCACAGTAAGGGAACCACAGCCCACTTTGCAATCACTTATGAGTACAACATTTTACACCTGACTTCAAACTATTAACGGTTATTTCAAGTTTGCCACAGTTTACTTTCATCTGTCACTGTGTAACGAATAAAAACAATTTTCCTCTTGACCACTAATTATATTAACGAGTTTTAGATTTAAATTGGCATAGATATTTACTGTATAGCCGTTCACCGTGAACAATTCTTATTCGGTTGATTTCGCCTATACAGTTTAATACATATCGTCTCTGCACAGACTATAAAAGACTGTTTCACAATAAACTATTGTCATTTTTTACTGTCCTACGAAATCAATATCGCATACACATAATTGAAAATCACACAAGACCACGTTATGCTAAACATCTCGAAAGTTCAGGTTGTAAAATATTTAACTCGTTTAAATGTCAGACACTTGTCACTTTTAAGTCATTTTGTTTTTGTTTGTTTTGTTTTGTTCTGCCATTGAATAGACCAGATGAACGATAACACTGATAAAAGTTGAATGACAATTCACGTCTTTGTTGTTGCGTAATGTTGTCGATGACAATTGGGTTGTGATTGGTCAACAATATCACAATGACTCCAATCAGACAAGGGGTCACAGTAGCTCAGTGAATAAGGTGCAAGGTTCATCTATAAGCAGAATGTGCATGGTTCCATCGTAAGTTCCTCTAGATTTTCCGGACGGGTTTTATTTTATCTTGTCTATGGTGCAATAATTCGGACCCAGAGAGGAACAGCGCCTAGTCGTTTGAATGGGATCAAAATCTGAGGCCCACCCGTATACACTAGTACGTAAAAGAGCCATTTTCCGTTGTAATTTGGAATAAAAAGGCGGAAGCGCCCCTGTTAGGGTAAACTCCTCCCTCATTAGTTAAACCTGTTTCGAATGAACCATAGGGATTTTCCAGCGTGGTTCCCCTTGTCAGTGGTGGGGGGCCTGTCAAGAGCTGTCTAGTCGTTCGGATTGGACGAAAACCCGAATTCCTATGTACACATTGGCGTGCACGTAAAATATCCCTTGACGGTTGAATTCGATATAGGTAGGGCGTAGCACCGCTATCCGGGCAAAATTTTTTTCATAGCACAATGTATCGCGTATGCCCGTCTTCATTAGGCCAGTTAGCACAGAACAGTAGGACGTTAAACCCCATTTCATTTCATTTAAACCTGTTGCGAACAAACCGACAAATACACATACATATATATTACTGTTCTGGTTATTTGAACAGTTATTGTAACAAAATGTATTCGCTGTGTTGAATTACTGGCAAAAAGTCACATATACAATACTATTTGTTACATTGTTGATAACATAATACTTACATAGTGGTGTATATTGGTGATACACTACAGTAAGATATTGTTATTATACTATATACGACATAGGCGTTATTGTTATTTAACTCAATACACACATTCATTTTACAACACATAAGTAAAGACACACTAATTCATTTCAGACACAGGATAAGAATGAAAGCTGTGTGTTATAATATATCGCTTTCACTGATAAGAATACAATGGTTTAACGTCCTACTTTCTTGGCCGATTACCGAACCGGCTAATGATGACGGGCATTGGCCATGCAGTGAGCTATGCGGGAACGGTGGCACAGAACGCGGTGCTACGAACTACTCTCTTTTTTCGAATTACATGGGGTTTTTTTTACGTGCACTCCATCGTGTACATGGTACCCCGTTTTTTCATACCATCCTAACTAGTCGCTGCCCTGACAAGGAAAAAAACACGTCGCAATTTATAGTAAATATATAAATATCATATGTGACAGGTGTTTCTACACACTATTCTTCCACGTATTCCCGAAGCAATGTCCCGAGAAATCCCTCTCTGGCCATTGCTGGATTGGCTTCTGATACTTGAGCTTTTGAGGGAGTGGGTCTATTATTCCCGTTCATCTATCCCAAGTACAGCAGCATGACAGCCCTTTGTTTAATATGGGGTCTTCACTAAAACTTGGGACAGTGATTTAAGCTATTAAAAACGGTGAAAGTATTGTTCGTCTCTAAACAGTATTGTTTACATTGTATCTGTTTTGATAGCCTCGTTTGTCTCGCAATATTCTGCTATCTACTGGTTAATTGGGCGTAATAAAATCGTGAGTCATGACGTAACGTTCTGTAAACATTTAGTCCACTTTGGAGAGAGAGAGAAATGGGGTTTAACGTCCACTCGACACAAACTAGGTAATTTCGGGACTAACATATGGTTTAATTTTATTTCAATAATTCGCTTGCGCATAGGGGTCTTTAGCAGTGGGAGGAAACCGGAGGGGGGGGGGAGAAAACCCACGAGGTTGGACAGGCGCCCCTACTCCTTGTCACGTACAACCGGGGATTCGAAACCACGCCAGTCGACTCAATGACAGACTTTATGATACAGCGCGCGCACGCTAACCATTCAGCCATCCACCCCCCCAGTCCACTTTGGAGCTATGTTTAATATGCGTAATGATATTGTTACGCAGTTAGCTATTGGTTCTTAATCAGACTATTGACCAGTCATAATTTGGAACAGACATTTGCTTCCATTACAGCAGTGTTAATTGGGGTTAGCTCTAATCAAACGAAACACTGCGAGGAGTATGATTCTTACACAATATAGGACCTCACACATTTTCAGTTTATAGAGCGAGAAAACGTGCTAGATTTGTGCAAATATAACCTCTTGGGCCCAGCCCAAATAGTTCAGACTGGGGTGGGACTCGGACTGTGGAAACTATATGTTTTAGATATTGTACAATGAAAGTGATTTCCGCTGCCCACAACAATAACCCCATGCAGTCAATCTAATAGTGGTTTCAGACCACCTTATATATAATGTCAATTTCTGCGATCTGGGCCCTTATTCACGAAAACTTTAAACTAAGATACAATCGAAATTTTAAGAAATACTGCAATTCGATTGGCTGACCAGTAAAATCAATTTGCATATATCCAATGAAGTTGCAGTATTTCTTAAAATTTCGGTTGTAACTTAGTTTAAGTTTTCGTGAATGACTCTGTTCCGATGTAACTGAACGAGTAGACCCTGATTATATTTCATTTCCATTATAATAAATCGATACAATACGTCTTCTATAGTGTGATTATATTTTCCACCGAGTACAATTAATCTACACAGGTATGACATTTTTATGATTCTTTACAACATTTCATTATTTACAGATATACATATATAATACAATATAATATAAGCCCTGTTCAATCTGTTCCCATAATAAAATCAAAGTGTGTATGTATACATTAATGTGTAAGGTGTGTGTATGTATGTTCGCCCATCACGCTTCGTTGCCGCACTCCACCCCCACATAATATGTGGTATCAATTAAACATCATGACGCCGTGAATGTTTTAGGCCATCGAATTTGGGCCCCGTTCGGATGCGGACCCGTTCGAATTTGGACCCCGGTCGAATTTGGACCCCAGACATATTTGGGCTCCGGGAAAATTTAGGACACTGGCGAATTAGGCCCCGTGCGAATTTGAGCCTCGGGCGAAGCCGGGTATCCTGTTAGAATTACAATAATAATATACGTTACAAGCGGAGTACAGTACAATATAACTCTAAAACTCGGGTATCATGTAATTGTGGTATTTTAACATTTGGTATTTTGGTTGGAAAACTGTTCAGATTCGTTGAGAATCATAGAAACTATCGGGGTTTCTATTGTCGCATAGTTTAAAATGGTCTGTCTAGATTAGATAATGAGTGTTGAGTTTATAACTGTTTAGTTTTCCGAGCAGGGCATAGTCGTTCGGATGGAATAAAAAACTATATATATAAGGTCCCGTGTGCACGTAAAAAAATCATGACAGTTGGAATCAGAAATAAGAGTATATATAGGCCATAGCGCCACTCTCCTGGCAAAATTTCTCTCATAACACACTGCATGGCGTCTCCATTCGCCCAGGAACAGTATAGGACATTAAACCCCATTTCATTTCATTTATTTTACGCTCATGCGAATGTACATACATGTGTGCGTCGATTTTCATCCTAGACGCTTTTCTTTGCCAGTTCCACTCTACTGACAAGGGCTCTCGAAATATTGTATGGGAAAGACGTCGTTGTTTTGAATAATCACATGTGGTTCATTAATGCCCGATGTCCTCATATTTTAAATTGAAATGAAATGAAATTAAATGGGGTTTAACGTCCTACTGTTCTGCTCCTATACTGGGCTAATGAAGACGGGCATATACAGTGTGCTATGAGGGAAATTTTGCCCGGCAGCGGCACTATCGCTTACTCTTATATCGAATTCCAACTGCGAAGGGATCTTTTACGTGCATTCCAATGTATACACGGGACCTCGGTTTTCGTCTCATCCGAAGGACTAGACAGCTGTCCTTGTCAGACCCTCCGTTCTGCACCACTGACAAGGGGAAACCACGACGGAAAATCCAGATGAACTTTCCCGATTTTAAATAGAACATGTAGCCCAGTTGAATCAAGATCCAGGGAATTGCTTTTGTAGGGTGGTGGTGTGGGAGGGACCAGAACCTTTGAATTTCTTTAACAAATTTTAAATTCCATCTTAACTTAAGTAGGCCGCTGGTTTCTTCCAAGAATTTAGGATGGCCCACCGATTTCAATTAAAAAAACAAATGGCTATCTATAGGTTTAAAATATAAATAAACACCGAAGAAAAGTCGCGCATAAATAAATGAAAAAAAAAAAAATTATTTGTATTTGATGAAAGAATAATATATGGTTCTGTTCCACTATGTAACCTGGATGGAACCTGTTCACAGACACAGATCTGAACATTTTCTATGCAGGTAGGTCTCGAGGGCCTGGATAATCTGATCTTTGTTGACGGAAGTGATACACAGGCATGCGTGTTGACCGTTTTCCGTTTCAACAACACGTGGGTTTGTTTTGACTGTTGTAGTTATTTATATGGTTTTATTTTGATTTAATAAGGAAGATGATTTAAATCTACTCGTAAGTAATTAAGAAGGTATGTGATTTGTGAAGCTACGAATGTCCATGGCCCCGTCTTTTGTCACACACCAAGTAGGCCTAATATTTAAAAAAATAGATTCAATCAATGTCTCCAGCGTTAAGGCACCACCAGAGAATTAGGGAACTGGCAATGTATAATTGAATATTCCCTTATACACCCCCCCCCCACCCACCATCTCAAGTTTATTCTAATTCACTTAGTGTTAAATTTACAGGCCCGTCACCCGTTGTGCATCATGCATACCCCCAGACGAAGAGAGCTTTCATAATTGCGAATAAGTGTTGGTTTTCAGAGACTAGTGTAGTAAACTGTAATCATGTTTCTTTGGAGCCACCTGCAGTGGGTTAGTAAGTAAGATCCCGTGTTCATCCTGTGTTCGATAACGGTGTTGCCTGAGGCAGTTCATCAGGGTATTCCTTTGTGGTTCTCCCTTGTCAGTGGTGTAGGATGGAGAGCCTGGCAAGGGACGACGTATCATCGTTCAGATGGGATGAAAAACATGAGATCCTGTGTAGACAATTGTGCAGTGCACCTAAAAGAACCCTTGACATTAGGAATTCGAAATAATCATGGCCGTAGCAAAGCTCTAAAGACTAGATTTTCCTCATAGCGTATATCTACCTTCATATTAACCCAGTTTTAGCAGCTGTAATCCGCGGGCATCATATTAATCGTGTGTATTTAGCATTAATTTCTATCACATTCAATTAATATCAAATCCTTGTTTATAAATTCGTAAAAATCATTTAAAATTGCCAAATTTCACCTATGGATCAAAATAAACTGGACACTACATGTAGTACAAATTAGACGATCTTGGGTCATTTTAAACGATTTTTACGAATTTTTAAACAAAGATCTGATATTAGACGAATGTGAAAGAAATTAGTGCTAGATACACAAGATTAAATGATACCTGGTTTATGTCGGAGGTTAAACATCATTTGATTTCTGTTTTTTGGCTACTCTTTATTTATAATCCTATTCTACTTAGTAAACACTCAGGTTAATGGCAAGTAAGGATGTTAAAAAATTTGGTGAGCAGGTTCTATTATTGCTGCCTGTGTTTTGTATTTCAGGAAGTTAAAAATGGGAATAACGAAGCAATATTTAAGATTTCAACCTGGACCTGTATTTGGTGTAGTAGGAAGCTTAAAGAGTAACATTGTATATTTGGATATTCAGGGTTCTCACGCTAAATTATGTGCTGTCGGATCATGTGAAGATGTTATTGTGTGGGATTTAAAAACACAGGAAAAGGTAAAAAATATTTTTTATTGTCCACTACTGGAGATTTTAGGTTTACAAATCCTTTAAGATTGACAATATACTGATCAAGGACTGTAATCTCACATTGGATAAGTGAAATGTATACATTATATATAGCCAGCATCATGAGGTTGGGTAGCTGAATGGTGCCTTAGATCACATGGTCTGCCATTGAGTTAAGTAGCAATTAGCATGGTTTTGATCCCACACTTACAGTATACATGTATGTGACAAGGAGTAGGGTCGCCTGTCCAACCTCGTAGGTGTTCTCTGACACCTCTAGTTTCCTCCCTATGCTGAAGACCACTACTCTCAGGCGAATAATTGAAAAAATATTTTCCCATATGTTAGTCCCGATATCGTCTAGTTTGTGTTGAGTGGATGTTATACCCCATCTCTCTCTCTTTCCCTGGAAGTTGAGGAATTGCACCATGTTCTGGAAACAGTTAACTCTAACCAGTTAACTCCTATTAGCACATACTGAACCTCTGTGTGGCAAACCATAGGTGCACATATTGCATGCTAATGTTCAACATGCCATAGCAGACGAAATGTTGGTGAAGAGAATTTGTTATGCCTTAAGAAGTGAAATATTTATTTTATTGTAAATGTGAGAGCGAGAGAGAGTTTAAGGTCCATTCAACACAAACTAGGTCACTTCGGGACCAACATATGGTTCAAATTTTATTTCAATAATTCACTTGCGCGTAGGGGTTGTTAGCAGTGGGAGGAAACTGGAGGACCTGGAGAAAACCCACGAGGTTGGACAGGCGACCTTACTCCTTGTCACATACAACAGGGCAATTGAAACCACGCCAGTTGACTCAATGACAGACCTTATGATGCAGCGCGCACATGCTAACCATTCGGCCACCCAACCCCCCTTACTAAATGTAGTCACTTGATTTGTTGAAATTTTCTGTTTCAGTATTTGACGTTAAAAGGTGAAAAGCATGAAGTTACCATAATAAGTCGTTGTCCTGATAACCGCCATCTTGCCGTTGGTTATAATGATGGTATGGTTCGAGTGTTTAGTTTAATCAATCGGGAATGTATCTGTACTTTTAGCGGACACAAATCAGCTGTTACAGCTTTAAACTATGATCACCAGGGCCTCCAACTTGTCTCAGGGTCAAAGGTAAGAATCGATTTTATGATTCTTTGTTTTATTTTCGTTTTATTTTGTAAAGGGTGGTTGGGAGTTGTAAGGATTGAATGCCCAACCACAAGATTTAATGTATTGGGTTTAGTATCGTGTGGCCATATAAGTGCTGGGTGCCCAACCAAGTATTCTATATGTATTGGGTTTGGAATTGTGTGGTCTAATGGTCTAATTCATTGGGTTTAGAATCTTTGATCTATTTGTTGTTGGCACGATGGCCAACATAGTGGTCCAATTATGTATTGCTTTTGGGATCCTGGGTCTGTTCAGGGGTTGGGTTTCTTAGCTAGCTGCTGAGTGGTCTAATGGTCTTAATTTATTAGGCTTTGAATCTTGGATCTGCGTTGTCCAATGCATTGGGATTTTTTGTCTATATACAGGCGAATGATTGGCCAACACGTCAAGCTGTCGATTATAAGGTCGTTCCCCCCACTGTAAGGCATGATAATTTTCACCCATGCTGGGGAAATGGTAAATTTTCATGAGCTAACTGTATGATTTGTATATTTTAGGATACAAATGTTATTGTTTGGGATATTGTTAATGAAGCTGGTCTGTACAGGTTAAAAGGTCACAAGGGGCAGGTAACTCAAGCTGTCTTTCTAAAGGAGAAGAATGTCCTTGTTACAAGGTGAGAATTTACTAAAAGTGTAAAAAGTAGTAAACGATGTTTTGAAAATAGTTGCATCTCCTTGTATGGTTGATGAACATGTGGCACCAAAAAAACATACAAAAAGAATCTGGTCATGCCAGAATTAATTTGTACTATTAAAAATACATATATTTCCACAGACTCAATGTGCTATATATAAATAGTCTCTCTACAACAAGAACACACACTGAACTTTCAGTTTCTAATTTGGATATTAAAGTTTAAATAAATAATAGTAAGTGCAGGAGGACCGCACTACATGCAAAACAAAAATCTACAAGATAAACCTGCGGACAAGACAGAAAATAGACATTGCACCAAATAAACATATATCAAATCAAGTAGTTTTTATCTGTGACTTGAAAGGTTAGATGCAGCAGCACTGAAACTAATCACCAAACTGAAGACAACATAAAGAAATACGATTGTATTTTTCATAAGAGTTTGTTTAGTAATAAAATAATTATGACCAGTGACCATAACAAACAAATATTTAATAAATTATGACTTTTTGCTTTCCAGCTCCAAAGATACATTTATAAAGTTTTGGGATCTGGATACCCAGCATTGTTTTAAAACACTAGTGAATCATCGTACTGAGGTAAAAGATATATAACATTTAATATTGTTTTTATTTTCCTCCTTTTGATAGCTTTGTATCATTTGTTTGATAAAGGTGATTGAATCATTGTCAGAATGTCTGGTAATGATCAATCTCGAGTTGTTAGCCATAGAATTGTGTCTTGTAATGCACTTGTGTTCTTTCTTTTTGACACCCGTAATGCTAATGAAGACGGGCAATCTGATTAAAACACAGATCCTAATTTGTTTCGTTTTTTAGAGTTCAAAATTTTGTTTTACTGGTCTTTACTACACTAGGATCCGGAAGAGTTGTATTCATTGACGTGTTCTGGATAATGTGAGGGATAATGTGGGTAATCCACTAGTAACATTAATGCTGATTGGTTAATCAAATGTCTGACATCATAGGTCAAAAGCCGCTCGTATGACCTCTGACGCGACCTATCGCTACAACCGGTAAGATCTTCATGTAGTGTATAGGCCATCGAAAGTTTAAAAAAACGAAACAAAATATTGATCTGTATTTTAATCAGATTGGAAGACGGGCATATGCCACATTCAGTTTGCTACATGTATTAGCGAAATCTTACACAGACAGTGATGTCTCGACCTGTACTTTTTTGAGTTCCAACTGTCAAAGATCTTTATATGCACTTCAATATGTAGAGGGTTGGACCTCAGATTCTGATCCCATCCTAACAACTAGACACTTTAGCTTGACAAGCCATCTGTCCTCTTCACCATTGACATGGAGAAACCAAACTAGAGAATCGTGAGGAACTTTGTCAACCTACATTACAATCTGCTAATTGGTGAACAAGCACTATGCCTCTTCTGATCAATAGGATATGTTCAAATGACAATTTGTGTTTTTGTTATTCATTACATTGTTATTTTAATATGTCTTTATTTTCAGATTTACGATTTTCAAATTATAAAGAATGGAACACGTTTAATAACAGGATCAGCTGACAGCGAACTTCGTGTTTGGGAAATAAAATATGCCGATAAGCAGGTAGGTGAATGTCAAGTCATGCTGATGGTTTGATGAAATTAATTTCTTATCACATTAATTTTCTAACACAGGTTGATATCATGATGCATTAATTTTCTGACACATTAATTTCTTGACGCATTAAATTCATAATGCATTAATTTCCTGACCATTAATTTATTTTCTTATTCTAATTTATATAGGTAGAAGATGATGAACCACCAGTAGGGAAAAAGTCCAAACTGGAGAATGAAGACAAAGATGATGACTTGGTTAGTAGGTCTTTTTATGATTATATATTATATTATATAGAATATTTCACAGATTAATCCATGCCAAAATGTACTCAAATTGATTAGGAAACAAAACCAAAATATCAATAACTGATAAAAAGAGGGCTATCAACAAATTTCCAATACTTAGAGGTGGCACTGGCTTATTTGTTTTGTTTGCAGAGAGTATAGTGAATGTTGAAAATTTTTCATTTCTTTCTATCTTTGGAAAAGCTGAATAAAATGGAATCCTTCTTGGACTGATTTTCCTTTTAGAGAGAGAAAGAAATTGGGTTTAACTCCACTTGACACAAACTGGGTCAATTTGGGACTAACATATGGTTCAATTTTATTTTGCGCATAGGGGTCTTTAGCAGTGGGAGGAAATCGGAGCGGAGGACCCAGAGAAAATCCATAAAGTTGGACAGACGACCATGTTACTTGACTCAATGACAGACATTGTGATCCAACGTGCATGCGTTAATCAACTTCCCCACAGAATTATAGTTTACAAGGGATTAAAATTCTCTCAAAAAATAATCAGCAGCTTGAACAAATGTATGGAGTAAATAATTTTATTGAATTGTAATTTTTCAGAATATTTTGACATGTGTTAAACTTGGTTCTGTTATACGACAGTCACGAACTCATGTTGTTTCCATGGTAACAGATAAAGAAGAGAAAGTGTTGTTATGTCATGTAAGTAGATGCTTTAAGGCCTTAAAAACCCTGTTATGGTCTTAAGACAGTCTGATTAAAATACAGATCTCTATTTCCGTTTCATTTTTTTATACTTTCGATGGCCTACACTACATGAAGATCTGACCGGTTGTAGTGAAAGGTCGCGTCAGAGATGATACTAGTGGCTTTTGACCCTATTACGTCTGACATTTGGTTAACCAATCAGCGTAGATGTTTCTAGTGGGTTACCCACATTTCCGTGCACCTCACGCCAAAAACTCGCCATAACAGACTGTTTCATTGGTTAATCCCTCACATCATCCAGAACATGTCAATTAAAACAACTCTTCCAGAACTAGTATAATAAAGACAAGAAAAGCGAAAATTTGAACTATAAAATACGAAATGAAATAGGATCTGTGTTTTAATCAAATTGGTCATAAGAGAACTTTGCATGAAATATTCTGTAGTTTTAGATTCTTTCAAGTAACTTAAACATTATATAAAGTCATTGCAATGCATGATGGAAAAGCCTTAAGAACAGCAGTAATTAAATTCCTTGGAAATGAAGATCATGATAGGGGAGGCACTGCTCGACAATATGATTTTTCAAATAACTCATTTCTAATAGCGCTATCAACATGAAATGTTCAGGAGTTGTTCCAATAGACAAAAAAAGGCCAATCAGCAGTTTTCGGAGAATTTGGTTTTATGCTTCTGCATTTCCATGGTAACCAATAAAGCAAATTCCCCCAAAACTGCTGAGTGGCCTTATTTGGCTATTTGAACAATTCCTGAAAACTTCCCAATAAAAGGACCTGGAATAACTTTGCAGAAAATCTAGTGGAAAGTAATTATAGATCATACTGGTATATTCTTCAATACAAGAAGGGTTTTAATCAACTAAAATTATTCTCATCTAAAATCACGATGTACAACATTTTCATATTTTTTTATATTTGAGTGAATATGTTTTTATATTTACAGGGAAATGATAAAAAAGTAGAAATGTTTTCATTGCCAAATGAAGAAGATTTAAAAAAGCGTTTGTCAAAAAAAAGGAAGAAGGCAAGATTAAAGAAAAGGTTGTGTTACAATTTTTGTTGAAAAATTATCAAATCAAATCTTTATTCAGTATTTAAGGCCTCTGGTCCATGGTACATAATAGTCCAGTATAATAAAATATATCAACTATATAAAACATAATTATATTACAACAGATGTTAGCCTTTAAAATATATATTCTGCTACATTATTTACAACGTTTATATCCGACATAGCTTTTATATACAAATAAGTGTTATTACAATAGGATGAGTTGATCCATGGCATAAGTTGTCATCTAAGGTCTCTATACATTTGACAAATTATATATCTTATGAATAATTACCAGGAGTAAGGAGGGGTGGGGGCAGGGTACACTTTAAATCTTAAGGTCTGTCATTGAGCTAAATGACGTGATATCAAAGAGTCATGTTAGACAGACCTACTATAATCTTTGGGTGGGGTTGCATAACTATTGAGAAGCCACAGTGGTTCACTAACCTGGAGGTCCCATGTTCGATTCCTGTGTTGGCCGAGAAAGTTCATCAGGATTTTCTGGCGTGGTTCCTACTTATCAGTGGTGCAATAGAGAAGTCATGGCAAGGGACAATGTATAGTCGTGCGGATGGGATAAAAAATACAAGGTCCCATGTACACATTGACATGCACGCTAAACATCTCTTGGGAGTTCGAATTCGATAGAAGAGTAGACCGTAGCACCGCTGTCCAGACAAAATTTCCCTTATACCACACTGTATGGTGTATGCCCATCTTCATTAGCCCATGTCGAAGCCGAACAGTAGGATGTTAAACCCCATTTTATTGATCAGTAAAAATGTCAAGACTGAAACCCTGTTGTGACCTAAAGCGACCAGAAATGTTATCATAGGAGATTTGTTATCATATTTCATATTTTTGTGTTCTTCAGTGAAGAAGGTAATAAAGTTGATGAAGATGAGGTCACGCTAGCTGCGGAAGATTATGTCAAGAATATAACTCAAGTGTTTTTACCTGCCAAAGTTCGTTCTGTAGATATCGAGTTAGATGAGGGTCAAGTTAAGGTTAGAATAATTGACTAACGATTCTAAGACACCGAATTCAAATCAGTAGAAAGTAATATGAAAATTGAAAGGATATATCTGATTAAATGGCTTTTATTTTTTTTTTAAGATATTTTGAATCATTTAGCTGTTTTTCATTCAAATATTTTTTTAGAATACATATGTTTTGACTTCCTGCTAAGAACAAGTGTTGTTGGTAAGGTTGGTAACTTATTAATGAAAGCAGAGTAATTACACTATAGTTCTCACTACAACTCAAGTATCATTTAGCTCTGCTGTTTTAGTGGGAGTTTCTGTATTCAGTGTTTAGTTTCATACCATTGTTGGTAAATTGTTAAAATTCATTAAGAATCATCGAAAAATATTGGGTTTACTTTCCAAAGCAATGTTGAGTACTGGTAATTAAAAAATACTAACTAATTACTTAATGATTTGAAACTGGATATAGATAATAAAAAAAAAACTAATTAAGGACTTAATGGTTAGAAACCGAATATAGATAATAAAAAATACTCTAAAACAGCACAACTACGTGATACCTGATTTGTAGTGCTATATCTGAACTAAAAGAAAATAGTAGTTTATAACATGTGCCCCTTTTTCATTCTTTCAGATGATGGCCTTATTAACAAACAACAGTATAGAAACAAGTACACTGGATGTTCAAGAGAAAGGTTGTCAGAGAAAGAATATCTGTAGTCATGGTTTACCAGGACATAGAACTGATGTACGAACATTATGTTTTAGTTCTGATAATACAGCCATTGTAACAGTTAGTGCTGAATCGGCCAAATTATGGAACAGGTAAACATTAAAAGATGAATTCACTTCAGAATATGCATAGTTTTATCACTGGATGCTATGGTGGAAGTTGGGTGGCCGAATGGTTAATGGTTAAACGCATGCACGTTAGATCACAAGGTCTGTCCATTGGGTTTTCTATGGCTCCTATGGTTTTCTCCCACTGCTAACGACCCCTAGGTACAAGCAAATTAATGAAATAAAATTGAACCATATGTAAATCCCCAGATTACTTAGTTTGTCTTGGATGTACGTAAAACCTTTAAGGTTTCAGGTCTAGAACAGGTCTGAAAAGAAGGATTTGTCAAACTGACATTTTATACTTTGCTTCGGGCAGGTATATAATAAACATACACAAATTCTTACACTGGACAAAACGAAAGACTCCAGAGTATCATAAGGTCTGTCATTGAGTCAACTTGAGTGGTTTTGATTCCCCCGTTGTATGTGACAAGGAGTAGGGTCGCCTGTCCAGTCTCATGGGTTTTCTCTGCGTCCTCCGGTTTCCTCCCACTGCTAAAGACTCCTTTGTGCAAGCGAATTATTGAAATAAAATTGAACCATATGTTAGTCCCAAAATGACCAGCTTTGTGTCAAGTGGAGGTTAAACCCTGTTTCTCGCTCTCTCTCTCTCTCTTCTATTTTAGATACCGTAATAGTAAGTGCAAGAGAACCGCACTACACGCGAAACAAATCTGTTTAGACAAAACTACAGACATTTTGATAAATAAACAACAAATATCAAATCAAGTGAATGAAAATGTTATTTTTGTTTGCTTATTTTGACTTACATGTTGCTTTTTTTCAGGTCATCCGTAAAATGTATTCGTACAATGTCATGTGACTATTCGCTGTGTTCTGTGTTTGCTCCGGGGGATCGCCATATTATTCTTGGAACAAAGGTAGATGTTTGATTAAATTTCTAAACATTCGACTTGTAAGATTTCTATCAAATTAACTGCCTGTTGAAGACTTTTCCTCAATACACTGCACAGCACTGCCTGGGCATAAATTTCCCATATAACATACTGAATGTCGTCTGCCTGTCTTCATTAGTGCAGAACATTAGGACGTAAATTCCCAATTCATTTATTTGATTTTTAAAGGGAGGTAATTAATTAAAAAGTGGTTTATGATTATCTCCCTTACTTCATAATATGTAAATAAAATGTTATATGAATATTATAGGCAGGTAAACTACAGATATTTGATATAGCGTCAGGTGATTTGTTGGAGGATATCGAAGCTCATGATAGTACCATCTATTCTATATCACTTTCACCAGATAAGGTAAATATTTATTCAAAAAGTTTGGAGCCTTTGTAACTTATTACGATAGTTGCTGGTTCAAAGACTGTAGTCTTACATATAACCCAGATGCTGTTAGTGAACCTCCAGATTTTTTGGCACGGTTTCCAATTATCTGTGGTGCAGGATTGAGGGCCTGCCAAGGACTGTATCTAGTCATTTGGAAGAGACAAAAGACCGAGCTACATACTTCGAATTAGAAATAAGAGTTGGCTGTAGTGTCGCTGTCCAGGCGAAATTTCTCTCATAGCACACTGTATGGTGTAAGCCTGTCTTCATTGGCCCAGCCAGAGCAGAATTAAATTTTATTTGATGCTGACAACAACTATCTGACAAACTGAATATATTCATATAAATATTAAACATATCAATTTTTGAACCCACAATGGCTCTAAACCATGTTTTCATTAGCACAGTCGGAGCAGAACAGTAGGAGGTTAAATCCCATTTCATTTCATATTTATTAAAACACTGCTCTATACGACTGATGTGTTAGGTTGTAATTGAAAGTTAGATAAAAAAGCTGAATTAAAATTTTGTTACATTATTATTTGTATATTACAGAGAGGTATTCTGACAGGAAGTTCAGATAAAACAGTCAAATTTTGGAATTTTGAACTGGTTAATCAAGAAGGAAGCTCTAGGTAATTTTGAATTCTGTATTAAAAATTCAGTTTGTTTCATTTTTTGCCAGGTACATGTATGTATGAACACGCCTAGAGATTATGGTCTTCATTGTACCTGCCAAAATGACCTGAGGGATTGTGCCTGCCAAGGCCAAAACTTGTGTTTGATATTGTCATTGACAGGGGTCATATTTTGAGAAGGAGAGGGAGAAATGGGGTTTAACATCCACTTGACACAAAATAGGTCATTTCGGGACCAACACATGTTCAATTTTATTTCAATAATTCGCTTGCGCGTAGGGGTCTTTAGCAGTGGGAGGAAACCAGAGGACCCGGTGAAAACCCATGAGGTTGGACAGGTGACCATACTCCTTGTCACATACAACCGAGGAATCGAAAAAATGCCAGTTGACTCAATGACAGATCCAATGATACAGCACGCACATGCTAACCATTCGGCCATTTATTCATACCCCCCATTCGTCATATTATGAGACTTGCGCATGAATATATCTGTTACAAGCTCAACCATGTTTATTTACATGTTTTATGATTTTATCTTGTGACTTGCTCAATCTGATTAAAATACAGATCTATATTTGTTTTTTTTATACTTTCAATGGCCTGCAGTACATGAAGATCTGACCAGTTGTAGCGATAGGTCGCGTCAGTGGTCATACGAGCGACAGTTGACCCTATGACGTCAGACATTTGATTAACCAATCAGCATGGATGTTACTAGTGGATTACCCACAGTTCCATGCAAAACATGCCTAAAGCTCGCCGTAACAGACCTTTTCATTGGCTAATAGCTCACATCATTCAGAACACGTCAGTGATAACAACTCTCCCAGATCCTAGTGTAGTAAAGACAAGTAAATCAAAATTTTGAACTATAAAAACGAAACAAAATAGGATCTGTGTTTTAATCAGATTGTGACTTGCTGTGACTGTCTCATTATTCTTCTTTTTTTTTTTTCAGTAAACGTCTAACAGTTCAGCATTCAAGAACATTAAAAATGGAGGAGGAAGTCATGTGTGCTAAATATAGGTAATTATTTCTCTTTCTCATTGAATCATCCATACCAGACAGGTTTCTTGATGACTCATCCATGTTAGACATCTGTTGTGATGGAAAATTCATATTAGACACATTTTGATAGAGAGAGAGAGAGAGAAATGGGGTTTAACGTCCACTCAATACAAACTAGGTCATTTCGGGACGAACATATGGTTCAGTTTTATTTCAATAAATCGATTAAAACGAAAGGGTCTTTAGCAGTGGGAGGTTACCAGAGGACCCGGTGAAAACCCACAAGATTGGACAGGCGACCCTACTCATGTGCTCATGTGCAAGTGGGGAATCAAAACCACGCCACTTGTATTAATGACAGACCTTATGATGAAACGCACACTTGTTAACCATTCGGCCACCCCCCCACCCCCCCTCATTTTGATTAAATGAATTTTCAGATTTACAAAAGTCACTATTAATCTGTTTTGTTCTACTGTTAGAAAACGTTGTTGACTGTACATATAACTGTGTATCCAGGTGATCATAAGGTTTGTCATTGTGTGAAGTGTTATGTTTTTGGTGACACCACTAACGACCCAATCTAATTAAAATACGGATATATATTTCGTTTCGTTTTTTATACTTTCGATGGCCTACACTACATGTAGTAAAGACAAGTAAAACGAAATTTTGAACTATAAAAATGGAACGAAATAGGATCTGTATTTAAAAAGATTGCTAACGACCCCACGTACAACCAAATTATTCAGACTATTTGTTAGTCCCAAGATGACCTAGTTGGGTTTGTGTTTAGTGGACGTTAAACCCCTTATGTCGACATCCGAGGAAGATTTCACATCATGTATGTTTTATTTTTCAGCCCAGATAATAGATTGTTCGCTGTTTCATTGTTAGATAATACTGTCAAAGTTTTCTTTGTTGATACACTCAAGGTATTGCTTACACTTTATTAGAACACCTGATGCCACTTTACATAGCTTGAGGGGTGGGGGGGGGGTGGGGGGGGTGGAGGCAGTGTTTTAAATTGTAGGGTTCTGACATGACAATTTTTCTCATCCAACAATTATATACCCAAGCCTGGAAATAAGGCATCTGTCACAGACAATGTCAGGCACAGATTCAGGCTTTGTCAGGAACTAAACCTTGTCAGGAACATCTAAAACCGTTATTTCCAGGCCTGAAATTACCACTTTACAATCTAGGGTTACTGATTTGGGTATATGATAGTTCCGCGATGAAACAGGTCTGGGTTAATCAAACCGAAAAGTACACATGGCCTTCTTATTTCTTTTGTTCCATAAATGTTTTTCCTTGCCCTCTGTCCTGCACGTCTGACAATAAAAAAGTCAGACTGGTAAATCCAGTGGAACTATCTCAGCCAATACAGCCACTGAACTCTGGAGCTACTGGATAGTGAGTATAAGGTATTTGGTGGTTTTGTTGTACCAGGTGGGCATTTGAGTTCACTGGTTTTCAAAATAGCAGCATTATCTTCATGGTTTTAAGTTCTATAAATATGTTCTCCTTGTTTTTCAGTTTTTCCTGTCCTTATACGGTCACAAGTTACCTGTATTAAGTTTGGATATATCGACAGATGGAACGTTATTAATATCGGGTTCGGCAGATAGAAATATTAAAATATGGGGGCTGGATTTTGGTGATTGTCACAAATCTATCTTCGCTCATGACGACAGGTAGGAATTTACTTTAGATTAAAATTCTTTTCTCACAACACTTTATCTATTCAATTTTAGCGTTTGTTTCGAAATTCTATCTGGATTATTGCCCTTATTATTTAATTTATATAAGCTCACATTGAAATGTGGTTGTATATGGTCATCGGTCCCGCGTCCAAAAATGTTAATTTTTTGACGTTCTAATCCATGACGTCAACTGGCAGAATATGCCCTTATTTCAATTACGTCTTTCTTATAAATCATTGTTTTGTTTTTCATTTTTGAGTGTAGCCTATATCATTACAGACCTGGGACTGTAATACACAGTGAACGTGTGATCTGATATTTGTTGTTTATTTCTTTCGATGGCTTTGTATTTAATAAAATATTGCGTTATACTGATTACAGTAGACTCTGTCAAATCCGACATCGTACGGGATTGTTACAATATGTCGGATTACGCAATATTTGTTTCCAGGAATGTCTTCCAGCTATATGTACGTGACAAGGAGTAGAGTTGCCTGTCCAACCTCGTGCGTTTTCTCCAGGTCCTCCGGTTATCTCTCACTGCTAAAGACCCCTACGCACAAGTGAATTATTGAAATGAAATTGAACCATGTCCCGAAATGACCTAGTTTGTGTTGAGTGGACGTTAAATCCCATTTTTCCCTCAGAGTGTTAATGTTTAATTCTGTATTTGTTTTTCCAGTATAATGTGTGTACAGTTTGTGCCAAACACTCATCTGTTTTTCTCTGGTGGAAAAGATAAAAAGTTAAAACAATGGGATGCAGATAGTTTTGAACATATTTTAACTCTTGAGGTAATGTAAGATTGTTTATTATGGTCAGAGTCATGTGCTTTTATCAATGGATTTGATCAGAATGTATTGTCTGTGATATCACTTCGGTGGAAGCGGGTGTTAAATAAAACTATTTCACACACAAACAATGTATCAAATACTCTAGTTGCTTTAGTGATTGATGGGTGGCTCTTTGGATATGACTGGCTCGATCCCAGTGTTGACCGAAACAGATCCTCAGGTTGAACCCCTTACAAGTGGTGCAGGACAGAGGATCTTGCTAGTCCCTAGTCATTTGGATGAAACAAAAAAAGCCCTGTGTACACATTGACCTGCACTTAAATGGCTCTGGCAGTTGGATTTTGTAGTAGAACAGGCGGTAACCCCTACTTTTCATTGAAAATTACCCTCATAGCAAACCACATGGTGTATATGCCTGTCTTCTTTAACCATGGTTCTGATATGTAGGATGTTAAACCACATTTCATTTCTTACAAAACTACTCCACTTTATCAATTGTTAACTTACAGACTGATGCTCCAATTTACTAGAGGTGATCAACACTGCTGTACATTAGACAGTGTGTGATTTTATATGTTTCATGATATTAACAAATAACCAATAAATTTTTATTGAATTAAAAATGGCACAAATAGGTAAGAAATGTAATAAACAAGGTAAAACTAACATTAAAAAAGAAGAAAAAAAAGTTGTTGCCAGGGTTACACATTTTTTTCAGAAAAAGTATAAAAAATATAGGTACACTATATCTCTGTATCTAATAAAGATAAATGTCTTATTTTCTGACTGCTTATTCTTTAATGATAACTCTAAACCAGACAGAGAGCTTTTCTATATAAATTTTATAGTTTCTTGGAAAATGGTGTTTAAAACATTTGCCTCACAACAGTATTTTGTCTTTTGAGAAATATTTTGATAACTTTGAAGTAAATCCAAATTACTTTCTGTCTGATTCAGCGGTAGATAGTTGTTTATACTCATATATCCTGTAAATTTAGTGAAGATGTCTTAATTGATTACAGTGATATAGTGTACCTGCATTTTTCATACTTTTGCCCCCCAAAATGAGTTACCCTGGCAACAACTTTTTTTAAATGTTAGTTTTAACTTGTATATTACATTTCCTAACTACTTGTACCATTTTCAATTCAGTAGCTTTGTAATTTCAGAACAATAATCAAATCATTTATATTACAGGGTCATCATGCCGAGATCTGGGCAATGGCAGTTAGTTACCGTGGTAATTTTGTTGCTACAGCATCACATGATAAATCTTTACGATTGTGGGAACGAACTCAGGAACCTTTGATTCTAGAGGAAGAAAGAGAAATGGTGAGGGTTATATGCTTTTTAAATTGAGAAATGGTGAATCTGTATTTCAAATATTGGAAGAATTTAGTCCATCACCCGGATATTCTGAGAATTTATGTTATTATAAATTTAGTATTTATTCAATTCTTAATAAGATTAACTCCTGGGAAAATGTTTTCAAATCTGCTGGTTTTTATTTGCAACCATTAGGCTATTATTAGATCTACATGGTATCAATACTGATGATACCGTATTCATTGTTAAACCATGGAATTTGCTGGCGATTTAATTCAAAATCTGCACCCTGATTGATATCTCTCTCATTCTCATATTTCTCAGGAAAGATAAGGCATTTCATCGTAAAAAAAAAGACAGATTGATGGCAAAGACTAACAGCAAAATTGTCGCTATCTTATTTTTGCAAATAATAGATTAACATTCGATTATCCAGTACCGTTCGTATTTGTCAATACTGTTTCCCATGGTTACGTACTTGATGACCGAGTCTAGCGTTCATTTCCTGTTATCAAGAAACTTCCAATAGAGTTACTTCCCTTGATTGTGGGACATATGAACACATTGAAGTTAATGACTTTGTTTTTATTACTTTAAAAAAATAAAAACATGCGACACGGCCAATTTTTGATGACACGGCGGTGTCTGAGAACCAAAATATTCTCTTTTAGATATTCTTCTCGGGGGTTGAATGACCGAATTGTTAGCGCGTTTGTATTTGATCAGAAGATCTGTCACTGAGTCAAGTGGCGTGGTTTTGATGCCCCTCTTGTACGTGACAAGGAGTAGGGTCGCCTGTCCAACCTCATGGTTTTTCTCCAGGTCCTCCAGTTTCCTCCCACTGCTAAAGTTCCCTATGCGCAAGCAAATTGTTGAAATAAAATTGAACAATATATTAGTCCCGAAATGACTGAATTTGTGTTGAGTGGACATTAAATCCAATTTTTCTCTTTTTCTTAAATATTCTTTTTTATGCTTTACTGTTGTAGGAAAGAGAGAAAGTGTTTGATGAACAAGTTGGTCAGTCAGGTGAACCAGTGGTAAGTTATTTCATATAATTTATACATCATCAAAAACACTTGGCATTATACACAACAACTCAGGTATCATGTAGTTGTACTGTTCTAACAGGAGTTTCTGTATTCAATGTTTAGTTTCATACCATTGTTGGTAAATTGTTAAAATGTATTAAACATACATTATGCAAGAGCTAAATCTGCCTATTCCAGGTTTTTCTGTGGGCGTGAAATGTTATCTTAACTATTGATTAGACCTTTATTAACTCTCAATGCCATCTTATGTGTCAGATTTTCACTGGATCTGCATCCGATCTGCTGCTTAACGCTTATTGGATAATCAAGACTATGTTTTTCATCATACCGACTTTAGTAATGAGTCATGATGATCGAAGCTAGGCCTAACTTTTAATCACTAATATCTCGGTTGAGAGTGGAGCAATTTGACTGAAATTTTCACCATATCCCCTTTACATTATATATAGTTTTTAACTATTATAGTGTGAACTGCGAGCTCTCTATCTATTCTTCCATAATGCCCCTTAAAGAATCATCAAAATATATTGGGTTCCTACTGTTGCGTAGTTTAAAATGGTCCATCAAGATAGTGAGTGTCAAGTTTACAACTGTTTACTTTCCTAAGCAGTGTTGAATAATTAATTAGTCTGTTATACTAGATTACACTATGAATGTGATATTGTTCACTAATAAACCAATGATTTTACTAATGAACATTTTGTGTCAATAAATCATACAAGTACAACAAATGTTTAGTATGTATAGTAAATGGTTAGAAATACCACTCAACAAACGGCACTTCATATTCTAGGCAGTGCTCACTCTAGGTTCCATTTTCTTTCGCCAATTTTAAATTTTTAATTTATTAACCATATATTTTTTCTGCCCCCCAAAAAAGAAATAATAATTAATAATCAGTAATATTTACTATATTTTGGCTTTCAATATAGATACATACAGTATACATACGATGTTACAATTTACCAATTTAGCTGATTCACATGTGGAACAAATATTGCTTTGGTAGCTGCATCATACCTTAAAAAAGAATTTGAAAATCTCCATTCATCCCTAAATTTTACTCTTGTCAAATTTTCTCTCTATCGCAAACTTTTGAGGTAGACCTATTGTGGAACGGGAATAATCACTTCAACATTAAAGGAGGATGTAATATCATCAGATAATAACTGACTTTCGTTCGTTTGTTCCTAGAGTTTTACGTCCACTTCCAAGTGACTTTCGACAACCCCAAGAATATACATGTATACCCATTTATAAACTGTAACAATAACCCTGGCTTCATTTATTAATGGTACTGGCAACTGCAGTAAAAAAATATTAAACAGAAGGCACAATACAATAATCCCAAACAAATCGAACGAGTACCGGTATTGTTCACATTCGCCATTTTATATAGAAACTATCAAAAACAGCCACACTAATCAACACTAACAGAGACTGATTAATAAACCAAAGATAGCCCTAATATTTATGCCTAATTGATTGATAATTGACTCAGCCAGAGGCAGTAGAATGTAACGGATGCACGGCGTGGAAATCAATGTTTTTTGGCAAGAAAAACTTATCGCCATACAGGAAAAAATTATTGCCAAAAATTTTGACAGATTGAATGTTTTATCACCAAAATTATATTTTTATCACAATTGGAGGAAATGGCGATCAACAGTGTGAGCGTTTATCCTAGGTGTAGGAGGCACAATGAGATGTTCATACGAATCATTTATATGATTATTTATTATTTACAGGTTGCTGGAGAGACAACAACAGAAGTTGGTTTAGCTGGTAAAAAATCTATAGAAACAGTTAAAGCTGTAAGTTTAAAGTTTATAATCATAATTGGAACTACGCCAACATTTACAGTATCTTGAAACATTATTACAAAATGTAAAGCCTCACCTTTGGCTAGTGTCTGTTTCATGCTTAAAAGGAACTAAATCTGTATTCTTTGGCATTTATAAATGGACACAAATGAGTCACAACGCATATAATAATGTAATATGAATGTATATAAAATGATTTACATAGTCGTTTCTGTTTTTACTGTAATATCTAATCAGTTATGTTCAGCGAAGAGTCCAAATTGAATGGCAGTCTGTTTATTCCAATCTACACTGGTAGTATTCTCCTGTGGGATATGTTTAGCCTCTTTCATCTAGTTGCTTCATTACAAATGGCTCTAGAAAGCATTCTGGCACGCAATTCATGTACAAATTTTAAAATTTTCATTTTGTCTTAAATATTGGATATCAGAAGCCCAACATTTCACGGTAAGATAACAACATCAATGTTAATGATCATTAGCCACGTTATTGCCTTTGCTTTAAAAAGTTCTTTTATTTTTTTATTACAATTTAATTTTAGGCAGAGAAATTAATGGAAGCATTAGAACTTTATAAGGAAGAAACGGCCAAACTTGAAGAACACCAATTAGAATGTAGTCGAACCGGGAAAAAGGTTAGTTTCGGTAATACCAAGGATCTCATTTAAGTGTAATTTGCCAACCTTGACTGACTAGCAGTGAAATTACCGACTGAAGATCATACCTGTCTGTTAATTTAATCTTAAAACATGATAAATACCAACCCTCACCCTTGAGGAATATTTCTCATCCAGCTAGTTGACCGGTATTTGCCAGCCTTGACTGACTATCAGTGAAATTACCGACTAAAGATCTTACCTGTCTGTTAATTTAATCTTATAACATGATAAATACCACCCTCGCCATTTTGGCATCTCTGATCTAGCTAGTTGACTGGTATTGTCTCCCCACTTTTATTCAAAGTGTAATGTTAAAGATGTTTCAATAACATTGGAAATTTATAAGTGGTGACATACTGTTCCAGATTTCTCTCATCAACCAATCTGATTAAAACACAGATCCTATTTCGTTTCATTTTTTATAGTTCAAAATTTCGTTTTACTTGTCTTTACTACACTAGGATCTGGAACTGTTGTTATATCCCCCACATTCTGGTTGATGTGAGGGATTAGCCAATGAAACGGTCTGTTGGAGCAAGTTCTTGGCGTGTGATGCACGGAACTGTGGGTATCCTACTAGAAACATCAAAGCTGATTGGTTAACAAATGTCTGACATCATAGGGTCAAAAGCGGCGCGTATGAGATGGCCGAATGTTTAACGTGTGCACATTGTATCATAAGGTCTGTCATTGAGTTAACTGGCGTGGTTTTGATTCCCTGGTTGTACGTGACAAGGACTAGGATCGCCTGTCCAACCTCTGGTTCACTCCCACAGTTAAAGACCCCTACATGCAAGCGAATTATTGAAATAAAATTGAACCATATGTTAGTCCCAATATTACCTTGTTTGTGTCAGTGGACATTAAACCCCATCTCTCTCTCTCTCTCTCTCTCTCTCTCTCTCTCTGTTAGGGTGACCCATGTACTCTAGAGAAATACAGTCCACCGCTGATAGTTCGAGACTACCACTGAAGCGTGCACATTCGCCGTGTCGAGACCAACTTTCTGACAGTATGATACTATAAATAGCCATGGCACGTGCAATTCTCTACAAATCTATCAACTATTACAGCCTTAAAAAATTTATTGTTGAAGATTTTGAATAGCAGTAAAATTAAGCTTCTTGGTTATTACAGCAGATTTAGAAATTACGTTCGTTTCATTTTTTAAATCGCTTTATCATTAACTGTACCGTTAAGAGCGGCATCTTTTGGTTTAGTGCAAATAATATCTCTGAAACACTCGGGTTAGACAGGAACATGATACTAGCAGTAGTTTCATTTTACTTTTACAAGCTTATTAATGGTCGATAGACTGGTTAAGCGAGACTAATTTCAAAACGAGGGCACGTAACCTATCTTTTACTCAAAAGTGTCTGGATGTTATGGACGACACTTGGAACCAGTTTTCAGTCTATTATTTATAGATGATTAATGGTCATAGCTTATTAAGTACAACATGATCGTTTATTTAGTGACTATAATTGTGTGAAACTGATTTGAGGCTTGGCATATATATAAATATTGTGGCGTAATTGTCGAGATATTTGGAGATATTTATTTATGGTGGGCCACCCTATCTCTGTTGTCTGTTCCTTTATATAGTTGTTGAGTTGTTTCATTTCATTTATTTGATGTTATATTTTTAGCTACCTGTACCTGCTCTACATCCGATGTTGATAGCCTTTAACTGTGATTCACCCAACCAATATATGATAGACAACATTAAAAAAATCAAATCTAGGTATGTAGACATTTAGTTTATATTCCACTATTTTACTATTTTCATTTATCATATTGAAATATTCTTATATATATATATCATATTGAACACTTATTTTAATTTGAAGGAGTAAATAAAGAATGCTTTAGATTTCTGCAAACTACAATATTGTAAAAGTTCAAAAATGCAACAATTCCATTCAGTATTTACAAAGCTATAAGTACACACCAAGATACCTAAGTATTTGGGGTTTCATTTTTAATAGTTTTATTTCCTTTTTCATAATTTACACAATATTAAGCATACATTATGCAAGAGCTAAATCTGCCTATTGAAGGTCTTTCTTTGGGCCTGAAACTATTAATTAGACATTTATTAACATGAAAAGATGTTAATCAACTCTGGATGCCATCTTCTGTGTCAGCTTTTCACTAGATTTGAATCCGATTTGCTGCTCAACACTCATAGATGATTTAATCCAAAAATTGGTAATCGAGACTATATTTTTTATTGTATTGACTTTAGTAATAATGATCGAGGCTAGGCCTAAAATTCAAACTCTAATATCTCGGTTCAGAGTGGAGCAATTTGACTGAAATGTTTAGCATATTCCCTGTACATTATCTAGTTTTTAACTATTATAGTGAGAACTGTCGTCTCTTTATCTAATCTTCTATAATTCCCCTTGAATAATATTTGTGTTTTATTTCAGTGAATTAGAAGAATCTTTACTTGTTCTACCGTTTCCTTATGTCAGTGATTTATTACAAGTTTTAGATAAATTTCTTACTTTGGGTTGGGAGACGGAACTAGTCTGTAGATGTCTCTTCTTTCTCCTCAGGTGAGACCTTTCTTCCAAGTTAAATTTATTTTCTGGGATGTTTGTTGCGCAATATAGATTAACTTGTTATGTATGATTAAACAACACCATTTAACTCTAGTTGACTAGACAGGTTGCTGCGGGAGGTGACTATAGTCAACAAATTTGATGTAAATAGTTTAGTAAAGGTGATGTAATTTTTTACAGCCATGAAAGATGTTACTAATAATAGGCATGGGTGTCAACACTATAAATGGTGAAAGTTCTTGAGAAAAAAGTTTTTATTTAAGTGATTTTGTGCAAAATCATCAAGACAGAATGGCATCAAATAAACGTTTTTCGAGGGACAAATCTATATAAGATTATTCTCTTAGATTGTAGATCAGAATATGAAGATTTTGACTCTGATAACGAAGTGAACAATTGACGACAAATTCCAAAGAAGAAACATGTTTTGTTTCTAGTAATTCTACTGGCACAAGGCATAAGCGTAAATGAGCTTTCTTGTGGTTTTTTAATAATCATTCTATATATATATATTCTATAAATAGAATAAACAATATAGCTGACAAAATCATCGTACCTACATCAAAATTTGATTAAAGACCCAATTATATATTAGTAAAATATCCTGAAAATTTTGTCAAAATATTGTCATTGTATGTTAAGATATATTAAATTTTAAGCAAACCATTCCAAATAAGAGCTTTTTATAGCTAAATGGCTTAGCACTCAGCCCTGCTGTCTTTTACTGCCGCTCAGCAGCGAAAGAGTTAAAAGTCTACAAAAAAGCCTATAAAAAGTAGGTTTTTGAGGAAACCAGTTTGTTGAAATTTTGGAATAACTTTATAATAACCGTTTTTTACAAAGAATTTAATGGTGTTATATATTTTGTATTTGGTGCAGTAAGAGCGGCATCTTTTGGTTTAGTACAAATAATATCTATGAAACACTCGGGTTAGACAGGAACATGATACTAGCAGTAGTTTCATTTTACTTTTACAAGCTTCTTAAAACAATTGTTGAGCTAGCTAACGTGCTTATTTCTAAATTCAATTTCTTGTTCTAGCTTTCTGTTATGTTTCGTAAAAAAGTAGTCTTGATTATCCCGACCTGTCAATCAGACGTAGAATGGTCGATAGACTGGTTAAGGTCTATTAAAGGTCTTTTTTCTGGATTCAAATGTTATTTAAATTATTATTTAGATATTCATTTACATTACAAGCGATTATGAAATGATAAAGCGATTATGAAGTAGATTATGAAATTTATCACACAAGCGATATCTACTGTAGAATGTATTATTGGGTGATAAATGTTAATCTATTTATTCCTCTGTATATTACAGAGTACATCAGGGGCAGATAACTAGTAACCAAGTCTTATTACCTGTAGTAGACAGATTACGATCAGCAACATCAAACAGAGTCAACCAACTGAGGGTAAATATACATTTTATAGATAATGTAATATTCCAATTTATAGAACAGTTAAAAAAACATCAGGTTTGCTGGCGTTTGTTGTTTTTAAGGTAATTCTAACAATAATAACTAACTTTCTTGTATCCAGATGTAGGGGGTTGGGTGGCCGAATGGACTAACACATGTGTGTTAGATTGTAAGGTCTGTCATTTAGTCCAGTGGCATGGTTTCGATTCAATGCTTGTACATGGCAAAAAGTACTGTTGCCTGTCAAACATCGTGGGTTTTCTCTGGGTCCTCCGGTTTCATCCCACTGCTGAAGATCTCTTTGTGCAAGCGAAATATTGAAATAAAAATATGAACTATATGTTATTACCAAAATGACCTAGTTTGTGTTGAGTGGTCATTAAACCTCTGTCTATCCAAATTTATTTCTGGTTACTTAACATGCATTATACCAGAGCTAAATCTGCCTATTGCAGTTCTTTCTTTATCTGAAATGTTATATAAATTAAGACATTAAAATTAACTTATCCAGACCATAATCAACTCTCGATGCCATTGTTAGCCTGTGATATTTAGTGGATTTGAATACAATTTGTGATGAATAATTTAACGAAAAAGTGGATAAACGAGACTTTGTTTATTATCATACCAACGTTAGTAATGACAATCGAGGCTAGTGTAAAATTGAATTGGTAATATCTCAGGTCATTTTCTATTTTTTAACTATTATAACAAGACCTGTCAGCTCTTTATCTAGTTTCACGTAATGCCACTTAGGATCCCCATTTAAGGATTTCACCAAACATTTTTGAACTGATATCACTTTTAGAAATTCCACTTTCACAATTATGTATTTTGCAATGCATTTAAAATCACTCAAGTAGAGATCACTGTTTCTCCCACTGGGCAAATGAAAATGGGCATATGCCATACAGTGTGCTATGAGGGAAATTTTGCCCGAACAGTGGCACTATGGCCTACTCTTATATTGAATTCCAACTGTCAAGGGATCTTTATATGTATGCCAATGTGTACACAGGGCCTCGGTTTCTCATCCCATCACTTGCCATCCTGCACACCATTGACAAGGGGGAACCAGGCCGAAAAATCCCAATGAGTTTTTCGCTGCCAACACAGGGATCGAGCACGGGACCGCCAGACTAACAAGCCAAAGTCTTACTCACTGACCACCGAAGCTCTCATCTATTTTTCTGAACTGTACACTTTTGTTTAATTCTGGAGATTTTCTCAAATCTAAAAAATGTTTTATTTTTCTGTTTCTAGGATCAGATAGGATTCAATTTGGCTGGTTTACAGTTTTTAAAACGTAGATTAGAAGATCGTGACCAGATTCAGTTCTTCGCAGATGCCACAACAACCAGACGGAAAAAGAAGAAAAAGGCAGAAAAAGTTGTTTTAGCCATAAAAACATGATTTTTGTTGTATTAAAATATATATATATCAATATTATTTTGTTTCAATTAATGTAATTGGGACTGAACCATTTAAAAATACTATAAACCACTATAAACCCAAACTTTCCCCACTCCCCCAAAATGTACTTACAGTTATTTGTCTCCCCTTTACCAATAAAAGATGCAAGTGCAACATGACCTCTTTGACATAAATCTTTTTAAAGACAAACTCACTCAAACAGTTTAAGAAAGTGACATTCCCACCCATTCAGATAGTGGAGTTGTGTCCACGAGGTTGGACAGGCGACCCTACCCCTTGTCACATACAAACAGGAAATCAAAACCAGTTGACTCAATGACAGATCTTCTGATGCAGCGCGCACACGCTAACCATTCCGCCATCCGGCCATCCACCACACCCTCCACCCCTTTGCGAAAGAAAAACATGACATTCTCACTCATTCAGATAGTGATGTTGTGTACCTTGCAGCCCTTCCGGATTAAACTTCGTGGAGCCCTGCGGCCTTGAGCATGAGGTGGCCTCCAACCAGTGAAGTTATGACATAGTAACCGACCCTACTTTTCACATTCAAGCAGAGAATCAAACCACACCACTTCACTCAATGACAACCCTTGTGATTTCACCCATTACCACTGGATCTTCCCCACCACACTTATAGAGAGTGAGAGAGAAATGGACCAAGATTAATTATTTTCTTGTTCTCTGCCGTGCTGGACTATTATTAGCTCTCGCACCTTTTAAAACTCAGCATGAGGCAGAATCTCCAAACTTGATGCAACTGTTAATTAAATAAATATCTTGATAGGAGTTTGATGATGAACATTTTCATCTTATCCATATATAGACTATGAGTATACAGAGATAATTTATAGATGTCATCTATTTACCTTGGAGTTAATGGTGAAGTTAGGCAGTCGACTTGTCACACATACAAACCCAAGATTGAATGTATGACTTATGCTAGGCACCCAGCCACCCACAACAACCCCTCTCTTGATATAAATATGAAATGAAATGGGGTTTAACGTCCTACTCCTACTGGGTTAATGAAGACAGAAATACGCCATACAGTGTGCTATGAGGGAAATTTTGCCCGGGCAGCGACAATATGGCCTACTCTTATATCGAACTCCAACTACCAAGGGATCTTTTACATGCATGCCAATGTATACACCGGTCCTCGGTTTTTCGTCCCATCTGAATGACTAGACAGCTGTCATCAGATCCTCTGTTGTGCACCACTGGCAATGGGGAAACCACACTGGAAAATCCCGATGATCTTTCTTGGCCAATGCAAGGATCGGACATGCGCCCTCCATGCTAGCGAGCCAGCGTCTTACCCACTTAGCCACCATGGCTCCTTGATATAAATAAAAACAATTACTAAATGACTTTTTATCTGTTTTAATAATTGTCTATAATTAAAGTGTAAACTATAACATCCAACATTCCTTATAAAAATGCAAAGTTATTTACATATATATTTATAACATTATATATGGAAAGAATATTTAAGGCTTAAATATGGTACTAGTTCATAACTGGGCCAGATAGTTAATTGTTTTACTTGCTTTTTTTATATCACAGATAAGCTCAAAAATTTGATTGAAAACTTTTAACACTGAAAAAAAGTATTCAAAATACAGCACATCTGGTTGACAATGGGGTGAATTTCTTGTACTGGTCAGTTTTATTACATATGAATTTGGGCTTGTGTAGCATGTTAGGAAAATAGAAAGCTTTCGAAATTATAATTAGTACAGATTGAATAGATCATTTCTAAGTAAATATTATTAAAGATAAATTAAACATACATTATGCAAGCGCTAAATCTGCCTATTGCAGGTCTTTCTATAGACGTGAAATGTTATATAAACTATTGATGAGACATTTATTAACTCTCAATGCCATTGGGTATCTCCGATACTAAGTAGATCAGAATGGTTCAGCCATATTTTGATTTAATTTGAAAATGGAAAAGCAAGGCTTAGCTTCGAACAACCAGTGCAGTGGTTGCAATTAATGCACACATCTTCTCAATTTTCAAAGGCTAATATCTTTGCTCACAATAGAGTAATTTGAATGAAATTTTTATTATATTCATTTTGCATTATCTGTTTTGAACTATTATAGCAAGAATGATCAGCTCCTTATTTGTATATACAAAGCACTTATTTTATGTGAAAATTATATGATTTCATAGAAATAATATAAAAATCAATTGCACAAAAATTTAAATATTACCAATGAGATAGAGTAAAGCTACTAGTAACATTATTTAAAAATATATAAACGTTCCTATATCTAACATAGACTAGAAAACAGAAAATAATTTTATTAGATTGGTAACAAACATTTTACACATAAAGCTTTAAAGCCACAGATTGTCATTTGAAGGATTTTGAATCCGTTTCCAACGAAATATTGTAAAAGTTGAATCAGTCCAAAAATGGTTTAATTCTGTTCAATATTTACAAAGATATGATGATGAATCAGTTTCCAACAAAATATTGTAAAAGTTGAAACAGTCCGAAAATGGTTGAATTCTGTTCAATATTTACAAAGATATCATGATGAATTGATAATTACACAACAATTGGTACCCTCTGTAGACACTTTAATCTAGCCAGTGCCACCTTTACATGTTGGCTAATATATTTCCACAGGCATCTTTTAAATCAAAGGCAGAGATTATGTACAGTTGATCATTTGGTTTTCTTTTCTTAAACATACATTATGCAAGAGCTAAATCTGCCTATTGCAGGTCTTTCTTTAGGCCTGAAATGTTACCTAAACTATTAATTACAAAACAAGACCATAATCAATTCTCGATGGCATTGGATTCTTGGCTCATAATGAAGTAATTTGAATGAAATTTTCAATCTTTTCATTTGGCATTATCTATTTTTGAGCTATTATAACAAGAATGGTCAGCTCTTTATCTAAATCTTACATAATGTATCTTTAATTAAATGTTAAATAATCAATCTGACAGCCAGGCTATAGTAACTAAATTCTACAAGAATTACAAGAACAATTAGACGTTATTTATACTACAGTCTCTAAAACTAGTCGTTTCTTAGTTTCTGTTTCCATGGCTTGAGGACTGTCAATGACTGAGTCTATATCTGTTTCGAATCGTTCTATTGATGCTGTGGACATTTGACGTTCCACCAAATTCTTTCTGTTTATCCCATTCTTTCTAACATCTCCTTCATTTTCCTTATCCTCAGAGAAATCCTCAGCCTTGCTGTTCTCGTTGCTTATCTTTTTGTCTTCCTGTTTCAAGTTTTCCCCATCATCAATTGAAAGAATGTTGCTTTTATCTCCGAGAACCCGAGTAATCTCCTTGTCCTCAACCATGATGTTCTCGTTGCTCATCTTATTGTCTTTTACTTCGTCCTCCTTTTTCACCTTTTCCCCATCATCAATTGAAACAATGTTGTTTTTCTCTCCCACATTTTCCCCATCATCAAATGAAAGAATGTTGCTTTGATCTCCCAGAATCTGAGTAGTTTGTTTTGTAATGAGATTCATAACTGGTGGCCTTATTTGAGATTCTTCATCTAGCATACTTTTCACTTGTGGCTCAATTCGAGATTCTTCAACTGGCAGCACCTTATTGATCACTGGCTCAGTCTTTGAGGAAATGAAATCTGCAGTTACAAGCTGAGGAGCTTCATCATCTGAATTTGTCTTCTCGACTAAAGGAGTGGATACGGTTTGAGATTCTGACATGTTTTCCCATGGTGAGGGAGGAGTAGGCCACATCTTTGAGGATTCAAAAACAGAGTCAGGTGTAGCTGCATGTTCAAGTGATTTTGGATCAGGAGGCTGTGGCGTTGGCCAGAGTAGACAAGGATCTGGAGTCCCGGATGTAGTTTTGTAATCGCGAACGAAATCGTACGGTGTTGGAGGAGTGGGCCAAATATCTCCAGTTCTTTTACCTTCATCTTGTTCCTGACCTTCCAGCACGTCATCCAGACATGGTGGTGGAGTGGGCCAGCTTTCTGAACCTGGGGATTTTACTTCAGGGGTTGTTGGAGGTTCGACTTGAATTATTGGAATGGTACCAACAGAATTCTTTTGACCGTTTGAAGAGAATTTACAATATTTAGGATTCCGGGGAGGAGGTGGAGGGGGAGTGGGTAATGAGGATCTTAAAATGGATCCAGTTTTTTTTCCAAATGATTCTTCTTTTTGCTCACTCACTTGAGATGGATCAGAAAGAGTTCTTTTAGGAGTCTGGATGTTTGAGCTTTGTGTTATATCTGGTTGTTTGCTGATGACCCGTCGACATGGTTCAGTTGGATTACGTTTGCGTTGCCTTGTCAGCGGATCTGGTGTACTTGATGATGCTAGTCTGTAGTCAGCCATTTTGGATAAGCGATGTTGGAATTCACTCCCAGCAGGCTCTATTCGTACATCCTCGATGTCTTCTGTTGTGTTCATTAAAGTCTCATCAACTCTTGCACTCCTAGCTTTTATACCTTTCTTCCATTGGTCCATATCCACGTAACTACGGTTACCAGATTTATTAGCGGTATCTAGGTAACTGTTGTTAAGGGTTGTCATATTTAAGGCGGTTATGTTTGTGAAATCGGCAGCCTTCGTCACATCACCCTCAATTATTGTACTTAGCTCTGGTGCACTGGATGCTTTGTTGAGACCCTCTTGACCAGGCACAATAAGATGATGATTAAGTGACTCACTGGATGATCCGGACGTCAAACTAAAATCTGATCCAGAACTAACAATATCAGAGAGTTTGTCCATCTCCACATGATTTCCCGATTTCGTACTAACTTTCCGGTCCAACTGTGTTGCACTCTCATTGGATGTTAGAGAAACTGTTTCCGACTGGTCACTTGATTTTTTCTTTTTGATAGGAACAGCATAAAGATCTTCACAGCTCGATTTGGTGTTGCTGCTGTTAAAAACATCATCGTTGTTGTCCGTTTTCAGTTTTGTCATAAATTTATTTGAGTTGTATGGCGAAGCATAAGTGGGATCGTGCAATTCAACCTCACAATATGTTGGATCATTGGTGTCCATGACAGCATCTTCTACTTCCTTATATGGTATGCTCATGTTATGTTCATCAATTGCTGAGTATTCAGTTGACGTGATGTGTTTTGCAAGAATATCTGGATCAACACCTGGAGATTCTGCTATGTCTGGAAGATTAGGACTTTTAGCTGGATGTACTTTCAGTTCACCCTTCGATGTCCAGGACAGCAATGTTACCTTATAAAGGTTCTCTTCCTTATCTCTGAAAGAAAAAAAACCAAAAAAAAATCATGAATAAATCTCCCATTGAAACCACCATTAGAGATTCACCTTCTTATGTTCCAAATTGACTTCCTTAGGTTAAAGGAGCTAATTTGCTATTCTTTGGCATCCAGGAATGGACACAAATGGGTTGTAATGCATATAATAATGTATTAAACTGATTTACATTCAGTGGTTTCTGTTTTTACTTTAATTTCTAATCATTTATGTTAGGCAAAATATGCGAAGAGTCCAAACTAAATGGCAGTCTACACTGGTAATATTCTTCATTGCAAATATTAAAATTTTCATTTTGTCTTCAAGATTGGATATCAGAAGCCCATATTTTAGGGTAAGATAACAACATCAATGTTGATTTAAAGTGACTGATCATGTCGAAGACTGTGGATGATATTGAGTTTGTGACTTGATTCCTTCAAAGTATGGAGCTGGCTCACTAACCAGGAGATCATGGATTCAATAGATGAGATGAAGAGACCAAGTTCTTGTGTAAACATTGGCATGCATGTAAAAGAACCCTTGGAAGTTGGCAATCCAAGAAATGTATTTAGAAATGCCACTGTCCAAGCCAAATCTCCCTCCTATTATTTGATTGGCAGAATGAACAGTTTCTAGTGTTTTTGATGGTACGAAAAATTGAGTTCCTGTGTAAGCATTAGCATGCACGTAAAAGCAACCTTGAAAGTTGACATTCAAAGAAAAGTATTTAGAAGCATTGCTGTCTGGGCAAAATTTCTCTTATAGCACATTAATTACATGCATGGTGCATGTCCTTCTTGATTAGTCCAGTTGGTGCACAAAAAGAGGACTTAAAACCCCATTTCATTTTCAGAGTTTAAAATAACTTTATTCTGCTGCATGTTGGTAAGCTTAAAAGTGCCATCCCCACCCACCAAGCAATATCCTAGTTAAACCCCTAAAATTATTTCTAACTTACTTTCTACTCTTGGAAGATTTTGATGACCTTGGAGAATCAGACACTGATCCGGATGATTCTGAACTCAAAGAAGCAGACCCAGATGATCCAGACTATAAAATACATAATTATACCAGTTTTAAAAGTGCATATAGGGTAAATAACCAAATTGTAAAAAGACAAATTTTTACATTGTACATGTTTAATCAACATATTTTGTTATTTACTTAAATGAGATTTGACCAATACCCATCTTTTAAAAACAAAATGATCCTAGTTATCCTCAAACTTCCAAGGATGTTGCACGCAATATTACAGAATGTCAACAATAATCAATACAAACCTTTTTACGTCCGTTACTGTCTGATGCCGAACTGTATGTATGAATTGATTGGTCAGAAAATTTGGGTTGATCAACGGATTCTCTACCCATGTTGTTAAATATAGCTTTCCTCTTTAAATCCTTAAAATATAACACAATCTGATGTCAACCAACTCAGTATCCTAAATATAATACAATCTGATGTCAACCATCACAGTATCCTAAATATAATACAATCTGATGTCAACCATTCCAGTATCCTAAATATAATACAATCTGTTGTCAACCATCTCAATATCCTAACTATAATAGAATCTGATGTCAACCATCCCAACTATAATACAATCTGATGTCAACCATCACAGTATCCTAACTATAATACAATATTATGTCAACCATCACAGTATCCTAAATATGACACAATCTGATGTCAACCATCCCAGTATCCTAAATATAACACAATATATGTCAACCATCCCAGTACCATAAATATAAAACAATATTATGTCAACCATCCCAATTTCCTAAAGCTTTGTATGTTTTCTCCAGGACTTCTGGTATCCTTTCACTGCTAAAGACCCCTATGTGCAAGCGATTTATTAAAATAAACCATGTTAGTCCTGAAATGACTGTGTTGTGTGAACCCATTTCTCTCTACACTTGTTTTATAACTTACCAATAAATCATGTCCACTTCCTGGAGTTTTGATGACGGGTGTTGGACTACCTGGTGTTTTACCAAATGTTGAAAATGGGGAGTCAGATAAAATAGAGCCCTCATGACTCAGATCAATTGTCTGGGGGAAACTAACAGAGTTAGGGAATGGGGATTCATCAAGTGATGACACAAAGTTAAATCTCTGTTTACTAAGGCCTTGTTGATTTGGGGGAGTCTCACAGCTCAATGTTCCTCGATAATATTTCTGAAAAACAACAAAAAATAAATGAATTACATTATGGATGTGCTAAGACCTACTCTTATATCGAAATTCAACTACCAAGGGATTTTTTATGTCCACGCCAATGTGTACATGGGATCTCGATTTAACTAATGCGAACGACTAGACAGCTGTGCTTGTCAGACCCTGTGGCCTGCACCACTCTGACAAGGGGAAACCACACCTGGAATCCTGATGAACTTTCTCAGCCAACACCTGGCTGGAGTGATTAAAGAGAAAAAATGAAATTAATACCCATTGGGGATAATAGGTGGAAGAGAAAAAATAATTTGTTTTTAATTCTCTAGCACAATAAACAGAGGATTCTCATAGATTGTGTAAAGAAGAATAGCGAAGGCCAAGGGCACACAGACAGCCACGGGCCAGGACACACAGAATAGCCAACGGTCAAAGAGATAGAATAGCCAACGGTCAAGAAAACAGAATATCCAAGGTCAAGGAGACAGAACAGCCAAGGTCAAGGAGGCAGAATAGCTAAGGGCAACGACACAGTATAGCCAAGGACACAGAATTTCCAAGGGCCAGGACATGGAATATCGAAGGACACCTAACAGCCAAGAGCAAGGACACAGAATAATAATAACATGAAAAGTATTTAGAAAACAAACCTGAGCCAGTTTTCGTTTATTCCACAATTTAACAAAAGATTTAAAATATGATTTCGCTTTTGGTGACTTGATATCTGTGATTGTTTTATGTTTCTGTAAGATATAATAATAAATAATGTAGTTACCTCCCTTAGAAAATTGGTGTGGTCTAGTTTCAGACTGGATGGGGAGGAGATCAAGCCAGTTCGGGTGGTCATTTCCAAATGGAAATTCTGGGTCGAGGTTACCATTGAATTAGGGTTACCTATCCGTCCATCTAACCTTAACCCTTGCAGTGTCTAGCTCTGCATGTCTTGATGCGCCATTTGCATGTTCCACTTAAATTTCAAATCTCTCATGGCTTAATCCACAATAATATATACTCAGACTGATTATTTAAGATTTTATTTAAGATACATGAGTTAAGAATTTAATAAAGAGTTGGCCATTCCTGGTATAATAATTCAAAATTAGATGATAAAATTGGAAAATATTGAAAATTTCAGTCAAATACAGTAGAACTTGTATTAAGCCAGCACCCAAGAGAAATTTAAAAATGGAGGTGCTCTTTGACTAGAGGTATCCAATATTTCCCCAACCCCTACCAAAAAAAATAAAGATATAGATTGCATATATTTTTTTATTCATGTAGTATAACAATAACGATACATGTACTTTGTGAACTCAAAGTAGTCGCGTATACATGTTTGTTTAGTAATACTGGATCACTTTGACACGTTCTTCAAGTGTCAAAACTTTTAGTAGGTGTAAGAACTTTATGAGGCGTAGTAATATTAGACATATTGATAAACAATGTCTTATCAATTCAGACTCTTTCTTATATATCATCATTGGCTTGGATATGAATAGAATATTGATTAATGGTTAAAATTAGCAGCTTGGGGTGTGAGTAAACTTGTTAAGCGAGTAAATCGTGTCAAGATTAGTGACAGTTCAGTCTCGTTCGCTCAAGCGAGAACGTGATTCTCCAAGATTCACTATGATGTGCTCGCTTAATGGATGAAATAGCATGATCTTGGGCTAATATAGATGCCTATTGCACGCGTTGAACAAGTGCGTGTTTAATAAGGGTTAAATTACTTAAAAATTGCTCCGGGGGATTTTTTGGTGCTCGTTGAAGCAAGTGTTCCCTGATTAGGAGTGCATGTCCGAGCAAGTTCTACTGTACTTAATTCTGAACGGAGTTGTCACTGTTGGAAGTTTGGACTAGAAATAGGCATCCACTGTGTCCGCACCGTCTACGAAAATTGTAGATCGTTTGATTGACAGACGATAACTCCACCCATATATTCTTGATTATCAAGTAACATTCTTAATGGCTACTGTACATCAAGTTAGAAATGATAAAATTGTAGAAGAATTTACCTCTTCAGTTAACCATAATTTGAATTCTGTCTGTTTACTTAAATAGTCCTCCATTGTAATTTTATCTAAATTGAAAAATATATCAAAAATTATTTTGGAATTATATCTATACATGTACATACATGTATTAACTTTTACATGCTGGTAGACCTCTAAAAATTAAAATATCTCTTTCAAAATAAATTCTCATAGTGTTTGATAATTTCAACAATGGTTGAGATCCACACCTCTGGTAACAATATTACAGAAACACTTCCGTTTACCAAGATAAAACCTCAGACAATCTTAAAATTTGTTAAAAAACAAAAACATTAAGTATCCTTAACACAAATTTTTTGCTTATCTCCCTTATATAAATGTGAAAGGGAGTGTGGTTTAAAGATACATTATGGAAGATTAGATAACGAGTTGGTGGTTCTCACTATAATAGTTAAAAACTAGATAATGTAAAGGCAATTTGCTAAAAATTTCAGTCAAAATGATCCACTATGAACCAAGAAATAAGCGATCGAAAGTTCCGCATAGCCTCGGTCATCATTACTAAATCGAGACGGAAAGTTATGCAGCAAATCGGATCATAATCCAACAATTGTCGCAGGCTAGTGTTGACACCGAGAGTTGATTATGGTCTGAATACGTTAATTAATGTCTAATTAATAGTTTATATAACATTTCAGGCCTAAAGAAAGACCTACAATAAGCCGATTTAGCTCTTGCATAATGTATGTTTAATATAGGCCAAGCCTGTTCCCCTATCCCATTCAGATACCTTGAATAAAATTAAATTATAGTTTAAAAAAAAACAGAAAAAAAGTGAAGCTAGCAGAATATGATGATACCATGTGCAAATTATAATTATAGGGTTTCTTTTAGGTCGGGGGGGGGGGGGGGGGGAGCTCTGGTTTTCTTATTCGTTTCATGCACTGGCTGTTGATATAATAATACAAACTGTGTTTAATCTTCTTCTCAAAGTCTTTTTCACGTTTTCTCTGTCTACGGATGGATTTCCGTGCAAACAATCTCTGACTTCTGGAGGCTTTGGGAATATCTTCTTCATCTACAATTGAAAAGAAACAGTACAAAAATACAGCACATATCACTGAAAGTAAACAGTACATACAATAAACACTGGATGTCGAAAATATCTAACATGCTTGATGCGGGCGATTGAGCGATTGGTTCGCAGAGTAGAATCAGTGACTCCGTGAATGGGCACAAAGGTGATTTTTTTAAGCCATTTTAAAAAATCAGTAAGACAGGGCAAATAAATACACTCGTTTGTCCAAGGCTTAAGTATGCAATTAGGACTATGACTTGGGTTCTTTTGCGTGCATGCCAACATGTATACTGACCAAGGTTTTCGTCCCAGCCAGATGATGTTTCTTGTCAGATTCTCCATCCTCCATACTGACAAGGGGGAAACCACTCTAAAAAAAGTTGAGGAACTTTCTCTGACAATACTGGGATCAAATCCAGGATCTTGTGGTTAGTGAGCCATCACTAAACCATTGTTGCTTCCTACTTGAAGTGTCTGTGTAGTTTGTCTTATCCGCAGGTTTACCTTAACGGTTCTGTTCTGTGTGTAGTGGAAGCAATCTGATTAAAATAAAGATCTATATTTCGTTCCGTATTTTATACTTGCGATTGCCTACATTACATGAAGATCTGACCGGTTGTTGCGATAGGTCACGTCAGAGATCATACGAGCAGCTTTTGAGCCTATGACGTCAGACATTTGATTAACCAATCAGCATTGATGTTACTAGTGGATTACCCTCAGTTCCAGGCAAAACACGCCTAAAGCTCGCCATAACAGACCGTTTCATTGGCTAATACCTCACACTATTCAGAACAAGTCAATGATAACAACTCTTCCAGATCCTAGCCTAGTAAAGACAAGTAAAATGAAATTTTGAACTATAAAAACGAAACGAAATAGGATCTGTGTTTTAATCAGATTGTAGTGGAAGGGGTTGGATGGCCGAATGGTTAGCATGTGCGTGCTGTATCGTAAGGTCTGTCACTGAGTCAAGTGGCATGGTTTCGATTCCCCGGTTGCACGTGACAAGTAGGGTCGTCTGTTCAATCTCGTGGGTTTTCTCCAGTTCTCTCCTACTGCTAAAGACCCCTACACGCATGCGAATTATTGAAATAAAATTGAACCGTGTGTTAGCCCCAAAATAAACTAGTTTATGTAGTGCAATACTGCTGCACTTACAATTATAGAAAGAAAGATTCCTTCGTTGACAGAATAGATCATGCCCCATAACATCACCATAGATCCTACCCCCAACTCCTTTGGCACCCACTAACTAACCCCTACAACGCAACAACAGGAATACGGAGCTGAGTGTAACACAACTGTATCAGTACCTGTTTCTGATGATCCTGTGGAATCCTGGGATACATTTGATGAGTCTTCGGTGGTACCAGGGCTGCTGATGGATGGACAGGATGTGCTTACCTGTGACGATTGAGATAAATTACTCTTCTTTCTTAAAAGGCTGAAAAATATCAAAACACTCCGATTCAAGAAATGAAATGTGGTTTAACATCCTACTGTTCTGCTTCGACTGGGCTAATGAAGACGGCATACGTCATACAGTGTGCTACGAGGGAAATTTTGCCCAGGCAGCAGCACTATCCTGCCAAGGGATCTTTTACATGCACACCAATGTATACACAGGTCGTTGGCTTTTCGTCCCATCCGAATGACTAGACAGCTGTCCTTGTCAGGTCCATCGTCCTGCGCCACTAACAAGGGGACACCACACCGGAAAATCCTGATGATGAACTTTCTTGGCCAATGCAGGGATCGAAAATGCGACCAGCATCTTACCCACTTAGCCACCGTGGCTCGGATTCAAGAAATAAAATGTATTATGAAATAGGGTTTAGCATATCTGCACCAACTGGGCTAATGAAGACGGACATAATCCATGCAGATTGACCAGTGGTGTATTTGATGAGGCTTTGCATGCCAGGCTTTATGTTTATGTCCTGTACTACTGACAAGGGAGTATACATGTATCAGCCTGACAAATTCCAAGTAACTTTCTCTGACAATACTGGGATTGAACTCTGGTTAACTTCCAGCTTAGTGAGCCACATACTCTCCAAGCCACATGAGTGGATCTCTTTAAGATGAAAACCACCATATGTATTTATACTAATTTACATTCAACCTTTTAAAATTTGTTTTGCAATTTTTAATCAGTTATGTTCGGCTAAATACTTGAGCCGTCCAACTTGAATATGGCAGTCATTTGTGTCTAGTTTAGTTCTGTTTATGAGTATGGTTTGACATTTCACTTTTGCACTGACGGTTTGCCTTTTTCATCAAGGCACATTATTGCAAATGGCACTCGAGTTCTATGAGAGAAGAGTGAAAACAACATCACAGACTGAGTTTAAAATGTTCATAATTTATAATTGTGCCTTAAATATTGGGTATCAGGAGGTCATATATTTCCAAAAGATAAGAATATTGATACTGACTGAAATGGACCAATGTTAAAGAAGCATTACATGTATGTAAGATTTAGATAAAGAGCTGGCCGTATTACTAGAATGTAGTTCAAAAATAGCTAATACAAAATGAATACATTGAAAATTTCATTCAAATTTATACTTTATTCTGAGCAAAGTTATCAATGTTTGTAGTTTTGACAAGATGTGTCTATTGATTGTTTATTACCGTAACTACCATACTGGTTGTTCAAGTCATAGCCTCGCTTTTCCATTTTTAAATTAAATTTTCCGCGCTATATAAATTAATTATTATTATCATTATTAATAAATACTAATTAATAGTTTATATAACATTTAAAGCCCAAAGAAAGACCTGCAATGGGCAGATTTAGCGCTTGAATAATGCCTATCATTTTTGAAATATTATATTCCATTTTACAAGCTCATGATAGCTGGGCATGTGACATGTCATGTTCATATTGTATAAATCCTGCTCTATTCCTCATCAGTGACTGACAGTAAATGTGTGGATTATTTATTATAACCTACCCACGTCTGGATGAGCATAAAGAAAATACATATGTATAACTCACAGTGAATTATAACAGAGGTTTGGCATAATACACTATAGTTATTGAATGTTTAATTACATAACATTTTGAACATGTAAACATTGTACAACAATGTTCAAATTCTGTTGCGCGTATTATTTGAAAACGACTTTTACGTTAAGCTACTTCCAAAGAAATTAATCCAAAAAATTATCTGAATTCTCAATAAAAAGAAATCTCATTTATTCGACGATTTAATCAAACTGATGATAGGTATGAAAGAGAATAGATCAATAACAACCTAAACATTTCGACTGTTGGCTGTCAAATCTTCAAGTTTAATTTCGGCGCCTCACATTCCATATACACTTAAAATGATGACGTCAATTATCATGTCTTGATTATCCAGTGCACGGTGAATCTTAGCTGACAAAATAAATAAAAGCGTGTCTGGATAACAGAGATGACAATTTCGTGACGTAGTACACAAGCACCTGTCAACGTAACCTACTATTGACATCTTGACATTGCTCTGAAGGATTCGTCTGCTTTAGGTATAGTACAAGGATTATTTTCTACAACATTGTGTCTATTTTTTGACAATTAAGAAGTGTCCTGCATTTTGGAAACATTTTATACGGGAGGTGTGTTTAATTCAAATCATATAAAGTTACGTATCATTGAATGACTAAACAGATGATGTTGCGGAAGACGGTCAAAGCGGGATAACTCCCATTTTACTAAAGCAAGTCCTCAGACTTCTTCAGGTGTCAGACAAATAATTATCTCCTCATTGGCTGCAATGTTAAATCCATTACACTGGTCATTTCTGGGACTAACATATGGTTCAATTGTATTTCAATAATTTACTTGCCTTTAGTGGTCTATATCAGTGGGAGGAAACTGGATAAGTAGCGGATAATGGATGTCATGGCTTAATCTGTTACTGTGTGAACCATCGTAAATTTTAAACGGATTTCTTCGATTATGAACAAACTACTTAACTACTATAAACTTACCTGTGTGTTTGTAATGAACTCCCGTTCGATAAAATCCATTGCACAACTAATTATCACAACGATGAGAACAAGTTCTCTCTTGAAAAATTTGAAAATTTACTTGTAATTTCAACAATGTCTTCGTGACGTATTGATCGAATCCAATATACCTGTTGCGGGGGTTGGTTAACATTGAAAGATAGTTTGACAGCGCGATCATTTTGATCGTATATGGGTTTGGGCGACGAAAAATATCAATTGAAGGCAATTACATAGGAGATTTATATGGAAACCATTGATCGCCAGTCTATCAAATTTTCTTCACAATTAAAATATCACTGATTGCACGGATACTCGTAAAAATAAAGTCATGAATAAACTATAAATATCCTATCTTCTTTATGTTATAAATAATTTAACAAGGATCATGAAGCTTATTTTTATACGCATTCTTTCGATCGAATAATAACCGCTTCAGTAACATCTTTAAGCGTGTTGCGGCAGCCCTCAGCGTGTCTATTGCCGTATTGGGTGCCCGGGTGGGTATATAATGCTACTAAGCCCGTATGACCCCGTAAGAAGCGGAACATTAATTCTCGATTCGACAGTTTTGACCGAAGTGTGATAAAGCCCGTAAAACGAATGTATAGTTGTGTTTGTGCGGCATGCGTGTTCAAAAGTAAATAATCCCATCCGAGTCGCTAATGAAATAACTAGAACAAAATATTTCAAAAAGTAAAGCTATAAAATTTGCAGAGATTTTACTAGAATGTAAAAGACGGTAACTAAATACAGGAATGCGGGTAGTTATGTGTGCGAACGCTCAAACTCAATGCCAATTGTCGTAGGTATCCAGACCACTCGGACCAAAGACTACTCGGACTAAGACCAGTCGGACCAAAACAAGACCAGTCGGACCAATTAAATTATATTATAAGGCTAGACAATATGCTATTTATTTATTATTAAATCACAATACAAAGAAGCAAATAATTCTTATACGGAATTCTTATATTTAGAGTTGTTTGGTTCAATTTTGTGTACGGAAAATAAATCAACGATTAGTTTTAAAATTAATTAATAATGGTGCCAAAAAAAAATATCAATCTAATTTTTCTTTACTCTTGCAATGAGACTCGGTATGTCCAGACTTTTGACAGTTTCTACATATACGGGTATACTGTTCTTGTCTGATAGCCTAATTTTACTTTTTCCACATACGCGGTATCCCCAGTGGTTTCATTCCGTTCTACCCCACTAACCCCTGGGTTACTATATATGGGGGGGGGGGGAGGTGGAGACACGTTTTCAAGTTATCCGCCCTTGATGCGTTAATATAAACAGCACATAATAATACGAAGACCGGACGTTTATATGCCCCTTTTTAAACGTGACTACAAGTGTGGTTCTCGATATTTTGCGATTTGGAATACAATTATCAATTTATTCAAACAACACGTTATTATTAGTTCGAGTAGTCATATTAAAACACACACAATTATCAATTTATTCAAATAACACTTTATTATTGGTTCGAGTAGTCATATTAAAATAAACACAATTATCAATTTATTAAAATAACACTTTATTATTGGTTCGAGTAATTATATTAAAACAAACGCAATTATCAATTTATTAAAACAACATTTTATTATTGGTCCGAGTCGTCTTTCTGTTGGGTCCGAATAGTCTTTTTGTATGGTCCGAGTAGTCTATTTGTTTGGGCTGAGTGGTCTATCAGTTGGTCCGACTAGTCTTGAACCGAGTGGTCTTTGGTCCGAGTGGTCATGGATTCTTGTCGTAATTGTACTTGAATTTCCTATGCTGTCACCCCTAATACGAAATGATATCTTCCGCAGAGTGACGTAACCATCTTCCATATTGGTATTTTTCTCTGGGAAAAGTTTGTGATATTTCAATTTTTCAAGAGAGAACTTGTTTTCATCGTTGTGATAATTAGTTGTGCAATGGATTTTATCGAACGGGAGTTCATTACAAACACACAGGTAAGTTTATAATAACCAAAGTTAAGTAGTTTGTTCATAATCGAAGAAATCCGTTTAAAATTTACCAAGACTCAGACAGTAGTTCGTCTGTCTGAGGCATTAAGCGTCTAATTCACTAATATTTTTTTTGTCGGGGTTGGCCGAGAAAGTTACTTGAGATTTTCTGGGGCGGTTCTCCATGTCTGTGGTGCAGGACGGAGGGCCTGTCATGGCAGTGTCTAGTCATTCGGATGGCACAGAAAACCGAGGTCCCGTGTGTACACATAACTAAAAGAACCCCTGACAATTAGAATTTTAAATAAGAGTATAAGTCGTAGCACAGTCGGCACAGACCAACAGATAGGACGTTAAACCTATTTCATTTCTTTTGTCTGACTAATTCATAATGGCTATTTCAGATACACACCAAATATGGCATTTGCACCAGGCAGTGGGAGAATTACAAGACACGTTCTTTCCCGGCTGAAGGCTGGACTACCTTTGATTGGAAATATACGAATGATCAATCACAGGCCAAACCACAATACTGAACAGTTACAGAGAGACTTCTCAGAGAACCGTTTAGGTATAAAGGAAATTACCAAAAATAATTCGGAAGAATTCTTATCTCATTACGATTCAATCTTCTTAGACTGTGATGGCGTTTTATGGAGAACAGATCACGTGACACCGATCCCAGGTATCCCTGCTGTGATGCGAAAACTGCGGGATTTGGGAAAACAAATCTTGTTTGTTACTAATAATAGCATTTTATCTCGTGACCAGTGGTATCAGAAATACCTAAAATACGATTTTGATCCGGGTAAAATGGAAAACATATTTTGTGTGGCATACGCTACGGCAGTTTATTTACGCGACGTCTTAAAGATAACCGGATATGTGTATAACGTCGGTTCTGTGGGCATGGAAAGGGAGCTAACTCTAGCCGGTATTAAAAACATAGGAACTGGTGAAGACCCAGAAAAGCCAAGTCCATACGTAAAAGATCTGTTAAATATGACCTTTAGAAACGATGTCCAGGCAGTTGTAATAGGCTTTGACGAGTTTTTTAATTACACGAAACTTTATAAAGCAGCTAGCTACCTCACTGACCCAGCCTGTCATTTTGTCAGCGCCAGCAGTATCGGGTTTGGTACAGGAGTAATGATTGGCCCTAACAGATTACAGCCGTTTACAGGACCAATCGTTAGTGCCGTTAAAACGGTGTCTAAACGAGAACCCATATTGATAGGTAAACCTGGCTATCACATGTTTGAATGTATAAAAGCTACCCATCCTCGAATAGACACGTCACGCTGTCTTATGATAGGCGATAGTATAACAGCCGATGTTGGTTTCGCTAAATCTACTGGCATGGATTCAGCGTTTGTTTTGAGTGGGTCGGGAACATTTGACCACGTTAAACAGAACCCACATCTCGTCCCAGATTTTTACATGGATTCATTGGTTGAACTGAACTATGATAGTTAACCAACAACTACTAGCTATAGTGAAGGAGGTAGCAAAGATTTAATTAACATCTCAAGTATAAAAGGTGTGAGGCCTGGAATCAGTAGATGTTTGATCAGGACCCCAACAACCCAATTCATAAGTAATGCTTTGGGGGAAAAACACCAGGGGCGCTGTACACATTACGGCCAAAATTGATTTTTTACACATCCATGAAACGAAAGCGGTGTCAAAATGTATCTCAGGTTCGCTTAATTTAATCTTTGCTATCCCATTGACTATACATTTGTAAAGGGATTGGTTCATAAATATATCAGTGTTCACTAATAACTATCATAGAGACTGTTAAAGGGATTTTCCACAAGGTTTCCATCAATTTCATCGCTTGTAACACAAATAAAAAACAATGACATCACTTCTGAGTTTAATCAAAACATAATTTCTCGCTTAATAAATCTTTCTTTTCTTGTTACACTTCTAAATATATATTTAAATTTTATGGAACCCTTGTTGAAAATCGTCGGTCTACCCATTTAAAATTAATGAAGCTCACCCAATTACAAAATGAACGTCTATATTCTTATTATTATTACTTAACATATCCCCGGAGCAAAGACAACCACGTACCTTGACAACAACGGGACCATACTATGTATCTTTCTCCGACAACCTACATTTTATGAGGTTTGCGGAACCTGCTATAAGGTCATTGAAAAATGCAATTTTTACAGAGCGTTCAAATATGACAAAAATGTTTAAACATTTAAAGAAACATTATAGTTTAATTAGAAAACATCAACTTCAAATTTGACTGTTGATTACATTTTTAGATTGTTGAAGAAAATGGCGCCCCTCTTACGACGTGATAACGACGCCACAACCAGATTGGTTGACATCGGGTTGACGTCTGGGATAGTATTAAATTAATGCAGACTTGAAATGACAATAAGTTATAATTAGTTCAATATTAAGGACTAAGGCTGACCTTAAAAATATCTTTGTTTCGCCTAACGCGACCGACTAACTAAAACCACCCCCGACTTAAATTATTTTATTGCACTTTTCCACGATCTTTTTATTTTATTTTGTGTGTCAACCTGAAATATATCACGAGAGTTATTTCCCTTTACTATGGCTATAGTTTGATTCATTATTGAAACTGGTTGATCAAGACGAAAGCGTCATAGGTGTCGCTTCTCAACAAAATGGTTGCAGACGAATACACGTCCATTCCCACGAAATGATTCTGCTTCTATGTCTGTGGTGCGTAGTTTTAAACATGACGACGATATTTTCAATATCCGTTTTCGAGAAAAATGAAGGCACAACCCGCAGTATCGTTAAAAACGTGTTGAAGGAGTTTCACACTTCAAGTTCGTCGCAAATCGTTTGCGAGTCGGGCATCACGAAAAATTCCCGACGTCATTCACTCATTTATTTTTTTGCCAATTGAATAAAGAAGACGAATGTTTCCACCCGGAAAATTATTAAGCTGTCAAATTAGCTCTTAAGTTTAATAAAAAAAACTTTCAGTTCGTTACTTTTTACGTCAGACCCCAAATTCATTAAACAAAATTAATGAATCTGTAGTATACAGCTAATAAGTTTTCTGTATTGATTTCTCTAACTTTAAAAAAAAAATCTGAAAAAAAACCGACCTACCGACCCTTCTCCTCGATTGTGGGTCGGGTTTGGTGAAACAAAGATATTTTTAAGGTCAGCCTAATATATTTTGTTTTAGGGTGGGGGAGGTGATAGAAGAAACTTAAAGAATAATTTGGTGTATGTGATTTTCTTCTAGTGTGTTGTCTCATTAACGTACTCACGTTCTAATAGGTGAACTAAACCCAAAATGGTATCGGACACTTGGTTTCTGTATGCTTGTGTCTTGTGCGGTTCTTCTGCACTTACTAGTAGTCACGTGAAACTAATCTGAATCCCGGTGATTCGTGTTCGTAGTTTTTATACTGTAGTTACGTGCTCACTATGCAGGAGATTATGTGTTCATGCATTACCCGGTCGATAAAGTTCTAGTCTGACGGAATCCTGACAGTGATCGGCATCTGGCCGTTCGGACGGGACGGAATATCAATGTCCCATTACACGTTGACCGGTACGCAAAAGACCCACTGGCATTGCAATAAGTACATACAAAACGTGTCAATGTATAAAATCCAGTGCAATCGACAGCTTTATCTTGGCCCAGATTAAATATCCAGATGGATCACTTTCAAATTACAAACAGAAAAACGGAACAGTTAGCCTGTTCACGACCTCGTATGATTTGTAATTTATCTTACTGGTATGGTTTTGAAGATTATTGATGTTACGTGATATTAATTTAAATGATATTTTGTTGAGATATATTTTACAAGTTGTGTACATTACCAGACTAGCCGTCCCTCGGGCATAATTTTATCAAATCAACTTTATTTTATTTTGTCTGGTAGTTTATTTTAATTGATCAGGGATTGTTTTATTATTATCAACGTAGATGTTCGTTTGGTGGCTCATCCATTCTCACATTTAGGGACCTATCATTCATGGGCAGCTACATTGAACTAGTTCGACGCGTTTGTCTCTTATTTTTAACCCTTTGATGGTATCATGACTGAATTGGTCAGAGACTTCTCAAAATTGCTGAATCCTCTTAAAGTTTTGAACACTGAGCTAAAATAGGACCCTATTGGTCTTGCCGTGAATTATCAACTACACAATGACAAAGGAGGTCATCTGTAGTCATATTACGTAAAATGTGTCATAATATTATATTACGTAAAATGTGTCATAATTATGTTAAATGTGTCATTTTTAGATACATATTTTCTTGGTAGCTAGCATTTATTTAACAATCAGTAACTATATATTTGAATACTGAAGTCTACTTGTATATTTTATTGAGATTATCTGGAAATATATAATTATATACAAATACAACTAAATTTGTTTTATTTTCAATATTGTCCTCCAGTAATTATATGTGTAGGACGGAGGACCTGGCAAGTAATAGCGTCTAGTTGTTCGGATGGGACGACATCACCAAAGGCGTACACAATCTGATTAAAACACAGATCCTATTTAGTTTCGTTTTTTATAGTTTTGTAGTCTTTACTACACTATTTTACCGGAGATTTGGTTGAAGGGAGTGATAAGCCAATCAAACAGTCTGCTACGTCGACTTTTTGCACGGAACTATGGGTAAACCACTAGAAACGAAATATAGATCTGTATTTTAATCAGATTGAGGCGTAGGGGATCGATAAAGGTGTCGGGCGGGGGCGGGGGACAGAACCTGAAATGCTCGAAAGTATGTCGGCTTACAGACGACGGTACCGGTTGTCTGCGCGGAGCGGAGCTTACCGTGTAGCCCCCGCCCCGAAGAAAATTTGGAAAATTCGATGGCGGCAAACGCGTTTTATTGGCGCGAATCGTGATAGTGGGAGAGAGAGAGAGAAATGGGGTTTAACGTCCACTCGACACAAACGAGGTCATTTCGGGACTAATATGGTTTAATTTTATTTCAATAATTCGCTTGCGCGTAGGGGTCTTTAGCAGTGGGAGGAAACCGGAGGACCCGGAGAAAACCCACGAGGTTGGACAGGCGACCCTACTCCTTGTCACGTACAACCGTGGATTCGAAACCACGCCAGTTGAATCAATGACAGACTTTATGATACAGCGCGCGCACGCTAACCATTCAGCCATCCAACCCCTCTCGTGATAGTGGGAACCCCAGCATTAAGACGACTGTGTTTAACCTCTTCTATTACTATCGTAACACCCCACTGGTTTGCACGAATAAACATGAATAGTCAGACCTTTAATTCCCCTTGATGCCGTCACATGTGAAGAAATAAAATAGATATTTGAGTAACTTCCTTGTTATGTCAGTAATAATATAATTATGTATAATATAAAGAAGACGGTGTGTGACATAGTCTAAGAATGTATAACACCAACGATACGTTATATGGTTGGCGTAATTCATTATTTAAAGATACGTTCCCATTATCGGGTGGTTATTTCCACTAAAAGTATGGCAATTTTGGTTATATGGAAAGTAGAAATATCCAATCTTACTCGAAAAGCACTGGATTCCCCGAAAAACACTCATACAGGACAAAATGTAAGGGTCTCTTACCGGCAGCTCGACGATTAGGAATGCTCGCGTGACGTCAAAGGTTGCACGCGGAGATTGAGCACTTGATGTACATGTTGATAAACTTTATGGAGATTTAGACGTACAACACTTTCTGAGATAAAAATCACGGAAAAGGACGTGGGCAGTGGATAATCCGAGAATTTAATTAGGCTTCGAAATTTATGATAAATGGATAGCGATTAAAGACAACACCGTCTTGTGTATGCAATGAATTCTCATCCGACTTCGCACCCGTTGCTAGGTAGTTCGTCAGCGAATTCACATGACACAAACATGGCCTCTATTAATACATGTAGATTTGAAGAAACATTTTGATAGATTAATTAGTTTGAATATGTTTTTAGTCCAAATACATCATCAAATCACACAGTTTGTACACGGGAACGTATCTTTATATATTTGGCTCATGACGTGACTTTTAAATTTTTTAATGACCAGACGCCTTTTATGAAGGGTGTTTGACGGTGTTCTCTTACCAAGGTTAAATCTAGAAATATCAGATATCATTATTTATGCATGAAATGGTCCCGGATGCATAGGCGTACGGGCTCTATGAATGTTGGGGGGGGGGGCAGACCCTGTAGGAGAGCCCCCCCCCCCCATACCCCGCCTCGTCAAAATAAAAGAAGAAAATTTGACGGCCGCAAGCGCGGTTTCCTGCGATTCCAGGCGTGAATACAGCAACTTCAAAGTGGTCCAATATAGCCCATCTTAGGTGACTTACTGAATCCCAAATCCCAAGCAAGCAATCAATCGTCGCAGGGTATGGGGCCTCGCGCTCCCAGAGAAAATTTGAAAATGCGTATTCTGCTATATTCTAGCCCGTGAATTAAACAACTTCACAGTGTCCAATTGGTTTGCAACAGAAATCCAGCTCTATGCCGACCTGAATTCCAACCACCGATTAGATTGTTGTAGTTGCATTCACAAATAATAATCAAAAAATGTCGCACAAAGTAGAGTGGCTCAAGACAATGTTTTAATCCATAGTCAATTCACTACAAATTCGTGGTATTCAAATAAAAAAAAATAAAATTAGTGTTTTATTAGATTTCGGGCACTTTACCCATCTGCCCGAACAGTTAGATTGTACGAAAGTTGTGGGGGGGGGGCGCGGGGGGCAGCATGCCCCCAACCTTCTGGCTCGTACGCCTATGCACATGCACCACAAGGCCTCTTGTACACGAGTGACAGAATTTGGCGAAGTGTAGGCGGAAACTACTGTACGTTATTCCATGGCAGACCCTTTGTTCTACGCTACCGGTACTTAAAACGGGGAACAACGAAGTACACCTTTGGTAAAATTAACATTATCCAACTTAGATCCGTGCAGTAATCGACACTCACGAAATTGACTAGATTTATTTCTATCTTAAAGCGGCATTAGCATTAGGTAAGATTAGATAAAACAAAAATCTGACAGTTCTCGCTATGATAGTTTAAAATAGATAATACAAACAGAATATGCTGAAAATTTCAGTCAAACTGCTTCACTCTGAACCGAGGTATTAACGATTCAATTTTAGGCTAGCCTCGATTGTCACTACTAACATTGGTAATAACAAAGTCTCGATTATCCATTTTTACGTTAAAATATCCATCACAAAATATATTCAAATCCACTCAATATCACAGATTATGGTCTGGATAATAAGTTTGATTAATTAAAAATCTCGATAACATTTTAGACCTAAAGAAAGATCTGCAATAGGCAGATTTAGCTCTTGCATAAAGCATGTTTAAATAATAGATCTGCGGAAGATGCAGTTTTAAAGGCCCACGCCCAGGTTATAATTCTACAGATAAATCC